CGGACGTAAGCCTTTACACTCTGTATGAGGTGATAATATGGATTTTGCGGTATTGCGGCCAGTCCGTCGGGCCAGACGTGATAGGTACGGATATTGGCCGCGGGATAGTGTGTGTGCTAGTAATTTTGCCGGGCGAAGTGCTACGTCTTGGAGAGATGGTACTATGGTACACCGTCAAGTAGTTAATTATCAAAGCGGCTTCAGTCGTGCGGCCGTGTGGACCGTAGACTGAGTTGAAGTTGACAAACATTGTATCAATTATCGGTTTTCGTCTAAAAATACCGTCTGCACCGTCACTTACTGTAGCAAACCGCTAGATCGCAATCTAGCCGCAATATAACATAGATTACGTATTACGTACAATATGTGGCTAACGCAACGAAAATAATTTCTGTTATACTACATAATTAAGTTTCAATCGGGACATTTTTGTCTTTTGGTTAAAAACGGTCGACATTCTGTTATTCTTATGCAAATAGACTTTAAGGAGGGGGGGCCCGTTAAATTATTCCAAAAATGGGGCCCGGGGTAAAATGGTCGCGTTGCCCCCATTCCCTGGACGGCCCTGCGTTTTTCATTAGCAATGGATTATCTTTGCGTATAAATATAAGTTAAATACCTTTAAGCATCCTACATTCCCAACTTCCTACCTATAATAGTGTGGCTACACCTGTCCTCGGTATATCAGTTCTTTCTGACGTTCAGACTTTATTAAAAAAGTGCACCACGGGAACATTCGAAATTTAATAGGATTTGTATAAGTTATGATTAATAGTTCAAACAAAAAGAGTAGATCGTATTTTTATGAAAATCGTAGATTTTAAAATAAGTTATTTTGGTCATAATCTACCGATTTGATGTGATTTTTTTCAAAGATTTTACATTATTAGTAAAACATCTCACGTTTAGATGGACAGAGACGGAATAAAATTCACGTCCGACGGTCTCTTAATAATTAAACATTATCATGCATAAAAAAAAAAAAAATAAAAAAAAGTGTCAAAAACTGTTATTGTCGTAGGTATAATATAAATATATTGTCTATAACGATATTATAAAGCATAACGCGACGACCGCGGTTATGGGTTATTGGCTATAGGTAACATAAAATATTAGATTTAGATACGTACCATTATTATTATATATGTGTATGATATCGAAACCGTTCCGTTATACTGTTGCGTGTTATCATTTAATTTGGTATAAAATAACGCAATACCGTTTTAGATTTTTGTGTATTATGCCGTCGGCGTCACGCAAAAAGTCACCCTGCAATGATTCGATTTTCGAGACAATTATTACTTGTTAAGTCGCCAAGCGGTTTCTGTACAATCTATTACCATTTCGCTCGGACACTTTTTTTCGTATACACAATATGTATAACATAAAAGATGGATTACGGAGTATTCAAACATGGTTGTATACTCTGTCGTTTTTCGCACAATAGTGACTATATTATAGTCCGTATTACTGTACGATTTTCACTAATTAAGTGCATACGTCACGCGAGATAACAACTGCAGAATCTGTATGCCGCCGGCCAGAATTGGGCAGCACTTCATTTCATTGGGCTGTGAACATTCATTTTATAACTAGTTGGGCTTGAGTTTTCAAAATCCGTTTAGGCGTTCGCCAAAATCCTGCAAAACATACATTATCATTTATCAAATCGGTCTCGGCATTGGTCATTGATGATAACCGTATCATCGGTTAACATCCTCAATATTATTCCTGCGTACGCATATGTGGCATTCAGTAGAAACACATGGGGGGGGGGGATGAAAAATTATCACGGTTGACCAACCCAACGGCTTTGCCCTCCCCCACACTACCTTAAAATATCCAACTGTCCAACTAAAATATCGAATTATTATAGTTTTAATTAACTGATAAAAGACTGTTCGGAAAAAAACTACACATTTACGGCTTACCTGAAACGAGGCACACAGCATATGTCGTCTCCTGAATTTATCATTCGTCTCTGTTGGTCCTTTTTTTGGAATTTCGCTGTTTCGCTGTCAATCAATGTAAAAAAATATTTTCATAAAATTGGCGGCAAAACCCAAGCCCAGAAAAACACAGACGGTACACGTTCACTTGGCCCCCAAAATATAGAGGTGTCATGTATCACTAATATGTAGGGCCCAAGGCATAAGGGGTCAACCCCTTCCACAGCTGTTTTTTGTTGCATTCGTCCCTTATAAGTAATTACACAGACTAGGAATCCGACTCAAATTGTGCGCATGGCCGCAATTTCAGTGAACTAAGCATTAGCGAAACTGTTATTGTATAACTATATAAAACTGCACTGTCCGCACTAAAAGGCCGCCGTCATCGTGTCGGCCTTTATAATATGTTGTCTTATTATTCATCTATTAAATTTAGTGTGCACGCGTAATACACACGCATACACAAAACCCGCACGGCCGGTGAACTTTGCAATACTATATAAGATTTACCGTACGAGATTTATTATTATAGGGAACCCGAACGAAAAAAAAAGTTAAAAACGCATAGTGTTAATTCAACCGCATATACACGCGGTGGTTTCGGTGATCCGTGTACACACGCACGCACGCACGCAAACACAAAAAACACACGCGGAAATGTATTACGATATTATTATACAAGGTGATTCATATTTAACGCGTGTAGATACTACTCTACTCGTTTTTTTGGCAATATTTAAGTAGTTTTTTCTTGGAGCGTGTTCGTAATCATTTAATTTTCATCAAAACAAATACTTTTATTGTTTCGAAATTCTAAAAGAATCTAAAAAAAAATACCAAGGGGAGGGTTAGAATCCCAGACGTTACACCACTGAATATAAAAGTAAGACGTAAAAAACATTGCCATTGAATTTCGAGTCTGCAGACCAATAATACCATAGCCGTATTCAGAAGGGGGTGGGTTCGGGGTAACCCCCTCTCGAAATTTCATCAAAACAATTTGTATTGTCTTTCTTTCAAGTATAATATTATATTCCTTAAAAGTATGTAAAATTAAAAAAATACTATAAAATATCAAAATATGTTTTAATATAGGTTTTTTTTTTTAATTTTAAAGCCATAAAACTAAAGTAAATACGTGATGTTATCGTTATTGCCGACCGTTTCGTGACACGTTTAATTTCGTTACTTTTAGTATTCTTCAAATTTCGTTAGTGTTCCTTATCAGAAGACGTCGATAATGTTTAATTCTAACTCGGATAGACGAGTGTATTATTTCTTTAATTGGACTCTAGACATCGCCGTACGAGGAACTGAAAGAATTTGCCAAAAACGTATCGATTTCGAATCAGTACCTAAGTATTTTTCCTACTATTTTCTACTCAAGGTGAATGGAAACGATTGGATTTTTACCAGTGCATTTAGACCAATAAGCTGGTAAATAATAAACATACTTCTATTAGTCTAATTTTAATTTTGCAAACGAATTTGAATTCGTTAACCTCTTTTCTATGTTTTGAGGGAAAACATTTTTCCATTTTTTGTCTCATTGGACCTTTAATGTACATGTTCATATTGAGAAATTATGTAAACTAATTTGGCACCTACTAAAAAAACTATCCAAAATATCGAAAATCTATTTTCTACGAAACATAATAAAATATAAGTAAATTTGTATCTGTAAAGGTATCTAAAACACTTGTATAGTTCTATTTAATTCAAATTCTTAAAAATTATGTTATAGTTGCATATTAAAATGAAACCCCTACCCAAAAAAAAAAAAAAAAAAATAAATGTTGGAAACGGCCATGAATGGTACAGTAAGTGTTCTGCGGTAGCACTATAAATTAGTAATATTTGCTTCGGCTTGTCACTTTTTTGTTTTCATAATAAATTACAAGTTTCAAAAGCTTTTTAATGACCAGATAACCTTGATGAACTTTGAGAAACCTAAAGGCTTTTTCTTAGTTCCTTGAAAAATCTTTTATTGAAACATTTTTAAATTATTAATTATTTAAAGTACTTAAACAAATGTGTTAATATAATTTTAAAAAAAAATATGTAACGGTGAAGTGAAAAAGTACAATTTTATTAAAAATATTACGGATGGCGACCCCGTCCCCCTTCAGCTGTGCTATTATCCTAGAATTTTCGGGTCGTTGATGGTTTACAAATATCTGTGCATTATATTAGAAACCACAAGATAATCAAATTGTATAAAATTTATGATTATACAATACACCTAAGCTTCGAGTGGGCGCCTGTTCTGGTCCGGAATGTTTGGACGATACTCGTGAAAAAAGGTATAAGTTACATTTTGTCAAATTTTACATTAGCTATCAATTTTGTGGTACGTTTTATGACGGATCGATTGGTAGCACTATAAATTGTCCGTCTCCTTTTCAACACCTGCCACGTATAATTGCTATGTGCATTTAGGCATAAGTCAAGATGGCTGATCTGTTGGAGCGAAAGGGTACAAAAATGCCATAAGCCTATTCTTAATAAACTATTAAATTGTTTTCTTTTTTTGTATCCTGAAAAGTTACACAATTTTTACGAACGCCGTCCATTTAGATCGACGGAAATCCGACAAACAGTCGAAGGGCGACGGAAAACAAACGCGCGACTGCGGACGACGAAAACGATCACCTTGTATATAAAATACGCGTGCACGCACGTATAGTGCCGTTGATTCGGTTGTGTGTGACCCGATGCCGAACCAGCTGAGAGATTTAACGGAACCAGTGGGTTGTGTGCGTGCGGGCCCGCGCGTGTGTACGGTACCGAGTCTGTAGTTGCGAGTGCGGTCGCGATGTGGCGGCGGCCGTGGAATTAGGTCTTTGGGTAACGACGATTGGCCGTCGCGGGTGGGGGGGAGGCGGATGGACTTGCGGCGGGTTTTCACGTGGCGGCGGCGGCCTCCGCGCGCCACCGGCCGAGCCGAGTTACCTGCGTGCGTGCAGTATGTGATTTACGGTCTCGCCGGCCGCCAACCTAACCGTCGTCGTCGTCGTCGTCGTCGTTGCCGTCGTCGTCCGCGTCCGCGTCGTCGTCCGCGTCGTCGTCTGCGTCGCGTCGTCGTCGTCGTCCGCGTTCGCGCGCGCGTGTTTTGTGACCCGTGCGTGTGCATGTGTGTGGTGCGCGCGTGTTCAGAAAAATATTACAGATACGCACGCCCGCAACTATACTAAAATATTATTATCTTTAGTTTCGTGCGTAAGCCGCCCGCACATCGCGCACGCAAAGGCCTCCCGAGAAATCCACACTCGCGACGTCCGCCACCGCAAATCCAATATCTAATTATACAAGCACAGTGTTCCGAGTGTTCGGGGCCGACGCGGATCGGATTTTTCTCTTCCTCTTGTTATTGTCATTTGTCCGCGAGTTTTTTATTCCGCGTTTTGGATTACAACGGTGCCCACGGTCCTGCTGGAAAAGTCCTCGAACCGGCCCGTCGACTTCATGTGGTAAGTTAAAAGTCTTGTTCGAGTGTATTCGACCTGATCAACGGATATCGTCGTAACGTTCGCGCAATGTGTGTATTCCCGTGCAGCAAATCATTTCCACGAACACGTCGGGCTGCGTAATCGAACAAAATTGGCTAGTGAAAACTATAACGTTTTAGGAAAAGTACCAAAATAAAGGCCATTTGTAAACCATTACGAGTCTTTTCGCTATAATCGCATATATCGCAGGTGAGATCGGCCGTACTCGTGTGCTCGCCCTCTGGAATCTGCGGTCCATCTCGTGGTATCCTCGTTAAATTTCTAACCTTAGCAAACACGTACGTTGCAAACACCTCTTGCAAAACATCGCACCTAACACGCGCGAGCCGTTGTTTTGTAATTCGGTCTAACTGATAAAAAACGAACGTTTTAGACGGAACGTATAGATTTTCCGTTGGCCACCGTTAAAGTCTCCAAAGATTTCATACGCTCAACATCGTCATATAAAATATAAGGCACGTCTAATACAAATGAACAGTAATATTACTGTGCGGTTTATTTTTGAAAATTTCGATCCTGTTTAAATGTTTACCGGTGTTAATACGATTATAATTACATACGTCTAAATACGTAGAAAAATAAACTATTATCCGGACTAATGTATTGTCTATTCCCTACTCTAGTCATCTATTTTTGCCGAAATGATTCCAAATTATACACGCAACCGAAACTGATAACACGACGATAAACAATATTATTATTTTTAGATTACACGTTACTTTTTAATTAATTGCTAGACTATTGTGCGCGATTCGTGGTGTGCAGCGGCGGATCCAGAAATCGTTTATGTTGGTGGTGGGGGGGAGGGAGACATTATTTATATTTTCAGTAAATTAATATAAAATATATAAATAAAAACTGTAATCCATTGACATGGGGCACGTGCCCCTGTGTCCCACCCCCGCCGGACCCGTCACTGGTGGCGTGCAATTTGTCCGTTTGTTTAACGCCTCGTTATACATTTACAATATCATATTATTATTATTAATTTTCAGATAGCATTCATTTGATTTTCGTCAAACACGGGTATAAACAATAATGTCTATTTACTGTACAAATAGTATTCGTGTTTATCACACAGAACTCGTGGCGAGCCTTATGAACACGAAAACGTATACACAATAAATACAAGTCGCCGTTCGGTCTTATTAACCCGACCTGGTCCGGTCCCGGTTTTGATTTGATTGCACCGGCCCGGTCCTGTATTTAAAAACCGGATCGCGCGGTGCTCCGATACCGGTGCAAATATTATGATGTGCGAGCACTTCGCGGTCGTCAAAAATTATCTCGCTCGCGGATTTTCTTATTGTGTGCCTATCTGCCTGTTCGAGCGGAATTTTCCGAGAGCCGTCGCGCGACGGCACCGGCGTTCTTCTACGTTTAGTTCGGTTCCCCCCCCCCACGATCAACAGTTATATTCCCGGTTTTGGTGTGCGACCGGGTCTATTATTATTATAATTTAAACGCATGACTTGTCGCAAAATAATAATACGCTTGCACGTAGGTACGCACTGCATATTTATATATATATATATAAACACTTCTCACCGCCACCGCCGTCTCCGGCTTGTAAATCGAACACATTTTTAATACTCGTTTTCCGAAAACCGCTTATGTGGGTCGGTGTGTGACAAAAAAAAAAAAAAAAAAAAAAACTAAATAATAATAATAATAAAAATCATTTCTGCCCGACGACGAAAACGACGGACATAATATTATTATTAAGACGGACCACAGCAACTGTTCCCCTCCGCAAACTCCCGTTTTTTTTTTTTTGGCCCTCGTAAAATTACCTATATAAACGATGCTGACGATAGTCTCTTCCTCCCATCCTCTCTATACAAGCATCAGACCGTCCGCTAATGACAACGTCAATACAAAACGAAACCTGTTGCACTGTACACACACACATTATATTATTGTAATATAATATATTATTGCCCGGTTTTCAGTCTTTATAGTCATAATTAAAATATTTAAATTGCCGCATTTTGATAGTGAAGCGCGTTTTTTGTACATTTTTATATTCTGTTTTATCCGCAGACGTAAAACTCTTTTGAATACGTAAATAAAACGCTGTAATAATATAATCGCCAGAATTTATACAAAAAAAAAAAAAAAAAAAAAAACAACCGAATACCCCACGGTAGTTTCACGACTGTCTCGAATTTCTATGAGCTACCCGCCCGATGCGGTTTTTCCGTTTACCTAACCCCCTCCCCTCCGGCTTTTCGCTCTATCCAATCCTATCTATCTGGTGGATTCTCACCGATCATAGGGTTTAAATACACACCGCGACACTGTATGAGATTTTATTGGAGAATATTGTATCGAGTTTAATTAGTGTCGGGTTATGCGGACCGACGGATAGGCGAGGTTTTCGTGCGATACAGTCACAGAAAGGTACGAACAACAAACTGGATTCATAGCCGGCGTATTGCCATGCGTACGCTTTTGGTTTATGGCGCGCGGCAGCCATTTAATTCGAGACCGGTGTACCGTACATGCATTTATAACGCGGAAACGGTCGAATCTTCTTACGGTGCATGCCGTCAGTGTCGTTACCGCGGCCGACGCCAAGACCGACGATTTGTTAACAACACTACACCGGCATATTTACTGTCGTATTTACGCGGACAGCGCAAGTCCCGCGGGCCTCGGATTGTACGGCGGACCGAAACCGCACTCCTTATCCGCCGGTCAGCCGTCTACAGTTTATCGCGCGTGCCCGGGCGGACGAACGCACCGTACCCGAACACGCGTCGAGTTTTGGGTCGACGTACCCGTTTCAACGGTCGTCTCTCGTCCGTCCGCCGGCCGACGACGGACGCGGACGGCCGATTTATCAGGCGTCCGACATCGCGCTGGGAGTCACGATCCGGTCGTTTCGTGCGAACGCGCCGCGCCGCGCCGTTCTTGTGTTAATCCGCAAGTGCACGGCGGCGTTTTACATTTTATTATTATTTCGGGTGGCGCGGACAATACGCGCGACGGTCGGCGCCCGTCTGTAACAACGTAACGGCTTTATAACGATTCATTTTGTGTTGCGCGCGCGCAGCAAAAGACGCCGCCGCCGCCGGTCCCGTTTACCCGCGCGCTTCCGGGACGACGCGGCCGCACAATAACAACAACGATATTAACGACGCGCAGTAATATAAATATTACACGGGGATTTCTCTCCGGTGTCGTAAAAAACAAAAAAAAACAAAAAATGTTCTTTTTACGACCCGCCGTCGTCGTCGCCACCATTGTATTCGGTTAGGTATATACACTTGCCGCCGTTGTCGTGTCCCGTGAGTACGCCCACGTGTTGCAGCGACAGCCGCAGCAGGTATGCGCGCGCGCGCTGAATACCGGAGACAGGGACACCGAGTGAAGAGAAAAACGGTACGCTCCGAACAAAAATTAATCGTAAATCCGATAAGCGGAAAAGAAAAATGGGTAACCGGGAAGTATTTCCTGCAGCGATTTATCATTATAAGTAATGCGCGGTGTGGATTAAAAACAAAACTCGCGTGTAAAAATTAAAGAAAACCAAATACTGGTAAAGGGATTTCCTATGAAAACATGTATTTTTCTGGTTTAGTTTTGAATAAGAAATTCCCAGATAAAGAAACGACCAGAAAACGGGAATCGTGAAAATAAAACGACTAGAAATTATCACTACAGAAAATTATAAATCCAGAGATTGGTTTTCCAGAAAGTGATGTTGAAATAAAGCTGTGCTCAGTTCTTCCCCTGTACGCCCCATAAGGGGAAAACTAACCTCAAATATTCCAATATTGTTTCGTTTGTGGTCACTTTCATTTGATCGCTTCGCTAGCTCATATCGGAAAAAAACCCGTGAATTTCACGGGGGGAGGGGTAAACGCGAAAGATGTTATTATTTTTCGCCGTTATTTTCGCTTATCAAATTTTGTCCGATTTTTTCGCATCGCAAAGGATTTATTCTGTGTAAGTTACAGTCCAATAGCTAATAGGTTTACTGGTAGGTATTTAAACTCTCCGGGCAACCGTCGGTATATACGTAACCAAATCCGGGTTACAACTGCGGCAGCCGAATGTGCTACCCCCGGGGGCACCGCGGCCGCCGCCGGTTTCTAAATACGCGCGCACCTTTATAACCTCGTCGGAATTTACTCTTTCTCTGCGGCCGGTCTCGTTTATATGACACTCGTCGTCGTCGTCGTCGTCGTCGAGCCTCTTGTATAAATCACATCATTGTTGTTGTATATTTTTGTATTCGGACGGACGTTAGTCTTTTATTTAATGACGCCGCGGTTTATTCCATTCGACATTATATTCGAACGGGTAGCCGAGAAAACATATTATTTTATAAAGAATACAATTGGAGAGAAAAAAAAATTAATAGCAATTCGAGAGCCGGCCCGTTTTCGAACTTTCAAAAGGACCGGGTTCGCTTCACACCCGCAGAGGTTTTATATTATAAGCATACCATACCTATATCGCGTGTGTACACCGATCGGCGACGGATTTCCTGTTAAAACATAAAATATTTCGTAGTAGTCATCGGAAGTCGCATTATTATATAAAGGACCAGACCCGCGTGAAATGTCACGGTGATGAAACGCCGATTTTAAATATTTGTCACATGTCATGTGTAAAATTCACGGCCTATAAATAAATATAATATTTTATCGGTCATTCGATAAAATCTGACTTCGTCGTTGACTATTCTTGGTGTACGATGGCTGACATGGATTTCCAGGAAAAGTAATGTTTAAATTTTCGGCGTTTAACCCGCATTATCGAGGGTTATTATTTTAACGATACCCATTTTTTAATATCGCAGTTTTTGGCGCCGTGATTTGTTGTAGCTAAGTCGTGTTAAACGCCAAAAATCTCTTGTATGCTGTGCGTATCTCACCTAGCAGCGGGCGGTCGACGGATAAAATAATTTGCATTTTATTATCAGGCAAATCCCACGCATAATATTATTAATTTATTTACGTACGTCGTCGATTTTGAACCGTTTTCGTATTTATTCGCCTATTAATAATACCGCCTTTATGATGTTTAAGTATACCGATTCTCGGCAGTTTTATAGCGTTTCAATGCGCATACGCGGTTTTACAGGTAACTACACCTAACTAATATTATTATTTTTATTATGTGAAGGAGAAATTATTAAATTTATATTCTTTTACGGTATGCGTCGTGATCATATTATACGATACGATTCTGAGGAGAAGTTAGGTATTGTATAGGTACAGCGGCGTTTTTACGGGTGGGAGAGTTTATATCTTCTTCTTTATCTTTTTTTAGTGTCTATTTTTTATGTACGATTAGCGATTGCCTGTATGTTAAATTCGAATTTCTCTGATTTTTATTCAGAAAAACCAAAAACGTATAGGTAACCTATTGTTAATATTATGTAACTTTAAACAAAACAATAAGTTTGATCGTACACATTATTCTTGTTTAAAACGAAGGGAGGTGGTTGAAATTATAGTATACGTAGGTATCTGTAGTAAATGCCAAGTATAAACTATTAATTATCGTCAATACCTATACATAATTAGGTGTTTGATTTTAACTATAATTTCGTGTCAAATTGAATAATAAATCAAGCATTTACCAACATGTGTATATTAAAAATTGATTAAACACTGTATATAGGATACAAGTATTTGTTACACGTTAATAAACTTACGATAACCACGCCTCCAGACTGCTGTATAGACCGGGTTCGATTTGACGAAAACCAAAACAGTATAGTATCATAATAATTACGAAATAGCATAATACACTTATCACAATACCCCAGACGACGCATTGCTTCATTAATTTATTATTTTATTTTTATATATTTATTTACTTAATTTATTTACGAGTATTAACCGTTTTAATAATTTTGTTTTTATTTTATTATTTTAATTACTTACTAAATGTCGTTTGGTTTTTATTCGTTTATAATAGGTATAATTATTATTTGTTTAGCTTGCGAATTTAATTTAATAGCCGATAAACATAACATTACATTGGGTACGTTCCTATACTATATATCATGATAAGTTCTATCAGCTAGTATACATACACAAATAGTGTATACCCTACTATTAACCCGTTATCAGTGATTTAATTGATAAACGAGTATATACGTATAATTTAATTTGAAAAAAAAATTGAATGTTTAGAAGCCGTACAGAGGTGTTTATGGCGTACATCGATATAAAAACTGGAAATCGTGCAGCGGGAACGGCGGAATAATATTAAAAATCCGTTAAGGTTTGATGGTCGACTATAATTATTATTATTATTTTATATATTAGGATTATACTAAAAACACGTTATAGGTTAAACTACTACTTAATAACATTGTTCCGTCGCGCGGTAATTATAATTTATAAACGGTCGGCGATAATCGCTGTAATAATATTTATTGTCCGGACGCGGGTTTTTATAATATGCCTACTCGGCCGTATTAAACATGACTGCGTTTTTAAATTGTAATATTATTAATATCCGTATGAATATTATACATTTTTTTTTTTATAACTATATACCTACGATATAGTCCGTTTTCGGCGAAAAAACAATTATTTGTCGGAGAAATTCGACCCTTGACATCGTGAGCGAGCGCTCGCGCGAGCGGTATTCTAAAACGAGCCAAAGATTCGTGCCTCCGGAGGTCGTTGCCGTTTTAATTTTTTTTTTTCTTCTTGCACGCTCTACACTCCAAAACGAAATCTCCGCCGCCGCCGGCTTTACAATATATATTATAGAAATCGCATCACTTGTTATTACAATAAGTGTTGTAGACGGTTTATACACACATACATATATAGGTACACGCGTCTGTACTTAATAAAATAAAATTAGCGACGAACGGTCGAATTTCGACACGTAACGGATGGATCCCCCGCGAGTCATTACACATCATCGTGTTATTATTATGTAGAAGACATCACCTCGGCGCGAAGTGCTGCACTTAATGTCCGACAAAACTCGTGTATATAGATGAAATCTGGTGTAGTAATCATTAATGACGATGAAGATTTTTCTTCTCTTATAAATTCTCTCTTTTTCTTTTTCTTCTATTTTTTTTTTTTTTTTTTTTTTTAACATATGACACCGCGGTAAACACTGCAAGCACATACTATAATATACAAGTTCTGTAGCTGCAGTAGCCGTAACCTAACTGGTTCTAAATCTCTGCAGCAGCAGTATATCATATGCGTTTATATATTTCTAAAAAAATATCGCAACATTGTATTCCCAGTTGATTATTAACGCTGCCGCGGCCGAAGGGAAGCTGTTTTCCATAGAAATAACCGGAACGCACGCGCGTGATAACTAAAAGAACTCGTTTTTTGTGTTCCGGGAAAGAGAAGGAAGAGGAGGGAAACTCTTAAGACTGCTGTAGAGATCTTATCGAGATAATATGCAATTTCGAAATTCTTCAGACGAATTTTACAACCCCCTCTCCTCTGTTCCGCATGAGCGTAGGAAACCGTCACGACCTATATACAAATTCAAATGTTATAAAAATAAAAAACACCGCCGGAAGAGGAATTTCCTAGACTATTGAATTTCGAACCTTATTATTTCAAACAATCAGGAGATACCACGAGGACACTAATGGTCGAATTATTAACTAAAAAAAGTGTGCTCGTTTTTAAAACAGTAGGTGAGTATATTTTTTTGTTCAAAAAACCGATTTTGTAGAAATCATGTTTTACGAATAATTAAACAATGATTCGAGATTTAAAAAATTCAAATCCGCAAATTTGTTTATTTTTATAAAAGTATACTCGCGCGCCGTCAGCGCTCCGTAAAAACAATAATAGTTGTTATTTTGATATTGCTGTTCTGTATAATACCTTTGCGGGTTTTTTTTTTTTTTTTGAACGCTTCAGAGTATTTTATAGCGCATAATCTTACATCCGGACTCGATTCGACGTACGCGTGTTATTACTGTCTGGGATTCGATACAATGATCTGTTAGCTAACACTGGCGTGTACCGCGCGCATATTGTCCGTGACCTCCGTGGATTACGATCCGTAATGATAATACAATATAAAATAAATATATACATATATAGTACCGTCGACGATGATTTTTTCATCCGTCGAGCGTTGTCAAATATATATTATCGTGCGGCACCACATTACGTTTTGTAGAGCGCGCGTATAATACGAAATGTATATATATAAAAAAAAAAAAAAAAAACCAACGAAGAAGGTAACAATACGCATAACGTGAGGGCATCGCAATACAATGATGCGCTCTTGATCTTTTTTAGTGCACATTATTATTTTCATTATACACGATGCTCCGCGGCCGGTCTTCCTGAAGCGTATTGCGCGCGTGGGACGTGAGACGCGACGACCTGTCCCGAGGAATCGTGATCCACGGCGCGATATGCTCTCGGATAATAATTTTATTATTATTATAATATAATAATTTCGCCCGGACCAATTATTCGCCGTGCCGTGTAGTTCCACGTGTTCGAATCAAATATAACATAAAGGGCGTTAAGAGGACGCTTGTGGCGTGCACGTGCATTTGTCGTCTCCGTTTTGCGAACGCACGACACAGCAAATTTGCGTTCAACAGAGCAAATTTCGGATCTGGCCTGTTAGTTTTAATATAATACGAGTGAATTGACCTACTATATTAAACGTTTAAGCGAGAAGAACATTTGTCTGCGTTTCAGTTTTTTTTTTTACGTTATTTTAATTTTTAAGTGAGGCACGAGCGTGTGAAATAGCCACGATTTAAAACGCTTATCATTCGATTAAAAATTTAAAAAAAACCAAAGTATGCATACACGGATAATGTTCGTACCTGTATGTACTGTCTCCAGTGGCGGATTTTCAACATTTTTCTGGGAGAAATTCTGAAAAATCATATGTAGATATTTAAAAGGTATCTCTATTAATAAATGCCTCTTTTTTTAAAGACGTTTAATGTAATTTTGACAAACAAACTTGAGTTCACGTGAAACAGCTTTGTGCTGTTAGTTTTAATATTATAGTGAATTGACTAGTGAATTGACTATTATTAGGAAATTTAAAGATAAAAACGTTATTTGTGTTACGTTGGTATTATTTTTTCGATATTTTGATTTTCAAACGAATTTATTATAAAATTGTGATATGTCTCGTAGGTCATATCTCTATTAGCTCACATGCGTCTTCTTAACGCTTTGATACTAGGACAATTTACTCTAATATTAAAACTTTAAAAACGAAATTGGTCCTGCCGAATGCAAATTCGCTAAGTGTTGCGTTTGTAAGACAGAAACAACAAAATTCACTTATTGAGTGAAATGCTATTAGCGTGTTTCGAGGTGATAAAAACCGAGTAAATTCGAACTTAATCAGTTTTATAATAATATTATGTATGAACTGGGTATTTTTTGAACGTGGTTTTTTTTTTAACAATTTTTAAATGTGGAGTTGTCTGCAACAGATTCGGAGAGAAACGCCCGAAGAATAATTAGCCGGGAACGAAAATTTCAGCTCAGCGCACGACGGCAACAACGCAAAAAATATAATATCGTATCTACTGGAAATGTGCGCATTTTCCACTCACGTCGCGAATTATTATATTATCCCGCCGAATTAAACGTGAGTTCATGTTTCACGTCGTAGGTATACCGCTATGATATATATGTATACTTTTCTTTCAAAAATTAAAACGCAGACGGTTATTTCCGTTGATGTGTACCCATATCTCGTCGTATGCTTTATGGTCCGCAGAAAAACACGATTTTATCGGTGGCGAATAATAATATAATATCCGTTCTTATAATCGATATCGTGTTTATATAATTATATCAACATGATGTTTGTACGTTACACGTTGTGTACTTAAACGTCGTTCGGTGGAAGTAAACAAAAAAAAAAAATCCAAAGAGTTATTAAAAAAAGACGATTTTAGAAAAATCGATTCCCTAAAGTTGTGTCACAAACAACAATTTTTAAAGCCCTTTTTAGCTTTTTAAAATTGGTTTTATAAACATTATGCACATATTATTTGTCGCCCCTTTTATAGCTCGAACTTATTTTACAGAATGTACTGTTTTATAACTACGATTCTATAAATTTTAAACCATCATTATTATAGGATTAAATCACTTATAAGTAGGGGTACTTTGAGTTTTATTTCACGAAAAAAAAATTAAAAAATGTTCATAATAAAAAACAACTTGATAAGTGATTTAATGTGTCTATATATTTTGAACAGATTTTAATCTAGTATTATTATTTATTTTTACATTAAAACTTTCTTGAAATTGTATACTCGTTTTAGACAAAAATAACAAGTCCGGACGTGATAGTCTTCATTTTGTGCGATTATAGTATAATTTTTTTTTTCCTAAACGAGTATTGCATTTTACATTATTTAAGGACTTGTTTGAGCACAAACAAAAAAAAAACAACATATTTAGTTTCATATAAAATTATAAACACACACACACACACACACACAAACGCACGCATGCATGCACAACATATATTATAATAGGCTCGTGATATATTTGTCAAAATCTGAAAGTCGACCCGGATGTTATACATATAATGAACTTGTAAAACGGTTTTCTAAAAGAGTAGACTTAAAAATTTATATTGCAGTATGATCAATTTTTTTTTGATTCTTACTACAAATATTATATGAATAACACGCATTTTAAATATAAATTCGATTCGTGAAAACATAGGTTTAACTATCGGTTACTATTCCAATAGTACAGTAGGAATATTCGTTTATATAAAAGTATTATAAACAAAAAAAACAAAAATCGATTTTTTCCGTTGTATATTACAAAATTTATGGCGCGTATACAGCATATATTATTTCGTTTGTCTCGTTTTGCGTTTCGGTTGCAAACTTGCAGCACAGTGTATACGTCTTTCCCAAATGGTTTTTCACGATTGGGTTGATTAAAACAACGTAATCATTTTGTATACAATGTCCTATATGTAATTTGTGTTGTCTTTAAGTGCGCGTTAAAAAAAAAAAAAAAAAAAAAAAACAGCGACCGACACGATGATGACTAAACGAATGCAGGGATTTATAAATTGTGTAAATTATGTTATTATATATGATAGTTTCTGTAGACGTAGCAACACGCATTTAGAGGTGATCACACGCGATAAACGTTTTTATTTTATTTTTTTCTTCTAGGATCCGTAATTAATACTCATTACACGTACGCGCGTCTATATTATGCGCGTTTTACACGTAACCACAAATTAATAGCGCGTTTTACTCCGCGTATAGCTATTATATAGAAACTATAAAAATGTATACCTAATGTTATATTGTACACGGTTGTACGTAGGTATATGCGATGCCTAAAAAGAAATCTTATAATATACGCGAGTAAGACATCACCGTCTCTATAATAATAATATTATTATAAATAATTGTTATTATAATTATTTATTATAACGGTTGTTGACCCGCTCTCGCATATGTCAAAACAATAAATTATGGTTTTTTCCTCTTAATATTATTTCTGCTTCTTACATAATGAGTGCGATATTTTTTTAAATACCATTATTATCGCCACGATGGCGCCTAGCTGGTACCATAATATACTAATCCGTCGGAGACTTCAACGCTCGAGCGGTCATAAATAATTTTTTCGTTTCGAATATTGACACAATACCTATTCATATAATAACTGTTGTATTATTAATATTATAATCTCGGTTTGTCAATCGTGTTTTTAAAAACGTTCGTTTTCCCGAGTAGGTAGTTTATTATCGATAATGGGTGTTACAATATTTTTCAATTACGACAACGCGATTTAGATTTCACCTAATTAATATACGTGTTTTAATTATAAAGGTTTAAATTATTGGGGTCAAAGACGCCGTACAGCGGTTGATATTACCGGTTTATGTTCTTTTTTTTTTTTAATCCGTTTCAATTTCAATTGTTCGTCAAAGCCCCATTAGTGTCTCTGTGTTCTTAACGACAATATTATAAGACGCCCTCGTGTATCGTATTATTATTATTATGACGATGTATAACAACGAAATCCGGAACCTGTTACTCGGCGTATATATAGTTGTATAGTTGTTGTAGGCGGTCGCGGTTGTGGTGCTCCGCTGCTCTGCAGCACGGTTTCCCGCAATGTTCGTTTGTTCGTTATTATATGAAAATCCACGACAATAGAACTATATAGATAAAGAAATATATGTACATAGAGAGAGAGAGAGAGAGAGAGAGAGAGTGAGAGAGGAACAGAGATAGAGAAATAGAATTTATAAAAAAAAAAATCATGACCGACTCGGCAAGGTAGCCGTGTGTTTAGATCCGGGCTAATTATCCGGGCTGATATAATAATATAATAATAATAATAATGTATATAATGGTTACTCGTGTTTAAACATTGAGACCCGCGCCGTGGAAACTGGTTTTTTAATGCGGTCTATGTGTTCCGCTCCGCCAGCATTATCCTTCTCTCTTTTTCTTTTTCTCTTCCATCGTCTAATTTTATTTTTACTTGTCTAGTTTTTTTTCTCTTTTTTTTTATTCGGTGGTTAAGGTCCGTCAACACCGGGGCCGCCGCCGCCTGCGCACACCACGAATAAGCGGTCCGATATAGAAACTACTCGGTGTGCTGCACACACAGACGGTAGGTCGTTGTGTTTGTACCGTTATATACCTTCTGCTACTACTACAACAACTATACATACACACTTACACAATAATACGGCAACGGTGCTCGTAGAAGAACGCGCGATGGTTGGTGTGTGTGTATTTTTTATTTTTTCAACCGTGATCTCGCGTTTTGTCACGTGTGTTTGTTGCACACACAACGTATATACATCGCTTATTTTGTGCGTTTCCACCGTGTATGTACTTCAAAGTGTACGAAATTCGTCTGAGAAACTCTACATTATGTACAGGGTGTATATACCATAAACCATTTTTTCGGTGGATTTTTAGTTAATTCGATTTCTAGCCGTGTTTTTCAGTCATTATTGAAAGGTTTAACCTTTATTTTAACATTATTTTCAATTTTAAACCCCCACTCGTTGTACCCGAATTTAATGATGTACACTTTTGATTTTAAAATAGCCAACCGCTCCCCGTTTTAAACACAGATTTAAATGATGGAGTTTATTTTTCTAAAAATGTTGGTAGGCGTAACATTAATATCGGATTTACCGTTTATGAGTTATTGAAATTTGATGAGTTTAGACCGGAGTAGTAAGGAATATGGTTATTATTTTATTAATTTATCTTCTAAACATGGGTACCTATGCAATTTATTGTTACGACTTTTTCGAACACTGTATTCAACAATACATTTGCTAAAACTCGCAGTCTTTGTGATTTCATGTCGTGTATATTATAATAGTGTTACTGCAGTTGAAAATTGTTATTTCTGTGACAGAGAACAGTTCCAAACACGTGTAATTTCAAACTCGAGGTTGTTATCAAAATAGTATATTTATTTTGTATTAGATTTAAAAAACAATAATATTGCTGTTAATAATATAGTAAACGTTAGATGGCGGTCAGATATTTTTCCCACGACTGATAGTGAAGTATAATAATAATTATATACACTGGCGAAAAATTTGAAAATGTATATTACAACAATAGCCGCCGAAATCTGGAGATTTAAAGAAATCCCAAAACCGAACATTATTATTGCAATATATTGTTTCACAAACGTAATAATGTGCAGGTTAATAACAATAAAACGCATTCAAAAATTGTATCGCGCAACAGTATATATTATAGACATATATATATATATATATATGTTATCTATTATTAGTATTTACACAGAATAATAAATTAATAATACTGTTATCTGTAAACTGTATGGATACGGACCTGTGAAGGGGCGGATGGGAGTTTACCTTCCCGTTCGTATATAATTGTAAAATCCGCTCGGTTATATTTTTCCCCGACCAAATCGTATGAACGATTCTATTGTCTACAGGCATGTGCACTTGTGTTGCGTACGAAAATTTATATTTTTCCATTGAACTCGTCCGACTAGTTGCGGTAAATATAATTATACAGGTAGTGAGAATAATATTATTTTCATGCGCGCGATATCCGCCGCGGTTGTAGGACCGTTTTGAAACGTTCTCGATCTCGGCGAACATAACATTGTTACAGTATTGTGTATTATTATTATTAGATTCTGAATGAAACGAGGAATTGGTAGTTTTAATATGATTGTGTGTTTTTTTTTTTTGTGCCTGTAAACGATTTATTTTATCAGATATCTTGCTCCAATTAGACACTCAATAGGGACTTTCCTGTAGCAATATTATTGATCTGTTTGGTGAATTAAGAGGTCATTTTTTGATTTCCCTTGTGGTTTTCTTAATGAATGGAAAAAACTGACAATTCATTGTATACATTTTTACCTTGTTGACAACAAAAAAAAAATAATACGACTAATCATTTACTTAGAATTGTTTTTTGTTAGCAACGTTTTATCCTTAGATACAGACATGCAAATTAAATTAATCTATAACAGGTATATCCTTCATTTCGACTTTTCTCCGAAGACAGTGGTACACTTATCAGCATCATCATTCTTCAATTTTAATATATTACGTGTCTATATAATATCTTTGGTCTTTAAAAGCTAATTAGGAATGATCGTTAACAAGTTACGGAAAACGATTGAAAACTATAAAATAAAATTATATTCTATAAGAAAATTGACCAAAAACAGATATCAAATTGACTTTAGCCCTTTTTTCTTGGAATCAAATATAAATTATTATTGCGGTTCGCTCGACATGGGTAGGCGGGTACCTATTGTTTGCCGCTCGATACGCCGATTATAAACATTTTTTGCTACTCCGCCGCGACCATTTTTGTAATATTCAACACCGCCGTGCCGACCAAATGACCCAGAAAACCTCTCGCCCCGCGCGAACGTTATTTATTTATTTTTTTTTTTTTTTATCGTTTGAAAATATGTATTATTATTATTATTTTAATAAATCTCTATAACGCGCGTTGTCGGTATCTCGGTATCGCGTACCGGCATATATATATATATATATTATTATATATTATGTATTATTATATTATACAGTGTTCTGTGCGCGTGTATTTAAAATGTAGGTGACGTCGTGACTTCGAATAACCACACCCGAAGTCGAAACGGATCTGCCCGGAACCCCTTTGCCCGTTGCAGCGCACCGACTGCAGACTACCGCCCCTCCTTCCTTTCCCGGCTCCCCTTCTCCACATAGTGTGTACGGTCGTTCTATACGGTTTATAAAACTAGATTATGCGGCGCGTCGGGCTCGGGCGGCGGCGGCGGCTGGTGGTGATCTCGCACGCGAAGGGGGAAATATATAGGTATACAAGAAGAAGTGCGGGCTAAGTATATATATATATATATAAACATATGTATGTATGGTATAAGGAGAAGTGTATAGGTATAATCCGGTATATAAGATCGAGGGGAGGGGGATACCGCGAGGACCGGTTTTCTACGCGTATATACAGATCGAGTTACCCGGACCAGATTAATCAAAATACACGTTGCGTGGGTGCTCTCGATTTATATGAATTTATATTATATTATGTGTGGTACGTTGCTACAGCTATACTGTATTATGCGTCTAGGAATATACACGAGTCGGCAAACCTCCGCCGCACGATTATTGTTTTCTATAATATTGTCCCTGCTTCCCAGCACCTCCTCTACTTTACAATCGCGGCGAGCGTACCGCCCGATCGCCGTGTGGATGTTACACTGTGGCAACGGCGGATGCACCGGCCGCACGGATTCGAAATCGTACGCATAGTATAATAGTTTCCCATATAATTTGTTGTGGTCCGTCGTTATATTATATCGGTTATAACCACGCGCGGTAACGACCCCCTCGTGGCCGAACCACGAATATCATGATAATATTAATATGATATATGAAGTTCGTCATTCGGCCGTGAACTCGCCGCTGTTGCCTCGTGCCGGAGTGTTTTGAGAAAATTCGTGCGCTCACTGGGTATAGGCCGACGTTGGCTATTCAGTTGTATACTTGTATAGACTAATTTTAGACGTGTTAAATCGAGTCCGGAGATAAAATAACTGAAATTATAAAATACCAAGCAAAAATCGAAATAAGAACAATTTTTGTGGGAGTATTTTCATATATACTAATTAAGAGAACAAGAGTTTTAAGTTTTAAAAGCTTTTTTCGTTTCTATGCCCGTGTGTGTGCCTTAATAATGATTTCTACAAATTATTGGAATACAAAAAAAAAACGGACATACTTTGCTTGCACGATGGGTGAGCAAAATCGTTGTTAACGAAAAACGATTTTGACCGAAGTTCGGTTACACATGTTTTGAAAAGCCGTAATATTTACGATTTGAAAACAATACATTTCGTATATTTTTCCCGTTTTTTCTACGATTTTTTTTCACTTATTACGAAAACCCGTGAGAAAATCAAAAAAATGACCTGATTAAAGAACCACCTCAGTCAAATTTACTTTCAGAAAAAGTTTTACACTTGAAAATCGGATCAAAATTTTAAGTATAAAAGTCGATTACAAAACAAAATAAATATCATTGTTAAATCAATACGTTCCTCGTTTCATTCAGAATTTAAAATCGATTAAGTAATTGAAAAACGATTATTAATAGAGTACTACAAGTCGTATTGTTATCCCTAAATTAGACAAAAAGTGTCCAGTTTTCCCAATTTATAAGAAAATTGTAAGACAAATCAAAATATGGTCTTCTCAATAAAAAAAACGAATTCTACAATACAGTTCCTATGTTTAATTTTTGATAAGAGCAAAATTTCTGGTAGAAGAATTGTATACAGAAAAAAAAAATAGTAAAATAAATAAATTTCTTTTTTAGTTCAGAGTCTACATAAAATCGGATGATTTTAAAATTAAATGAGTATTTATAGTCTACAAAAAAAAAAAAAAACACAATATAGAGGGGGGTCTTATAAACAAACCGAAAATGTTCGTGTGATTATTCTGTGACTATAATATAGATTCGATATGTTTCCGGCTCGATACACCGCGGGCTAACCTAGTCGGTAAATATAATAATAATAACTGCAGCAAGTGTCTTTATGTGCAGTACTATAAATTGCATCACCATTTTTAACGTGACGTGTTTCGCTTATAATACCCATACCGTTGATAATAATAATAATAATAATAATAATAATAACGCACGTGTATCTATATACGTACGCATAAACGATTGTTTTATTGCGTTTGATAAAATAATATATGCATACATATATATGTATATATTATACATATAATATATAAATATGATCGACGACGTCGGTCGTAAAAAACTGACTTTAATTGGTAGTTTCGAACGAACTCTACTGCAGCAAAGTCGTAGCAAGGCCGTAACCCGGCTGCAGCAGCAGCGCCGGTCGTGTCGGTGACCCATATATTATTTTACATTATAAAATGGGCTATCTATAAGATTTTTTCATTTCCAACACGCCCGTAAGCGTAGTGTTCGGTATTAGTTTTCTTATTTTTAAAATATATCGAATATAAAAAAAAAAAAATAAACCGTGCATCAACCTATTCAGAAACGAGCAGACCGCGTACGCGGACGACGAGTGTGGGGGCGGGTAGGGGGACACACACACTCGTCTTTTGTGGGTATACAATAATAACAACAATAATAATACTATTTTTTCATAGGCGTAACGTTTGCGCGTGTGTGTCATTAGATTACAATAATAATATGTACGACGACGATGGTGCCGTTACTGAAAACCGGGCTCTCCTATACGTCGTCGTCGCGAATGGAAATCGATTTTCGCCCACTCATTCCGCCGGGGCTAGCGCGGCTCCGAGAGTAGATAACAAACAGTCACAAAATATATTATCGTCATTCCGTAGTGCGTTTACGAGGCAACACAATGTAACGATATATTTTAACAATTTGATCTATTTGCGGCGGCGGGAAAGTGACCGTCATGGAGGAGGCGGTGCGCGTTAGCCGGGGCGACGGCGGCGGCGTTTGTGTGAATAGCAGGTCGTTGCAGGATACGTTTATGAAAACCGATGCTGTGCGCCATATAGAAATAATAATAATAATAATAGTGGCGATGATAATAATAATGATAATGTTATATTATTGTGTTGGCGCGGTGGGCGCGGCGCGCAGGGGATGCGATCGTGTACACCGATAACGGGGGGAGTCGATTGAGCGGCGGGTGGGTAGAGTGGAGGAGAGGACAATTAATTTTGATTTAACGTATAACACGCTTAAGCGTGTGTATTATTGTACGCGTGTTCGTATCAAGGTTTTGACGCGACGATAGTCCGTCGGAAAGCCGCGCGCGGCTGTGCGTCGATTAACATTTCGGACGTAAACTATTTAGGACACGCGTGTATAATAATAATAATATTGTACTCTTATCATATTATATACGTACGTGTATGAACGGCGTGGACACCGCCGTTGAGTGCCGTCGAATGCGCGGCCAACATTATAATAGTAGGCTAGTACCAACTCGTATGTTCCGAAGAAAAAAAAAAAAAAGAAAAAAAAAAGACGTGTGGAAATGAGTTGTATTCATAGTTGGGTTCCGTTGGATCGTGTGAGTTTTGAACTGAACGCTATTTGTTAACCCGTGTCGAAAATCGCATGTTCCATAATAATATGAAAAACTCACATAATATCCAATTATCAACTCACATGTTCTAAAACTTCAAACTCGACAAAAAATATAGACGATTACTATTAAAAGTCGTTTGGACAATTGCTTGGCCGAAAGTCTATAAGGGTCATGTATTTTGGATTTCCTATAGCACCGGAAAATCCTTTTCCGTTTGTTCGCTGGAAAACTTGATTTATAATTCTAGCCTACTTTTATAAACTCGACAGGTAGAGCTAACCGTTCGAGTAATGGTAACACAAATCAAACATCAAATTGATAACATCAAAATTTCGAGGGAAAAAAAACGTTTCCGGTTGAATTTTTCTGTTCTAATATTTATGATTACGTTGTGCAAAGTTCGCCATTTAACGTTGCATCATTACATCAAGAAGACAATAACCTTTTATTTAAGAGCATGGCATACCCGCATTATCTGTACTATCGTACCAACGTACGGCATAGCGAATTTGCAGAGACGACACGAGTTGCCGTTATTTTTGATATTACAGCGAGTAATTTATCTACTGTAAAGATAAGAACAATTTAAAAATGTTCGTATATCACTTAAAAATTATTAGGCATACCGAGAAAAAATTGCATCGATTCACATTTAAGTTTGACGACAGCGAGTAAATTCGCTATATACTATTAACGCTTGACAACACAGGCCACAAATTACGCGAAATTTCTGTCTCGCGTTCTGTTTAATAAGACGGTGACGGAACAAGATCAAAATATGGACGATTGTAGCTTTATTTTCCGCGATAACAGCCCGCGGTCGAGTTCCATACTTCGTCGGACCTATGATAATAATATTGTATTATGGGTTCGCTGTGACGAATACACATTTTTGATATTATGACGAAATTAGCATACTATAGTATACGTCGGGACGGATCACGAGTGGAACAATCCGCCGATCACGATTCCGTTTTGTGTTTTTGACGTGTGTTTTTCCTATTCTCGCTTTTCGCCCGTACACACGCGTCCGTCATAATAATATTATAATGCCGTCCCGTGTCATTTATAACGTACCTGCATACAGTGTGTATTATATTATTATACGGATTATTTCGAGAGACGCGCGCCCCTCGTCGCAAAATTGACGTCGCCGTCGCCCCGGAGAGACGCGTATAGCAGTCGGCCTTCGCGTCTGCCGCTGGAGTATTGAATCCGCGTGCGTGAGACTCGAAAAACTAGGTTATGTTATATTATAATGTACTCCGCGGTCTGATAATAATAATGATAATGTAATGTATGCACGAATCGCGGCGGGTGTGCGCACTTGTCGGCGCGTATGACGTTACGGTGCCGGCGGTGGGGAAGTGCGAGGGGAATCGCACGACACAATGTTTATACGTATATAATATTATTATTATTATACACTCGGCCGGCGGAATGCGTAATATTATAATAATAATTATTATTATATACTTTACTCGGGTCCAATTTATAATATCGCCAGTACAGTACCCACAAGTACTGCGCTTTGTCGACGGCGGTGTAGGTTACTGGGTACGCGGCGGATGGATAAAAAAAATGTCCGGTTTTTCGACTTTTATTATAGGGTCCTAGGAAAGAATTAAGTTCCCGCGGGCGCGTCCAGGGTTCAAAACCTCCTAGCATACGATTTCAGACGAGGGGCACGTTAATATATAACGTCAGTATCCCCTGATGAAGTTAAAGTTTATTTTAAAATAGAAATGCATATTTTAGAATAACTCGGTTATTAAAAAAAATTAGCCAAATTATTTTCTAATATCCTGTTTTTTTTGTTTTTTTTTTTTAACTGACCGAGTTAAATTTTATCGAAATAAAGTAACCGTAATATAACTTAACGTTTAACTTTTTAAATATAGTCCAGCTTTTGTGAGTATTACGAATCATCACTAAATAATATATCAACATCCATACCGTATGATTTTCATTTTGAAATTTCGATGCTGCGTTTCGGTTTCGAACATTCTTTTTCCTTTTTTCCTTTAATAGACAACATTGTACTCCGTCACCCCGGGGAATCGCACATATAAACGCCATCGCTGCACAGCATAATCCTATTATATTGTCAGCTACCGTGGTATGTACGATATAATATATTATATAAAGCTACCTAACCTACATACTAATATTCTATTAGTACAACACCTATATGTAATTACACCAGATATAGGAGCCGAGTAGATACAAAAAAAAAAAACCTCAACCGCAATGCCGGATGTGGGGATACTCGAGTCGAGATCCAAAAAATATATTTTCGTGCGGTTACCACACACAAAAGAAACGCGTTCATATAGAACGTGTTAAACATCGTTCGTCCGTTTTTATTATTTAGAAGTCGTTTTTTTTTTTATTTAACGCATTAGTTATTCTTGTCGCGCGTACTGCAGCCGCGGAGTGTTGTTATACTTAAGTGCATCACCCGACGTGTGTCATGGTGCGACGTATACTCATAATATATATTTACGATGATAATATTCGATAAACGTATTGTAATTTTTTTTTTTCGCTCTTAAAAACAAATTTCATTTCTCATATTTTGAAACTACAGGTTTCGTTAGAAAAAAAAAAAAAAAAATTTATGAAAAAAAATCGTAACTTTTTCTGTTGCAGCCGTGCATATACGTTTAGATCGCCTAGAAAAACCGTAGACCGTAATATTATATGGACCTCACCCCTGTCGTTATAATCGGTTTGTCGAGTATTTGCATAATACCTTACGTGTATTATTACCTATACGTGTGTCGATACGTTTCCCCTCCTCCCGCCCCCATTTCGTCGGCGTCTCGAAATCTCGTTAAAATAATTATCCTCGACGTATACCCACAATTTTTTCACGCGTGTGTAGTACACACGTTACGAATTATATATATATATATATATAAAATCAACTTTCGCTCGACTGCGATTTGTAGCGGTTTTGTGCAATCTTCAATATTATTTTAATTGAACTCGTTAACTACTATATAGGTACACGCGTTATGGGTTGACGTGCCGCGGCGTTCTTCGTCATCGTCATCTTTTTCGAGTCTTCGGACACATCTGTGCATAATGTTAATATTATACGAGACGCCGAAACATTGAAATTTCAATTTCAAAAGGGAAAGTCGCCGCAGCCGTATCATCTTGTAGGATTATACGCGGATTTTCAGACCTGACCGTTTCACCATATTATTATTATTTTATATATGGCTATTCGTCATTAAACAGACGGGCGCGTTATTTATTTCGTCCATATTTTACATCTTCTCTCCTCCCCCCCCCATCCATCCCGTCATCGGATTTTCGTCTTCTCCATAATACCTATATTATTATTATTATTTATTTATTTTTTTTTTTTTTTTTTTTTGCCGTCATATCATATTATTATATTAAATGTACTATAGGAGACCGACGACCTCTCCGCGCGTCGGAATTGACCTGCGTTAAAAACCGGTTCATCGTCGTCGTCGTCGTCGTTTTTCGTTACATTCCGGATACCTAATTCAGTCAGGAAGTAGAAGTAGAAGATTGCAATATCGAAAATTATAATTCGGTTATTCCGGCGTATATTTAATCGACGATTATTTATTAAAAAAAAAAAAAAATCGCACAGAGCGTTCGCCTATAAATTATTATCATCGTTGTAGGTATATTGATGGTTTCGAAAATCCGTAATTTATTTAGTTTTATTTTAGTGTAGGATCCTGCGGATTTAGCCCGTTACGGATTCGGACCGTAACGGTGCATACAAAATACTTTATAAAAATTCCGAAATCGAACGGACGGCAAAAAGTACTATGCGATGGTAATGACGGTTATTCTAGCGAGCAATCTATTATTTCCAAAGGTAGTCTACTTTGAAGCGGTTGGGGGGGGAGGGAAATACCGAAAAATTGATCGTAATAATCCGTGATATAATATGTTTCTAATAAACATTCCTTTGAATGAAATCCCTGACTATTTCCTCATCACTGACCGTGTTCAAAATGCAGTAGAGGCGGACGGGTTTGTTACGATTTGTTTTCTTTATACGCCTATGGCATTTAGGTTACTTTATATTTCGATAACATTTGTGTGGCAGTTGCGCCGTCAATACCGGAAAAACGACGTTCCTTTTGTCTCTTACGGAGCCATTGCGAACAATTTAGGAGCATATAATGACTATGTTGACGTACAGGTTGCATTTTCACCGTCAGACACGCGTTTACACGATTTTTAACCAATACCATAATCATAACCGTTCTAGATTGTCCGGCGTGATATTAATTCTGCAGCAACCAAAATAACGACTCGTTTAAAAAATACGTCATCTAACCTGGTTACATTTTTGGTCGATCGCCAAAACACTCCTTTTACATGGATTCTTTCGGATTCGTTTACCACGCGATAATAATATTATTCTATAATATGTATATCATTATCACTAGGTATACCTATTATATTATAATGTATACGTATAATATGCGTGCTTATGGTTTTACGACAAAAGATTCGCTACGCGCGAGGTTTGCGGTCAACTGTATTATCATTTTTTTTTTTTTTTTTTTTTTTTTTAATCTCTCGCCGATAATGACATAACGCCGCGTATTATTTATCATTATAATATATTATTATTCCGCATTATATTATAGAATAACTATTTCCACTATACATACGTTCGCGGCATGCCGAATTAATAATCGCTCATGTCTCCGACGACGACGTGCGCCCCCCCCGCGCACAGTTGTGCGGATTTGGATTCGAACGACGCGCTATTAAAATATAACAGCAGAGATCGCGCGTCGCGTACACAATAACAATAATAAATCATTATCCGAACGCGATAATAACAATAATAATATTAATATTGTGTTTTGCAGAGTGTTTTGTGTACGGTATTTTTTTTATTTTTTTTTTTCATGTACGCTCGCCCCGCTGCAAGACTGCAATCGTGGGCGGTCGATAAATATTATGTATATTGTCGTATAGGCGGTCGTCGTCCGGAAAATGTGTGGGTACTTATCTATATACTGTATGAACATTTGTTTAAATATCTGCGGCCAGCAACAATAATTACATAATGTAAGTGAGCGAATATGATTTCCCTCCCCCCCTCACCGATATTCGCTATAAAACCGTTAACCGATACGATATTTGAAATAACGCGAGTTAACATTGGTGTAATCAACCGATATACCGCGATCCATTAAAAACTCGATTTTTATAAAGTTTTTTTTAATATTCCAGAGATATACAAAACGCATAGTTTTTACATTTTCAACAACGTCATCGAAGCCGCGGATTTTTAAATTTCGATTTCTATTCTCGTACTTTGAGTTTTATAAATTTGTTCGATTGATTAATTCAAGAGGAGTAATAAAAACGGTTTTAATAGTTATAATACCCTGCAGTCAATAAACTTAGAATTGTTTTTTCTTCTTGTTTTCAATGATGAACCGATAGTATGAACCGTATCCGACTTCAGCCCAAGTCGAAACGTAACCGAGTTAGTGCCAACTGTCACGTGCGTTTCCATGTTATCAGTTATCTAAATTATTTTATTCATTAGTTCAGTCATGTAAGGATTTACAAAATATAACCAAGGTGCCTTGGTCAAAACTTGCAGATACTGTATCAAGGAAATTATAGTGTCCTATAAGTGTAGTGTAAACCTAATACCTATTACCTAGTCAATGAAAAGCCATTTTGGGTTTAGATAAAGCAGATAAGAAACAAAAACACTTAACCTACTTATTTATATCTAAACCACAATAATGTTCCAAGGAAATTAGTTATAGTTTCTGAAATGTAAACCTAAAATTTTCTACTTTTTCTTTTTTTTCAATGGATAACTGCTTTCAAGACCAGCCCTTTAAGCAAATATTCCGCCAACTATTTACATCCTCCATCACTGCGTCTCTTTATTGTACTCCAGGTTCCATCACTCCTGCACATAATCCTCCCATTTAGAGCGAGATATTTCTAGTGGTCACTTTCCTATTGGGTCATGATTTTGATCGCAGTCCTTAATTCCTTATTACTGATTCCTGCTGTCTCTATGTATATGCTGCCCATTTCATTCCTCCCACTAGAATTTCGATTGCGAATTTGTGGTGCTGAAGTATTAAAACAGATCTTGGCGTTCTCGACTTATCCTCCATTCCTAATGTCTTAATTCTTTGCTTGATCCGAACATTCTTCTTAACATTTTCCTTTAGAATTTCCCTTATTTGTAATCCTAACCCCTATAGTCAATGCAAGTCTATAGTCCTCCGCGGGTACACAGACACGGGTCGATGCAGAAAGTCTCACTGTGCACACTGCACATACAGCAGTTCTACTGTGCACTCAATCGTTACGCCCACCCCGACGGGGAAAAAAAACCCAATATTATAATAACAATCTCACGACGACGATGACGATGCCGCCGCCCAAGTACATCACAGGGAAGTTTCCCACGACTCGTCTGATAATTTTTGTATAGTATTATACTCGTATACGTGATATTATATATCGCGGCATTGCGGTCTGCGGCGTTTTTAACGCAACGTTAGCCGCCGAACGACGCCGTTCCGTTATATTCCCCATACGGGTTTTGGAAATTGGAAACGTTCAAATACCCGATCGAATACCCGTATTATTATTAAGTATATTATTATACGGCGAGCAGTCGTGGGTACCGCCGCGAAAAAAAAAAAAAAAAACAAAAAAGCTGACAGACGGGCGAATTTTATTTTCTACCTGTACAGTGTAAGCCCATAAACAGGTAGAGCGATGTGTTTAATACTGCAGCAACGTATAGGCACGCTATTAATTTTCGAGTCGATAAAAATCGGTCGGCGAGGTACAGCGAAACGGAAATGCTCTCTCCGCCGCAGTTAGTATCGGTAATGGGTACATTTATGCGGTTTCGCATGTTTGTTCAGAAATTTATGTTTTTCTTTTTTTTTTATCTCGATCGCGTTCTGATTGTATTACTTACTGTACAGTAGGCTATACATTTATTGATCTTTACACTTGGATACTATACATTATTATTCGATGTTGCGTGCCGAATATTATTCGACGCGGCGATATGTACAATAGATTATCCGCAGCAGCTCTCGTAAGAAAAACAATTTCTCTCTCTCGCGTTCGACCATATACGTATCGATTATAGGTGTATCTACTAGTATTTTATACGCGTGTCGGTCGTGTATGATATTTGTGTCGAGTGCGTGTGGCACATGCGGCAGAAACAATATCATATCATATTATTCATCCCGTCCTCGCCAATATACGTATACTTGTATAATTTGTATCAGTTTTTATGAAAAAAAATTTAAATTAAAATTCCGGACAATCCGTGTTATGCGTCGTCGTTGTAGAGTTCGCGGGAACGGCCGTCGCGAGTAGATGTACGAAAAATAACGCGTTACACATGGTTAAACAAACAGGCACGTCAGTGAGATATAACAGTGCGCATCGAAGCTGACGTCACGTGGAGTAAATCATGGTACAAACAATATTATTTCATGGACGAAATGAAATATGATCGTAGTCTCATAGTTAATAAGAAAATGGATAGGTCACTTCTTTAATAAGCGTATGAGAGGCGATGTTCTCGCTGGAGGGCGGAAAACTGAAGTGGTTTTTCAGTTATCACCATAGATAAAACGTCTCTTTTTGTGTATCAGTCTTGGAGAACTGCACCCAACCCTTTTGGAACACTGAAAATTTACGGATAGCTTATCCATAAATATATTTATTATCTATACATAATTTAGTATCAATATTACCATTTTAATGTTGAAAAATTGGATACGCCTGGAAAATAAGCCATTCGAAGTAAGTGCCCGGTGATAGTGAATTTTGGTTAGCTTGTTGACATGTCTGTTTGTTTAGCCATGATGTTTTACACCCGATATAGCACTGATAAACACGATTATATTATTTAGTTTAAATGTATAACTGTAATAACTGTAACTCGTGTTAAGAATATGTGAATATCTAGACTAACGGGCGACGCAGCGAAGTTACGTAGGTTACCTAGAATTAAACTCGTGGCGGTTTTATAGTTTGAAATTAGAGTTTCAAATCACGGATAAGAAACTGTAAACAGAATAATATTTTCGAGGGAAACATGTTGTTTTTTTTGTGTCAAATTAAATTAATTATAACTTACAGCCATAATATTAATTTTTGTTTTTAAATAGCCGTAGGCAGCTTTTTCGTTTCACAATATTTTAGAAAAAAAGCAACGTGGCGCTTTCGAAAATATTCTTCTCTTTATATTTCATAACCTGTGTTTGAACTTTAATTCCAACCTAAACTCCGCAAGTTTAATCTAAAGTTCTGAAATTTTACTATGTAATCAGTTGAACTGCTGAAACAGTAAATTCGCTAGTGTCACGTATTCTCTTAAGGCGTGTAAAGCATTATATGTCGGTGTTACTCGATCGCGTCGGCGGCACTACACGATTCGGACACTTTCTTATAATTTATTTATTTTTTCACTCAAACAAAATACTATCCGTAAACTAACGACGAATAGCACGCGATTTCAACTACAATCATACGATCGCCGTACTTGGGTATCGTTAGTCGGTATGCTGTGTTTTTCAAGCGTGAAAACGTTTTAACTTTGTTATCCTATATGACCGTGTACGAAACACGTAGGTTTGGACAACGTAACTGTGTAAGTGTGATGAAAACCGTTTTTCAGCTCAACAATAGTTATTTATCCGTAAATTTTTAGATCCCGTACGAAAAGACTCGATGAAGTGTATTCAATCAATATCAAGTGTTCTTGTTTTAAAGTTGTGATAACTTTATCGGTTAGTCAAAATTCTCAACAATTTTCATATACCTATACTTTTAAAAATGCCGCGAATATTTCAAACGGCTTCTATGTTACTTGATTTGAAACATTTTCCTATATTCCCATCAGCAGATTTTTTTTAAAGATTTTTAAAAAAAAAATCTAACAACCATTAATGACCAGTTCCGGTATCACAAAATCTACATAGAACGCAAAGATGTACAAATTTGAAGTCAGGAAGTCCAACATTATCTCAAAGTCGGCATTTTAATTTCTCGGTTCCTTTGTGGATTGTGGTTATAAGTGAGGTAACTGTACCTACTTTGATTATATTCAAACCAGTCAAAAATGAGCTTTACTTGGATTTTTCGTATTCAATCTAAATATTATAACAATATTATACCTTATCGACGTCCCACCTTATTGTGCACGTCCTGCTCTTTAGCGCATTTTTGCGAAATGCGCTATTTCGCCCGAGAAAACATTGGCTGACAGTACTCAACACATATTCGTGGACAGTCACCCGCGTTTTCGGATACCAATAATACAATAATAATATTATTTCTGTCGATAAAAAAAAAATGTTGATGTATAATAACGACACGTGCGTTTTGGCAAGATAATATTATAACATACCTCCAACAAAAATAATAAAAATATTATTTTTAGTATTATATAAACGACGCGGGGCAAAGACACTATTGCTGCTGCGGGTGGAAGGGTTTCGTAATTCGGTCTCAGTTAAATAATAATAATAAAATAAAACACACACAAGCCGTAGTCTATTCACCGCCGCCGCAGAAGAAATGCTCATGAGGGGGGAGGGAGGGGAAATAAAAAAAAATACAACTGGGCGTCGTCGACACTGCTCTGCGTCGTGGGATCGGGCGCGATGTTGCCGTTTTGCCAGTGCGATCACGTACTGAAAATATTTTTAAACGCTCCGCACATACTAAACAACTGGTTTTCGTGAGTGTGTGTATGTGTGTATGTGTGTGTGAGTGCGTGTATTTCGGTGTGCGTAGTCGTAGTGCAGTGTTCATATATATCTGGTCAAACATATTGTTTACGTTTTCTCTTGACTGTAATATTATAGGTATACGAGGTATACGCGAAACAATGGGTACCGGCATTTTATTTTTTAATCGAACGATAAAAACACGAAAAAAAATTCGTCCGCAGCCACCCAACCGTCGTCGTCCCGGTCGTCGCTGGCCTATTAAAAACCATGTATTTATAAATACCTATTATTATATTATTATTACCGTTCGAAAACGCGGACCAGATACGACATCGTTTTGTATATTGCATATTATAAGTTTTGTGTATAGCCAGCAAGAAAAACGGACGACCGACTCGGCTGAAAAAGTGGTTCCCGCTGCCCGCCGCGTTTCCCGATCACTGACTTTTATTTTATCTGCTATAGTACGTATAGTTTTATTACATAAATTGAATAATATATGGACCATGCGGTTACTTTTGTTTTGTATTCACGATTTGAATAGCGCTCTTGGTGTTCGTCTTTGTACTAATAGTCGATCGAGAAGCTCTGGTTTTATACTGCGGCTTCTGTGAACGCGATAGACACATAGACACGAACACGAGAGACGAGGCATTCGGTATTATAATGTGTGGAAGTGGGCGGAACTATTCAAAATGAGAAGAACGCTAAGTGTTCTCTATCTAATCACACCGCAGTCACTATTATCAGTCTTATCTCGTTCGACCCGCATAGCACGACCACGTCCGTCGGTCCTCAGGATTAGATGTAAAAGTTTATATGATTGGCTTCACGGCATTAGGTCTTCCTCGTATCGCGCGTGACGTCGTTTATTCATCGTTAGAGATCCGTGTAATATGCGCTTCGCGGCGGTGAAACTATTTACTATAAATAATAAATAACCTATTAAAGATTAATACTTTATGATCATTTTAAAGCAAATTAAATTACCCATGAATACTTGAAAAAATACACGAACTATTAAAATTGATCTTCTTTTTAACAGTTCATAGTTACGCGTTTTGCAATACGACACGATTTCTTTCCTTGCCAAAATCCTAAACATGCCACTGATATACGGACCATAATATTTTCGTCTGCGCGCAGATATCGCGACCAAATCACCGTCATCGGTTTTTAACGATCGCGGACATATGTTGATAGTATTATTGTATATGGTCTCGCGGTCATTTGCATTGGTGTAAAAACGGCCGTTATCATGTACCGCGGTAGAAATTAGCGGGCCGACCACTCGCGGGTATACGGTTTTTTTTTTTTTTTATTATTATTATTATTTTTTATCGAGTCACGCGTCTATAAATCGTATAATACGAACATAATATATATACATGCATACATACATACGAGCAAACAACGTGATTTATTCGAACCGGGCATAGGGAGATCGTTAATAAATTTCGAGTAGGTATACACACACGTACCTAATATTATTACCTATCATATTTGTATATCCCACCGGGCGACTATAATAATTCGTATACCTACCTGTATGATATTATTACGACGTCTAAAGTTTCTCTCGCGGCCGCGGAATCGTGACGCGTTGCCCGGGAACCGGGTCGTAAAGCATAATATAATAATATTAATACACTATATATTATAGCACAATGTGTGTGCCGTATAAAACACGAGTCGTATACAGACGGACGGACTGACAAGTCCACAATGCCGCCAATCGTGTGAGTAAAATATTGTCGTTTTTTTTTCCGATATCACTTTATAATAATATTACTGTCGAATTTTCCCTGAAAATACGAGTTTATTGCATTGCATATAGTGACCGATTTAAATAATATGTGTATCGTGCACACTATTGAACGGAAAAAAAAAATCAACAAATTGAAATTTTCGTATTTTTTAAAACGATCGTGATGAAAGTTGCGTTGAATTTAAAAATGGATTACTGCATATTATGTTGAGGGAAAAGATGTTTTAGTTTATTTGAACAGTCCTGCAGATCCCCAAAATGAAGCTAGTTAGTATCAACGGTATGCTAAAGCTACAGGTTTATGATAATCGAACAGGTATGAAATACGTATAGGTATAGGTACGTTGGTTTTGTTAAAATTGCTAGTAGAAAAAAAAAAAAGTTAACAATTTATCTCATACATGTTGACTGCTGCATTTAACTCAATGGACAAAATTCTATAATACATAGAATGTGTAGATGTATGTCTATGATAAACAAATTACGAGGTGTTTCGCACGCGCGAATTTATCAAATCCTCGGGAAATCGTATAGACTCCCCCGTCCCACACCAAAAATAGAAATCTTTGTCCGGCTATAATAAATATGACTATTGGCCTCAATATCGAATATGTCATAAAAAAAAACAGCGTTCGAATCGTCACTGAAAATTGTACGTACAGACAAGATTAGTATCATTATTTTATATTATACCGTTTGAAAACGTAAAACGATAAAACCATTTTGTACACGACATCCTAGATGAGACTGTACATTAATATTATGTATAGTACCTACACCTCGTCGTGTAATATTGTTTTGTACCGGATCCGTGTGTTTATACGTAGGAGAAGCCGGATATATAAAAATGTGTGATAAAAAAAAAAACAACAGATCCCTGGTTAACCTCCCCCTCTAAAAAAAACCCCAAAAATACGTCTACAGGATATTTAAATAAATTTAATTTTTAAAAAACCGTATAAAGTCGCTTTAACGATTTCTGATGTGGTTTTCTCACGGTTCCAGCGAAACGAGAAAACGTTTTAAACACGTGCTTATTATAAGACGGTATACGGATGGGTACTTTAGAGAGATTATTAATTTCGTCCCGCAATTTCTCAGTCCGTCACCCACCGGTAAGATATTCATCGGTAAGCGTTTTAATTTTAATTAGGTAGGTTTTTTTTTTTTAAAAAATACTTTAGCGATCGTCGTGATTTCTCTTGCAATAACCGAAAACAATAAAAAAAAAAAAAAACTCAGTTACTAATATTATCATCACTATTATCAGCCGGCTATTCTCGCTACACTCGCCTAGCGCAATTAATATTATTGGCTTGTCGTGATGGTGTCGGTCGGAGACGTTTAATACGGACATATCTAATAGTAATAACGCACATTGTGTGTGTGTGTGTGTGTGTGTGTGTGTCCGTTGTAAACAGGCGGTCGTTTGTAAACGAGTTTTCGAAAAGAACGAAAAGCGGCTCCCGGAATACGCGCCGGACGACGGATATTATTATTAATACTCGGTCTTAGTATGTTGTAAGTGATATTATAAATCACCGGCCACACATATTTTGTCGACACCCCGTCGATCGACCGTGGCACATGGGGCGTACACTCGTGTACGAACTGCGACCAAAATGACCGGCTTTTTTTGTTTTTTTTTTTTTGTTTTTTCTACCGTTGTTAACTGCACCCGGTTTATTCGCGCGCCGAGCGTCGAAAATGATAATAGTTATTATCATAACATTACAAAAGAAATCATTCTCGACGGGCTGTATAAACGGTTGTTGAATCGTTCGAAATGGCTAGTGTTCAGCATTTCAAATGCTGCAAATCTTTAGGGCGAACGTTTTCTTGGCATATAAGTACCGATTTCAACGAAACCGCATGTTTCAACCGGCGTTTTATTACACCGGAACTAACCATTATTACGCGTACAAAAACTGAAAAACCCGCCCGTTGATTCATACAAACGGTTAAATAATACCGACTGACAATGATTGATTGTACGTCAATCGCGCTAAACTGATAAAAGTCGACCGCCACGACCAATATACACTTTACAGATGTGCGTTTACAATATTTAGAAAACACGGTGTTGCGCAAAGTCGCACTGCAGTCGTGATTTTATTGCAACGAATCAATTATAAATATGTTATGTGGAACGTGGGTATACATCTACATTTTATTTTCCGTTAAGAGGTCGGCACGTGTTTTCTTATTCTTACTCTAACGCATGACGTAGCGAAATTACGTTATTCAGAACACAAATTGTGGCGTTTCGATTGACATTTCAGTTTATTCACAAACAACCAAATTCGAAAAACTAAAGAACTTTATCGTTTTTTACAAATCCTGGATAGCACCTTGGAGTACACTTGTTTTAGCCGTTACTCAATCAGACGCAGTTTTTCCCGCGATCGTCCGGCACGCTAGGGAGGAACGGACGAAAGAGGAGAGGCAAAGAACGGTGGAAATTATTATCATACTGTCGGAATTCAACGCGTGTGCAGTGCAGACGGTTTACGCGTTTCCGCGTATGCGCGGAGACCTTTCCATTGGCCTCCAGACAAGTCGACGACCACCGGCGATAATAGTGTAATACCGAAAACGGTTAGATAGAAGAAAAAAAAAAATTACACTTTTGCGTTACGCAATTGCCGTCGCGTATCGTAACGCGATTTATCTTACGCGATCCGTCGGCTATAACCCGCAGTGGTTATAATCAGTAACCGCATTATGTACACGCATAACACCCGGTCGTATAGGTATACGGTGCGTTTATTGGACGAGTCCGTATGGGACGAAAAACCCGAGGGAAATATCCAAACGATAAAATATTTCTAAAAGCGCGTCTGTCTATTATATTGAATTTCTTCTGTTTTTTTTTTTTTCGTATATATAACCGTCTTGATCAAAATTCGAAAATACTAAAAATCAACTGTACACGTCTTATAATATTAGGTAATGATCGAATTTATATATCAACATAAATACAAAAAATAACATGCATAACGATTATGTCGTCGAATTACGTGATATTGTTTTGTTTTTCTTCTTCTTTAAATCGCTTTATAATTTTAGGTTTTATTCGTTCAAACGCCGCGTTTTCGACAGAAGTGTGTTTTGAAAAAAAAAAAAAACATTTAAATACGTCTGCGTTATTTATTTATTTAATTTTTTTTTTTTTTATCGAAGTGGGGAGGAGAAAACGCATTACGTCCCTCAAGAACGTTGTTATAACAATATTATATCGTGTTTTTTTTTTTTTTATTATTTCTTTTCACCCGCTCAGTTTTTATATCCGACCGCTGTACCTATACGTACAGTCGTTGCCCGCGTCGCGCCGCAGGCGGTTGAAATCGGAACCCATTCCGTCCTTCCGCCCGCCCGTCCGCCGGCCGTCTGTCCGTCCGCGTGAACTGAAGGGGAAAAAAAAATCGTGAACTCGAGAACCGGCTCTCTCTAAACCGCTTCGGTTCAAGTACCTACTGACTTAGTTTCACGTCGCCGCCGCCGCCGCGTTATTCATATACAAACGTATACATTATTATATAAATACGCGTAAGATACACGCGCGCGGTAGCGATTTTTTTTAAATTTTTTACCCGCCTTGTTATTAGGGCAGGGCTGTTTGATTAGGCGCGCCAAAAAGAAAACTATTTAAAATTCCCCCGGGGAAAAAAACCAGCAGTTCACCGGGCAATATTGAAATATAATATAGGCAACGATAAACGCGTTTAAACGTCGAAAAACACGAACACCCTCTATATGAAATGCGAGATTCGCAGACATTCGAAGGCGAGCACCGGTATATTATCGGAATAGAAATTTTAAAATCGGCCCCGACTCTCTCTCGCGGTTGTAAATTCAATTTTTATGAATCACGAAATCTAAACGAGTAAATCTCAGGTTATTGCCCTGTTAGCAATCATATTATGTATACACGGTGATTCACTAAGCGTGCTATACTCATATTTTTGGTTAAATTTTTAAAATATCCGCTTTAATTACACTTAAAAATTCCAAAAATCGGAATTTGAATGAATGCAAAATTTAACCGAAAAACTGTAGTGAGCACGCTTAGTGAATCATTCTGTATATTTAAAAAGAGGTACGGTTGAGAAGTGTTTTAAATACTTGTTGAAAACGTTCAAAAATTAAACTGAAATAACCAATATGTTTTGAAGAGTGAGCATGTGTATGTATAGTTCCTCAAAAAATATTTGTCTTAACAAAAATGAACAGTTCCTAGAACTTTCGTAAAAAGAAGTAACATTTTGTTCTCAAATAGTTATGAAAAAATTCCAATTATAAACGAATACAATTATTATAATAAATATTATTTTTAAAAAAATAACGTTTAAAAACATACACATTTGTATACAATTAAAAATAAATATTTTCTTTTTGCATGCATGCCAGGAGGAAAATGCGCATTTTATTGATTGAACCGAGAAATATTAATTGTTTATGTGCCACGAATTACGCGACAACGTGAAAAATAATCGAAATTAATCACAAATCGTTTCACTGTATTGGCAATGTTGTTATCGTCACGGGGTTCAAAAATGTTTTGTAGCAGGTTAATCATTTACCAATGTACTAATGATTGTCAGAAGTTATAGTTTGTAATCGTAGTTTTTTTTTTTTTTTTTTTTTTACCGCACAGTGAAAATCATTTATCGATCCGTTTAATGATCACTGTGCGTTTTAAGACGTGTCTTTATTGTACATTTATTACGAAAATAATAATACCGTTTACTCAACGATACTATTACTACTCGTATGTTATATATATATAGGGTGTATAGGTGTTTTACAATTTCTTGTATGCAGCACAATTATATGGACAATATTAAAATTCTTCAGACACAAAAGACACACATCCTGTACATTTTTTTTTATACCGTCCGCGACGTACCTACACGGCAATTAATTAATATTTTATTGTAATTCGATATATCTTACACGATATTACGTCCGCAGGTCGATTTGTCCCATTAGCCGACTATAATAATAATAATATATTGATAAACTCGCGTAGGTATTATAAAACACCCGCCCGCCGTAGTACCTGTATAATATTATATGGATTTTTTTTTTTTTTTTTACTCTTCGAATCGTAAATTAAATTAAAACCGTCGTCAATTAACCGGCTCCCCGTGTATATCCGTGACGCGTACGAGATTATCGAACACGGCTCGTACTCGTCATTTTTAATGACTATTTCGGGCCCGCGGCCGCGGTACAAGCGAGTACAGCCGACAAACCGTGCCCCATAAACGATAATAACGCGAACGCGGATATTGTTACAAACGATTAATCGATTATCGTATCGAGTTGTTGTAGTCTCGTAGTGTTGACCATCGCGCGCGGCGATTGCACAATAACAGAGGCGATTGGTGTGATGTCATAGTAATACAATATGTGATAACAATAATCCTTATCAAGTACAAATGATTCCGAACGAAATTATATGCACCGTATAAAAGATACGGAAACGGTAACTTTCGGGTTTTTACGTTCTACGTGTTGAGCACTTCGATGTTTATTTTATCGTTGGAAACTTCGTTAATTATCGAGTAACCTTTAGTTCAATAAAAGCGAAATCTCTGTTCGAAAGTACCTACTCGTATTTCAATAGGATGTATTTTAAAACACAATACTAGGTGGAACATTAAATTGATTGAAATGAAATGATCCGATTAGCGCTGATAATAGATTTGTAAGAAGATCGTGACGTAGGCACTAATCGCGTCTATACATGCACATTAATTGTGTTTATGTACAGTGGTGCCGATATTTACTTATACGCATATACGTGTTAATGTGTTTTAGTGGGTATCTACTGCGTGTCCGGTGTCCTCTCCTTCTGCCTTGGGTGTTCATTGGACTTTACTGTATGTCCATTTGGACACAGTAAACCTCCTTAAAAACGCTCTGCGAGAGCTACGGTTTTGTAATTTATTGTAGTTGTTTTTTTCTTTTGTTTTTACGACCGATTCTGGATAACATAGTGTATATTGTAAATCGCCACAAGAATAATTAATAACTCATACAGTCTATTCAAATATTTGCATTATCATTTATTTCTTCTATAGTAATTAAAAATCATTCGTAATAAGTGGCTATTAATGATTTTTTTTGACGTGCCTGCAAGGTTTTGACGGACAAATATGCTATAGTAATTTATTCATTATCAATTTCAATAATACCTTCCCGTCATTGATTGCTCGTTTTTAACAAAAATAACTATTAGTCATAAACGAAAAATATACGATTTGTATGTATATATAAGAAAAAAAAAAAAACCATAGTAATGAACGGGTTCGATTTCGTAATGTTTGCCGGTGGAATCGAATATTCGACCCGAATAAAACTTTCAACGGACTTGAAACGATTTCGGGAAAAAAAAAAACCGACGGCATTCGGCCATCGAACGCAAATCGAGACGGATAATATTCGTCTTTTCGCGTGTTACGGACCGTTGTTTCCGTGCGATGTTTCGCGCTATCAAAACATTATAATATATTAATTGCCGAATTTTTTTCCATTCGTGTGCCTCCGGTAATTACGCGTTTTAGAAAAAGAAATTAAAACGCCAAACGCTATCGCAGAAAAACGCAGAATAATAATAATTATAATAATTTAATAATTAATTTGATTACTTTAGATATATATATATACACATATTATATTAAGAAAAAAAAAAAACAAAAAAACAAAAAACGAATTATCGCCCGCGTTTCCAGTCCCGTGATCCCGTCGTATATATCTACGCGCAACTGTATAATATGGGTACGAATGCAGTATAAAATATAATAATTGCAGCGGCGAAAAATGTGATATATACCTATACGTGTACAATAATAAATATATACAGGTACCTAGGTGTTTGTGTGTGTGTGTGTGTGTGTGTGTGTAGGTATGTATATATATATATATATACGAAGAGAAAACGGACTTTATCGGCGTGTCGAAAATGTTGTGCTCTTACGCGCCGGTAGGATTATGCCGGCACTTTCTATACTTATAGTCGCGGCCGGCTCTGTCAATTTTATTCTCATTAGCAAATCGACGTCGTGCGCATAATAATAATAATAATAATAATATAATAGTACACGCCGGACCTTTAATAGACCCGCAGCAGCACCAGCACCAGCAGCAGCAGCAGCAGCTAGACATCGGTACGTAATTACAGGGTTAATATCGCGCGTCAGAGCTATACGGTGATTTTTACCGCTCAGTGGTGTGTGGCAGGTATACTAGCGGTTTTTTTTTTTTTTTTTTAACGTATAAATTTGTAATTTTTTTTTTTTTCTTAAAAACATAACCGGTCCGCGTGAGCCGGCGATAATCTCCAGTTACGTGGCGTCGTTTTAGCGGATTCTGTTTCCATCGCGTCCGCAGACTGCGTATCTGCATACAGGGCGACCCGTTTATCGCACGGACGCGGCGGCGTTTTTTCTCCGAGGATTTTGTCAACATTTGTTTTTCAATCATTAAAATACGGTATGAAATACTGAGTATATTTAAACTAGGCGACATTATAGTGCGGCGACGCTGGCGAATGATTAGCGTCTCCTAATAGTGACAGTCGCGGGTGGACGTGCCCCCCTCCCCCCCTCGGGTCCAGTACCCGTAGTTATTCATATTGAAAATTAAAATATACCGACGACGAATTTCCGGAAATTATTACCTGCCTGTATTTATTACCTGGATTCAACATTGGCTCGGTTCACGGGTTCGTATGGATTATGCTGAAAACCTATCTACACTATAAAAACCGCGGGGTGGATACAATAATTTTTACATTTTTACAGGACTGAGTGGCACGTGTAAACCAAGTGTGCGCACTAGATCTGCAGTAGTCTTGAGCCGCACAATGCCGTGCAGTTTAAATGCATTAAAATCTATGCTCGGTGACCTTAAATGAGTATACGCTTTTGAAATACCACCGCCTCCAAATAGTGACGGTCCCATTTTAAACCCGGCTTCGAATAGAGAATATAAATCGGTGTACGCGTTATAATGGTTTCATTTAAAATCCTCCGAAAACACCGCTGGTCCGTGATAAATGAATCGCCTTGATGAATCGTCGAATGTATTAAAATATTATATCGTATATCAATAACTCAAATGATTGAATCAATAAAAAAAAAAAATAATAATAATAATAATAATAAAACGTATACGGTGTATACAACGAAAATAGTATATCGATTAGCCGACGGTGTAACGGTAATTGTATGCATAATATATAAATTTTCGACCGTTGCTGATGCGGTGATGGTGCTGCGGTGTTTTCGCACGTCGACAAATAATTATCGTAAGGTCGATTAATCTAAAAATCTGCAACACCATCGTCGCGGGACCGTTTGTGTGCGACTCGCGCACACGTGTAACATAATACAATAATAATTGTACGCACGATACGCGTTTACGAAATTGGGAGTAAAACTACACGCGTTTCCGGGTCGATCGGTCGGAAGGTATATAACGTGGTTCTAATATTAGGTATTATATTCGTGTTTTTTTTCTTATCGTACGTCGCTTCGAACTATAATATACCCGAAGCTAAGAACAGATTTAATCGGAATAATAATATGTACACTCGGGGGGGAAGGGAGGTATCGTTTTCGATCGGATTCGCTGTAATAATATTTTACACCTAGTGTAAAAATTCGATCGACTGGTGCGTCGTGCGTAGGTAAAATATGTCTGTTGAATCTGCAGGGATACGACGTGGAGGAGGGCGAGAATAGAAGTAATAATATTATGCATATAGGGTAGCCGCAATATACTACGCTTTCGTACACTAGAGAAACAAGAGAAGGCCGAAGAAAAAAACCTTCCCCTATAATAGTTTTTTTTTTTTTTTGCGTCGCGTATAGTGTCGTCGAACCCAAAATCGAGAAAACAATAATAACTTAACATGATACTTTTGTATATGTATTATGCCCATTTTCCAATAAAATCCGTTCAAACACGCGTCACATATAAACACCTCCCTCTCCCCTCGTCCTCTAGTTCCTATTGACTAAATTTCCGTGTGTTGTGTTTCGGTAACAGTATAATATACCATTATTGACGATCTCGTGGACGGAATTCCACATAGACGATAGTTAAATAAAAAATAAAAAATAATAATAAAACGCGATCCTGACGATAATACGGGTATTATAGGCATTTACGTATCCCATACGGCCGGTTCACACGCGGAGGCTCGAGTGAAATCAATTATTAGGAGACTGTTATACTATTATGTATACGCTCGTCAACGTCCTCGAAGTGAGACTTCAATAATTCGGTTTTTTCTCCTCCTCCTCCACTTTCTCCTCCTCCTCCCCCGACCGGCATATAATATACATATATATATATATATAAATATATAGGTATATATTTCTCAAATCCGACGGGTTCTCATCGTCGTCGCCGTCCTCGATCCCGGGTTCAAGGATCTCGATCCGGATTTCCCCTGTTCCGTTATAGTCCAACCCGTATTATAAACCCAGCGTCTATATTATAGTCTTGACGGCGTCGTCGTCGGTTTTTGTGCGTCGAGTACCTATGTGCAGTTAAAGACGATTTTTGCTCGCGGTTTTCTTTACATATTCTTGTAAATAAATTAACTTATAATCCGATAAAATAGTAACAATAATCGCTAAAAATCTAAAAAATCTAAATACTAAAATAGTACATATATATATATACACTGTATTTAGTAGATTTTTTTACTCTCCTTGGTTATATACTTTTCTAAATAAATGGGAAAAAAATGGTAATTGTTTGCTATTTACATTTTGTTGATTTCCATGTTACCTCAGCAACAAGTTAAAAGACACGAATACGAATATACCTACTCTGCTCAGAATCGTTTCCCGTTAACTATGGTTTATCGTTGCTTACAGTTATAAATTAATGAGTTACTATATAAATGTATATATATTATGTCCTTCCTACCAACTTTTCTCCGAAAACAATGGTATGCCCAAAAGCAGTATCGGCTGTTTTCTTTGTTTAATATGCCGTTTAAAACCGGAATTATTTCGATAGTACGCCCCGTCGTATAGGCGCAGCGCATATACAGTTGATGTTTTAGTGAAGACCTATGCATACGACTTATCATTTTTTCCTAACACCAAAAAAAAAAAGTTAAACAAAATTAATGAATCTGTATTGCAGATAAGACAAAAACGTTTTGATATTTTAAACGAAATAAATCATATACGTATTATATACAATTATTTATGTATATTTTGCATATATTTTATCGTTTTGGACATTAATTCTATAAATTATTAGGCGCGATTATAATATTTTACTATCGTAAGCGCGTATGGAATATTATTTACGAGTATTTGTTTATTAACGGGTTTTGTTTGTTAATGTCGAAAAAATTCAGACAAATGTAATATGTACCAAATACCGTATATAATATTATGTTGTTGGACACGATTTTTGTTTATTTTGTTTTTTTGATAAGCTCTTCGATCCCGGAAACGCGTATTATACAGACGTTAAAGTCGACCGAAAGTCTTTTATTTTTGCTTCTCATTAACACAAAACCCGTTCACGTGATACTACACAACGTAAATTATTATTACACCGGGTAAAATTTTCGAGATTGTTTTATTATCATTATTATAGCATTAAATAATGCAAAACACGCCGGAATATCATTACAAATCGTATCGCGTCTAAAAGTACTAACTAAAATGTATAGATATTCCGTGAACATGTCCGGTGCTTAGGTTTCAACTGCATCGCATACGGAAATCCACAGAAACCGTACGGATATCATTGTCGTCGTTTTTTTTCGCAACGTCCCCAGCGACGGGCGTTTACCCGGAAAATATCTGTTTGGGTGTCTAACCGATAAATTGGATAAATGTTTTTTTTTTTTTTTAATGTAATACACACATGCACATCGGCATCGAATTTTATATGAAAACTTTTCGGTGTTTTCAGCCGTACAGCCTTACAGTCAATGAACGAATCGAAAAACAGATATATATATATATATTCAAACCAAATTTTGGGCGGCGGCTAAACACCCAAAACATTGACCGGCCATATTTGAGTAGTATTACCCGAGGCGCATCGCTATAGTCGTCCCGTTTTACGAGACCGTGTTACCGTAACAAAAATCAGTTCGACCACGCGATACGGCACCGACGACATGATTCTCCGGACAACACGGCCGCGCGCGACGTGCTTCAAATAATTAGTAAAAGAACACGCGGAGCCACGTGCGCGCGCAGTCCCGTCTCGCGGGCCGTGTCCTTGGACGCGTCGACGACGATAACGGTACCCGCGTGTCGTGCGCGCGCCGTCGTCGTCGTCGACAGCGTTTTCTCCGGAAAATCGAGACGCCGTCGTCGTCGGAAAATCCTACGGGCGCACCGCGGTCGACGACGCGTCCTTGATGGTCCGGGGATCGGCCGCGCGACGGGAAGACAAACAGTATTCCGATGGTCGCCCGGGAAAAAAAATAAAATCAAAAACGGACAGAAAAAAAAAATTTAAACGAATCTCCGTGGCGGTAAAATAACGGGACGCGCAGTCATCGGCGTAGCCGCGGACGTCAACGGCCCCCGCGGACGACGACGATGACGACGGCGGCGGCGGCGGCGGCCGTCGCCGCCCGTGCGAGGCGACCGCCGCCGTCACGGTTCGACCGCGGCCGCCGTGCACGCTCCGGTACGCACGGAGAATCTCGACGCGGAAAAAAAAACAATCGTGTTTTTTATTTTCTTTCTTTCCGCGCCGCCGCCATATTTTTTATACGACGGTATAATATTGTTATTATTATACCTGTACTCGGTTTTTTTTTCTCTCGTCGTAACGAAAATATAATGACCGTCTCCCCCGCCGTCACCCACCGGTTTTTCGTAGATCCGATGTGGATACCCAACATTAATAAACGACGGAAATCCATTGCATGTTCGCCGCTAGTTTTCATCAGAGACCAAAATTGACCATAGCGGCTTTTTCATCTACGTCCTTTGCGTTGGCGAGAAAACCGGACAACACGTATGATGTTCGATGAGAAATAAATACACTTTTTATAGTTCCCCGGAAAAATCAGCGACTTATCAAATTGCGTACATCGTGAGTCATAGAATCAATGGTATTGACGCTTTCCGTAAAAAAGACGAGACATTTTCTTTCCAGATGTTTCAGCTGATGTTGTCTGAATAATTTGTGCTCAAAGCACAAAAGGCCTGTGATTCTCATCATATGCACAAACATACAAAAGAGGGCTTAACTTTACAAAATGAAACTTTTTTTTTTGTTTTTTTTTTTTTTTTTTTTTTTTTCGAAATTCGGTATTCCTTCACTAAATTTATTATTTGCTCGTTGAACGGTTTTCGGACGGATCGAACGGTAAAAATGTACGGTGTATAATACATTATGCTCGATGATAAAAACCGCGAAATACGCGCGTTTGGAAAATTTAAAAAAAAGAAATTAAATTGACTAATATTTTCATCCGGCGCACAAACACATCAACACGTGATCTAGATCGACGTTTGTCAGAAAACTGTCGATAATCGTAAATCGATCGGTTAATACGCGCGTTATGTTGCGGTAAAAAATTCGAACCTAATCGAAAAAACACGTTATTGCTAAACGAAACTAAAATGCGTTCGCATTAGGTATATTATTATATTTTTCGTAATGCGACTCTGCAGCAGCTGCAGACGGCACATCAAAAGATAAAATAATTTTCGTTGACCTTATGTATAAAAAAAGGCAACAAGATCGTGGACGAATTATTTTGATGTTACCCTACCAAAGTTGCATTATGGTAAAATTTGTAGTATTTGTTTCCTTTTATTACACGGCATTGACGTCATATTCGTGCACCGCTCGGTTTGTAGCGTTCGGATTTGACTCCAACCGTAACATTACCTAAAACTTAACCCAACCTACGAAGTGAGAGAAAAACATAAACGTCCTACACGATTATCTATGAAGGGGCTTCTTTAGTAAAACATTTGTTTTCTCTGTTTAAAAAACATTATTCTACGAATGATTTTTTTAAAAGTAATTTCATTTATTAATGAGTTATTTTAATGGTTAAAATCTAGAGAAATCCATTTTCGTTTGTTTTCAATTATACAAATATATTTACAATTTCTTATTTGATTATTATAGTAAGTAAATTTGGCAATAAAAAGGCTCGGGAGAAAAGCGGGATCGAAGCAGCTGCCCATTGGTGGCACCCATATAAATTAAGTTGTACATTATAAACACAAAACAACATATACATAAATTAATTAGTTGGGATAAAAGCGAAGGAGAAGAAGATTTAAACCGAATTAATAGTAGGATCCACAATAGTTAATACTCGTCTTTATAAAATGTTCATTTAAATTCAACGAGAGAGCCACGCAATCGTGGAAACGCGGAATGCTTTTGTTGATACAGGTTGAGACAGGCAGAGAAAACAAAATCTTCAATGACAACGACAACGTCCCTACCAGTTCTGTACCGTAAATCGGCGAGGTTTGCGATCACAGGCATATTAATAAACGGGCTGCGAGAGAAAATTGGCCGGATATCGAGTGAGAGCCAGGTTGGGGCCGTTGGGGGCAGTCGTGGGAAAAGATTCGGATTCAATATGTCTGTTTAAACATTATACTCATCCATCTATAATCGTGCTTATCTATTATATATCGTACCTGTCTATATCATTGGTGCTTAACCTATGGTCCGCAACACATTGATTTGCGTTCCGCGAGCCATACCTACGAAATTGAAAAAATAATTTACGTAGAGCGGTAGCGGTTGTTGGAGCCGTCTGACCTCACAATTATTGTGGTCTAGTACAACGTTTAACACGCCGTCTGCAAAAACTTCAAAACGAATTTAATCGATTTCCCAGAGTACGATGATGTTGTAGAAACGATAGGTATTCGAAGTGTAATTCGACATCTTTTCATTGTAAAAGCCGATAAGATACCTGGTAGATATTCGGTAACTCGATGGCATTGAGTTATAAAACGAATATTCGTGAACATCAGCAAATCGAAGTGATCCGAGATCTAATCGAAAGTTCTCTTTAGTTGTTCGTAGTGTCAAAAAGGTTGAGAACCACTGGTCTATATTATACACGATTTATATTGTCTGCGATGGATATCCATATCGAATTTCGCGGCGTGACAAAAACGTAGTATAGAATCTCGTCCACGGTTGTCCCTGACCGCCCCAGCTATCCTTATCGCGCGATATCGGGTTCGTTGTCTAAACATCCGAGACATTGCAGACTGTATCATAGGCATATTTTTAACCCTTTGAGACGCCGTTGTACTGCCTGTTCTTTTCGGTCGCGGCCGGCATAGACGATCTGCGGTCACGCCCGGATTGAACCGGTGAGCTACCGTGGAAATCTCGACCTGTCCGAATTGGGATCGATTTAATCTATTTCGTATAATTTCCGCCGAGGTTTAGGGTTTTCGACGACCCGATAAATTCCCCGGTTCGACTCTGTGTGCGGTATCCAAATACCGTAGGAGAGCGCTGTACGTATACCGATAATACGTCCAAACGATAATAATCCGTCAGCGCGTTTCGATCGACGTGCAAGACGGACGACCGCGTAGTTTTCGCGTTTTTTTTTTTTAAAAATGTTTTCGGAGATATGGTCAACAGCCGATGACGGCTGATAATAATGATACGATATTATTTTATCGTATTTGTTTTAGAAACTCGGCGGCGGCGGCGGCGGCGACGGTGTAATTTTCAGGCGCGCCGCCGGTCAATTTCCTTCGCAAAAATACTATACGACGTGTAGGTATATAACAATTATGTAGGTCAACGTCATATTATTATTATTATTATTATTATATACGTACAGCGATTTACCACTTTTCGATTTGTAACCGAGCGAAAAAAAAAAACCGTCGGAAATTATTTTATTATTATTACTATTATTTGTGCATGCGTTCCGCAAGACAAATTATAATAATAATTATTTATCGAAACGCAAAACGCGCGGCGGCGGGACGTTAATTTTTCGAAACGCCCGATTCCAACGAGATTTTAATTTATTTTTATTTTTTCCATTTTTTTTTTCCATTTTTTATCCTACAGCCGTTATCCAATATTATTATTAGTATTTTTCGTATGCGTTATTTGGGCGTTGGCCCTAACGAACTGACCCGGCGACGACGCGTATACCTATATCTACCTACCTCTATAATAACATAACGACGTTTATAATATACGCGCGAACCGAAATTCACCGGTCGATAATATTTTTTTTTTTTTTTTTTTTATTATTGATTTATTATCGAAAACGTCGACCCGCGTGAGATTCGTGACGAAAACGGCATTGGAAATCCGGGTAACTCCGCGAGTTATGTACGTATTTATCTAACCGATGTATAAAAACGTTTTACAAAAAAAAAAAAAAAAAAAATTAAATACCGGGGCAAAGGGATATTGGGGGACACTGTTTTCCGCGAAGACTACCGAAATCCCGACGAGAATCCTGTGACCTGCCCGACGCGGGTTTTCTGTTTTCCCGTCCAATATTCGTGCTGTCGAGGTTTTCATCGTTTATAGTTTTTAGACGTATACGCTTATTATACGATACGCATTGTGACTTTATTTGGACCAACGGGTAGCTGATTGTCGGCGTTATTCGTTGACAGTTATTTTCTCGATTATTTCACGGTTTCGGGAACAGTGTCCCGAGATCCCATACGCCATCGGGTGGGCGAATTTTATCGATCGACCCGTGACATTTGTGTTTTTACACCGGGAATAGTGACGTGATAAATATGCACGTGTATATGAAAATTATTAATTATTCAATATCGTTCGTGGCGTAAACGAATAATCCGTGCCGCGTCTAGTAATGTTATCAGTTCCCAGTGCCGAGATTCGTTTTAAGAGCTTTGCGAAAAAAAAAAAAAATTGTGTATCTACATATTATACACGAACAACAGGTGTGGTTAGAATCAAATTTTGCGGCAAAGAATATTATATAGTTAGTTCGACCTCTTTTTGCGCGTTAGAATTTTTTCACTGGGCTATATAAACTTATCGGGTACGAGAATCGCATTCCTAACCCTTAACCTAACCGGCTTGTATGTCTTCGTATCCAATGGTTCGATCGGGAAATTTGATGTACAATAATGAATAATAACGAAAATATTATTGATTTTTAAAATACAAATTCGGACGAATAAATCGAAAGTAATGTTTTAATATTTCGTATTGTAAAATGATTTTTAACGCCCCCGTATAGACGTAGCACCCGGTGTACCGTATGCACCTATCGCACCTCCCTCTCTCCTCCCCCCCCTTAGGCACGCCTCTGCAAATAATATCTTGCGGATTAATCTATGTATCCTCTTATAATTTGGCCGCTGAATTCGTATACTTCTTATGCGAGACTCCGTCGTATACGGTCTTAATACGCCCAAATATATCCCAGATTCCCGGCATACCTATGTATACATTTATACCGCCTGAAAACCAATCGAAATGCGTTCCGTCGAATTTTTTTCCGTATCACTCATCGTCATAATAACGTAAGGAAAAATCGAATACGGTTCGTGTAAACGTCATCGCTACAACATTCTTTAACCACTATTATATTATTATTTTCGGGAGCGATTATATATATTATTGTCGAGACGACGCGCTCGTCAACAACAAAAACGGCTGCGGCCGCGGCGAATACGCACAAAGACCGCGACGACGACGAATTGTCGTATTATTTCTGTGGCCCGGAACCAATACGGTGGTTTTTTTTATTTTTTTGCCGAGACATCGGAATGCGACGAATGCCATCGCCGGGAAAACTGTCGGTTCGACCGTCGGAAAATCCACGAATGCCGGCGCTGAAACGTCGTCGAAAGTCCACGAAAATCATTTTTTTTCGTTTCGAGATCGTCCGGGCGGTCAGACTCACAAGTTCCGAAACCTCAAAATAAATACATAGATATAACGACTAAAATCTTAACTTTCGATGGCGTTTTCGAATTTTCTTAGCTGAAGCTTACATAAGCCAAAATGCCTTTTGGATTTTCTTATTGCGCAGCAAAATCCTTTTCTAATTTTTTTTACATGCGATTTTCCGAACAAACATGCACGTTTTGATTTTAGCTTACTGATATAATAACGATTATATTGTAACCGATGTCCGATATATAATATAACCGGAACGCCGCCGCCGCCGTCACTGACTCACAGACTGGTAACGTTTTTTTTTTTTCATAACGACAACGCGGTGTGTATCGGTTTTGACATGATTTCGCGTTCTCGCAGCCGGACTGCGAGTTTCACTAGCCTCGGGACAACAGCACACCACACCACACACAACACCGCGATTGACGTTATCGATAATAATAATATTATACGTACATATTTATTAATAAAAACGTTTTGGCCGCAGTGTTTATACGTATTTTCCGCAGGCGAATCGCTGTGATATTATGTTATTTTACCATTACACCGCGCGAGTTTGTTTTTTACCCTCACCTCAATATTCTATTATATTATTCTCCGTCGGACCTCCGGCGTGACGTTTTACATTATATTATACAACTGTATTATCATAATATTATAATCGTTCCAGCGCGAGATACGAGACTATGTTTTACGGGCTGGTACTCCCCGGCCACATATTAACAAAGCGTTTACAGTCTCGGCATCAGCGGTGGTGCCCGAATACGTCGCTATTATTGGCCGGTTTGAGGACATTCACTATATTTTAAACAGGTATCTTATCATTGGATCTACCACGCGGTATCCCCTCTCTTTTATCTGCTTGACGTGATTTTGTATTACAAATCTGAGTGTATTTTCGATTTAAAGGTCCGATGTCAACGAGCGAATGGAGGCGGTCAAAGGTCCTAAAACAAAGCAATTTCACCACTATATACTATAATGATGATAACACGATATTTCACCGCGCTATTTTATATCGGCCATATCAAAAATAGTATTTTAACTGCTCGATTCAAACCGGCTAATGATAGTAGCGTATTCGGACACAGCTGCTGAAAAAATTTACACTTTGTTAACATTATGCTCTCTAGCCCGCCGCCGTCAAGTGTCTTGTTTTTTTTTTCCCCGTAATTTTTTTTCCTTACCGTAGATCACGTTACGTGACCGCTCCGAAATCGTGAATACAGGCAGCCTGTACGAAAATAATATTATATCGGTGTATAATACACATCAGATAGATATTATTACGAGCGTTTGACCTAGTTATTATCATATAGTTGGGTAGATAGCAGTGGTTGGTAGGACTATTTTTTGTCACCTGGAACTGATTTCGAAGGGGGAGTGGGCTTAAATAAAAAGAAAAGATTTAATAAAAAAAAAATGTAAATCTATATAAACGTCTTGAAACCAGGGGACATAGGCTCTATAGTTGGTCGCGAAACGGACGGTAGACCGAACGTCGTCGTCGAGTAAATTTGCGTTAGAAAAATGTTAGAAAACAATCGTCACGTAACCGCATGTCTGAGAGAGAGCGAATTATGTACGTTAACCGGGAAAAAGGCGCGGTCGGAAAATTCCTTCAATCGGACGGTGCCGCCGGAAAACGAGAACGTGTCAGGGAAGAGGGGGAGAGAATGTGAACACGGCGTCCTACGATTGGGCTACAATACGTTAGGTTAGGCTAGGTTAGGTTTGGTTAGGGTAGTCGAGAGTTTCGAGACTGTTACGCACGGTTTAATCGAGTGGAAAATATTAACTGTGCGCAAATCGTCAGCGGTTTCGTGTACCGCGGTGAATCCGGTCGACCGGGTATAAACCTGTTTGCCGAAACTGTAGTGATAATTATTCGCCTACAATAGCAATTCATCTAAAGTTGTAGGTATCTCTTGAGTCGTAAAAAATTTAAGTGTTATGCACTAATTTCGATAATTTTACCCAATTTCGGTAAATGTTCGGTCGGTAACATGTAGTGGCAACTGGCATGTATTTCGTCGAGTGCTATAATTTGTATTGTCGGGCTAGTACTGATGGTAACAGTGATAGAGTGATTAAGATATTGTGATGTTTCTTCTTGTTGCTAAAACGCTGAAAATCCGCGAGGTTAGGTTATTACAGGTTATAACAGAGCTCGTCCGATTTGCATTTGCGAAAACAAAGCCGACGAAATTCTGGAGAGACCGTTTCAGATTCAGTTTGCCGACCCCGACAAAAACGGTATTTGAGGGAAAGAATAAAAATATTTAAAAAAAAAAAATAGAAGAAGCCCGGAATAAGAGGGGCACAGAAGAAAACATGGCCCCTTAGTCTACGGATGTAAGAGTCCATGTCACCGTCTCATCGTTTTAATGTATATAAAATGTTTATTGAGAGGAGAGATTACTTTTAATTTGGGCTTCAGGGCCCACTGCACCCTTTAACCGGGTTCGGGTCTATGACTTTCTCTGTATACACACCCGATCCGTATTAATTGTCGCAGTAATGTATTATCGCGTAGACGAAAATCCAAGCCACGGGCTTTTTTATAATAAATCCCACCAAACTCTATGTAAGTCTTAACGGATATATTATATTATAACGACGAAAAGTATTACGTTATAATGATCTTTTTTTTTTTTGTTGTTGTTCACAGCTCGCCGAGTCATGTGGAACGAATCGGACGGCGTAAAAACGTTTAATCGACGTGACCACCACCGTCATCTGCTGGTACAACAGCCGTCGTACATTATTGCCGGTAAGCGGTCAAAATTTGACACACTAAAAGTTTTTTTTTTTTTCCACCGCATATTATGTTGATTTTTAAATTAAAATATTCGCTTATCGGGCGCATTATTATACTCCGAGAAATACGTCCGAAATTGGCGTCGCGCATAAACACTCTTGTCTTATCGTCAGCGCCTTAAAGAGGCGACGGTGGCGGCGACCGACGTGTACTGTTTTTTTTCGTCCGGCCGGCATCACCGATAGTATTATATATACATTTTTTTTTTTTAAACCGGTTAGTAACACATACACACACACATGCGTTTATTATAATATTCGAGACGACCGCAGTTGTGGTTTTTTTTTTTTTGCTTCCAGTTTCGGTACCCAGTCCAGTTTTGTCAATAATCGAACGACGACGGTTACAAAACGGGAGTTTATATACAGAACGCCCCGAAAAAAACTTTTTCGTATATCATATCGTATTATTTATACCGTAATATTGCATATCGTTCATAATACTGGCTATAATATTATTAAAAATAATTTTAAATAATAATATTATATACGAGGAAAGTTTATTGCGAAACGCGTTCGTATAAAATTATTGACCGAAAAAAAAAAGTATCGGGAAGGTAGGATTTAATTTATACGTATATTCTGTACGCGAAGATGATTGATCACTGCAAATTTGTTATTGAGTTTTTAAAATTTTTTTATTAAAAATTGTTACAAATGTACAACAAGCAAAATATCGTATTAATAATTTTGGATATATACAGTGTCCCACGAAGATATATCCATTGTAATATCTCCGAATTTAATAAAGATAATCAAATTCTGTTTTTTTTTTAATTATTATTTATATTTCACTTACAGGAATAAGGATTACAAATATTTATATTTCAATTAATTTTTACGTTGTGGTAAAAATTAAAAAAAAAAAGAAACTTATTTTATTATTTTTGGGAGTATTTGAAGACAGAAATTTATTGAGTTAATTTTTTTGAACAATTTGGTGTATCAATTTTTTATTTTCATTAAATTCGTGATTATACATCATTTTTTTAAATTTCGGAGAAAAAAGTATTAAACACGATTACAGCTTGCTGCATAATTATAGGTACCTAATTTTTTCTGTACTTTAAACAAATATTCAAAATCAGGAATTTAATGAAAATAAAAAGTTGATACGACAAACTTTTCAGAGAATAGACTCTATATAAAATAGCTATCTTCAAGTATTTCTTCGTAGAACACCTTGTATATGATGAAGGAGCCTTTTCATTGACAACACTTCCACATAGTTTAATTATGACAGTGTATATACAATATGATTATACATTGTAAATATAAGAATTTAAATTTTTTTTTTTTTATACGTATTATACCTACTTAAAAAAGACAGACCATTTGGTCTGTCCTGGAAGTGTGTTAAAGGACTATAAGTGGATTTATATTGTTTTGAGAACGTTTATGAAACCGTATGAAATTAATTTTATTAACTACCCTTATTATGAGTATATATGGACTACCGTTATGGATGTGGAGTTCAATATTTATGGAGAGGTATATGCTGCAGGGACAGATATAGAAATTGAATAAGATAGAGGAACGAGCGTTAGACATATTCATTTTTCGCATACGTTAAAATGTATTTTTAATAAATTATATTATTTTTAATTTATATAATTTTGTATTAGTCATATTTTGAATTTCCCTTCAACTAAGTGGGATTCAGCTACCATAATATCTCTCTTTGTGTCCGCCCCTGGAGATAGGTGAATATATACGAAGAACATTGTATTGGAATACTTGTATTTTTTGAGTATTGGGTTGTTTTTTTTTTGTTAGTTGCCCATAACCGAATACCATACATCAGTAATGATTTGAGTATGTAGTGAATTGTATGTCATTGGTTATTATTAAATAAAAAAATATGGCTCGTTCGATAATTTATACAATATATACTCCTATAATTTCCCAGTGTATTATTTTAAATCGATTATGCAAGTGTATATTTTTATTCCGTCAATGGGTACCTATCGTGAATAATAATAATGCGAGTATAATACTAATATTATATTATCAGATCAAGGACGCTATTTTCGCACGGTGTTAAATACCATTTTTTAAAATAATTTTCTTTCTTTTTTTTTTTTATCGAAATCGGGTTAATTATTTAACTGTTCGTACGTTAGTGTTATGGATTATTATATTTTATTCTTAAACTGGTTTTAATTAGGTGAATTAAAACGCTGTAATATTATAATTTCTCCAGCGCGGAATTCTCGCTGTTATTATAATAATAGTCGGTGAATGAAAAAGTTGTGTACTCGCAAAATAACAATACCGAAAATATAATAAACCCGAAGGAAGGGAATAATTAGTACAAAAAAAAAAAACACACCTACGTAAATAATTAACAGTTTATAAACCATTAACACGTCCTCGTTACCGAAAAAAAAAACATCAGCTATTGATTAGAATTTTTTTTTTATTGTTATCGAGTTAATATATCCGTTTTAAATCTGTGAGATTTACAAAAAAAAAAAACAACACTCATCTACGTTTAATATTAATTTCTACAGCCACGATAAAAATCTCCAAAATAATACAATTTACGATTTTTACACGACCTATACTCGCGTCGTAATATTTATGTGGTCGCGATCAAGGGGGAGAGGAACTGCAGTTTTTTGTACGTATCGTCGTGAAATAATAGTAATTTAATTATTTAATGATTAGTAAATAATCACAGAGTTTTTTGACTACTATAAGGTCATATAATGTAATAAAAAAATGTTTAGAAAAAAAACACGCCAAAATATCGTCAACGTTTCGATTTCAATATTTTGTTTTTTTCCCTCCTAATCCAATCTATGGTTGAAAACGAATTGATAATAATATTATTGTAGGTAGGTATTCATCTACAGGGCGATCAACATGACGTAATACAATCATTACTCGGAAAGTATTAGTCATGTTCAGAATTTGTTTTTCAGAAATTGTATAAGAGTCATTCTCATCAACATACACGTTGATTTTCAAACGGAATTTATACGATAACCAATCAATCGTAGACGGTTATCAATCGTAAACTTAGTTAAAAAATTAGATAAACGAAGGCGTTTATGTTAGCGAGAAACGGTTCTAAGAAACTATAGCAGCACTAAAATTGAGGAAACGACGAAACATTTCACTTTTAAGTTTGCCGCTTTATTGGGTAGGAAGAAAGTAGTAGAATATTATTGTTTTCGCTATTTTCTCCATCTAATACTCACACAACGGCAAACTTAAAATTTAAAATTACAACATTAAATAATTTACTAGTATACCTACTTCATCATTTTGTAGAATTTAATATAATTATTGGCTATTAATTGAAAGCTATCAAAAGTAGTTTGTGGTTTCACTCCCATCCTCCCAAATAAAAAGAAGGATGACAAAAAATAACGGTCATGTAACATTTTAGAGCTGTTTATTTCCGAAAATGTCTACAAAATAAAAAAATTCCAAATAAAATTAATACTTTCTGAGATAATTATAAACGTCCTATGCTATGTCGATCACTCTGTATAGCCGGTATCGCACTATCCTCGTTGGTGTGTTTTAAGGACAAGAAGGTAAATTTTTCAAAGTACCTATATCGTACATTATTATATTTATACGACAAGTACGTTTTTTCCCCCCCGTGATACTAATCGGATATCCCGCTGTCTGGATCTTCGTAGGATACCGTCATAATACATCATCGTCGGACGATTATAATAATGCCTTACAATATTATTATACGTAGATACCTACGATAAGTATTTTAAGAGCATCACTGTCAGTAAGTCACGACCTCGCGCGCGCGTTCGTCCAATGTCTTCGTCCACACGCGTCTTCGCCGGCGAGACGTGATTTTTTTTGTGTAATGGATTTTTTCGTGTCGTTATTGTAGAGTGTATAATAGTGCTGATTAGACGTTGGTTTTCGTTAGCTATTACACGGACTCTTATAGCTAGGGAGATTGCTAGTTCAAAAATTGTTTAAGCTACTTTTTTTTAATAACTCATGAATAAGACACGAATTTGTATTCACTTAAAATTCACAAAAAAGCTTTTAAAAACACGAAAAAGTTCATAAAAAAATCACTTAAATTTTTTTATTAAAAAGTGCAAAAAAGGTAGAGGAGTTTAAAAGTTTCCCCTTCTGTGGTTTTTAACTTTTTAGAAATAATTTTTAACTCTAACAATTAAATATTTAGTGTTAATCATTTGTCAGTTATGGAAAAATGTATTTAACGGGGTTAGAAAGAGAACCGTCAAAGTGGGAACTTGAAAACTCGTCTACCACTTTTGCTTTTTGAAATATTTTCTAAGGGCCTTTTTGATAATTTAAGCGCTTTTTTTACGGACTTTAAGTACATACAAATCTGTGTCCTATTCATAATAACTTAACTATATTATGTAGTTTAGCTTCGTTATTTTATTATTATTATTGCTGTTTTCTCAGATAACTAGTTTAAAATAAACGTATTAACTTGCTCAGATTTGTAATCAGAGTAAGTTAGAGATGAATTTAAGGTGACTTTGTGATTTTAATTGTAATTTTCTAAGATTATTAGTAAGTAATTAAGAAAAATCGTGAAAAATGTTGGATTTACGGGAAAATTTACAGTATACCGATTTCTGCTGTTTTTGATTTTGTTGTAGTTGAGCGAACGCTTCCTTTTGTTAATATATAGATAATCACGGGTGCAGGATTTAAAATTAGGGGGGTAAAGCCCCCTCCATTAAGCCCGTAGGTTCCTAAATAAAAAATAGAACTGACCCATACTAAATCATAACTTATATTGAAAATTAAAATTATTAACGCATAATACAATTATTTTAGCCCCTCTCCTCTCGTTTAATTGCCAGATCCGCTTCTGATAATAATAATATTGTACAATATTATAGTGTATTAGACTTATAATTATATATTTTGGTATTATTATTATGACATTATATAAAATAGAAAAAAAAAAATAGATACGAAAATTACTACTTGTTATTTCCCCTCAACTCCTCCGCCGTACGCTGTTTTCCCCGTCGCTTGTTCTTTTTTCCTGCGAGTACGAGCCTGCGGGGTGTTTATCCATAGTCGCGGCCGCGCGTTTCTGTTTTAGGTCACGTGCGATCCGCTCGCCGCTAATTATTATTCATATTAATTATTACCATTATCATTACGCATATTGTAGGTATACAGTATGTTAATTATTATGAATAAATAATACGGTAAACGACGACGTTAATAATATTGTAATATAAATACATACATGTATAGGCGCACAGTTTTATTTACACGCACTGTTTGCTGCCCCGATACGCGATTTTCATCATTTGTAATGTAGGTAATATACTATATGTAGATACTCTACAATAATATTTCCGATTCGAATCTTGCGTATCTGACCGCATCGCGCCGCCTCGTAAGTATTATTTTACAATACATCGTATCGAGAATAATGCGTATTGAATGCTTTACTACGAGACCGTTTCTGTACACGACTTTGACCAGAATACGTTTAATACAATATAATATGCTCCGATGGAAGAAAACAAAACAAAAAAAAAAAAGTCGATACTGCTGATGGATGTGCCAATGTTTTATTTGAGAAGTTGAAATTGGAAGGGAGGATAACGTGTATAGGGTCGTGTGCCGCGAAGACAATATATCCATTGTGACACTTCGGGAAATATTCGCTTTTTTCGGATTTTTTTTTTTAACAATTTTAATATACAAACAGTTATAAAACGTTGCTATTCGTTTTTATAGCAAAATGACTAATTATTTTTGATTTTCAATTGACAACTTATACTTAAAATGCAACAAATAGACGGGGTACCGATTTAAATTAATGTTAGTGTTAAAATTTTCGATTTCCGTCAATCCGTTGATCAGGTATTCCACTTTTAATTTTTGGCAGGGAGAGTTTAGTAAATCAATATTTTTGCGGCGGCACGACACGCGGCGTTTGAGTTCTTTTGCGCATCTCTCCCCCTATCCAAATGTAAAACTGTTATATCTCGTCAGCGATTTGACGAAAATTAAAAATGTCAACAACAAAATATATTTAAACTAACACGCTGTATATTTATAGAATTATTTATACTGGTAAAATTAAAATTAGGTAGTCATTTCACGGCTATAAGTACTAGCGATGAAAAATAATTGAAATGTAACATTTTAGAACTGTTTGTTATTTAAATAAATAAAATGTAAAACGAAAAACGATTTTGAACAAAGTATTATTTTTCGTAGTTTTTCCCGTGTGACCCAGGAATCAACAAAAATTATACAACAAATTCCCATTCATTGAGGAGACCGACGCGGACAATCGATAACCTGGGGCGTTCTCGATGCACCGGCGTCAAGATCGGAAAATCCCGCAAGACAGTGCCCAATACCTACTGGTTTCGTATGGAACTACGGGTTTCCGGTGGAAAAGTCGTTTACGGATACGAAAGAATAACACGCATACTATTTATCACGCAGTAAAACCAATATAACATTCCGCGTTCCGTTCGGAATATCGGCGCGCGACGTTTTATTGTACCGTACAGCGAATCGATATTGTACGCGATAACGTATCGCGCGCCGATGGCGAATCATTGTTATGATCAATTATCAATAACAGCGATGCGCCCACCACGACACCGGTGCCGAACCCCGGGCGCGCACACCACGCGCGTTGCACTGCTGCCGGACCGTGTCCCGAAAATCCGGCTCGTAGAAAGCCGTCTGCATTTTAATATCACGAGACGATGCGCGCCGGTGCCCGTATAAATAATTATCGTCCGCACGACGACGACGGCGACGAGTAGACGGACGGCCGGCCGGGCGGTGTCGTGCGGTGTGCGTGAGGCGCTCTTCTTTTCGGCTCTTCGACCGCGGTGGTCTCCGCCCACGCGGCATATTCCCCGGCCACGGCGTGCATTGTACGGCAAGACCTCGCCGCGCGGTCCCTCGGGTGTTTGTACAGAAAATATCGGCCCGATATTCGGCGGGTGGGAGGGGGAGGGGGGCGGCCGAGGGGAAGGCACACCGGAGGCGATAGCGGCCGACTCGATTCCGTACGCACGCGTTAACGCCGCGGCCCGCATCCTGTTCGGATATTATAAAAACCCAATCGAATCCGTTATAAGAGGACGTTATACCCGCGTCTACTGTCCAACTGTAACCGTATCCGGGTGACGGGCGAAAACTATGTACGCGCAGGACAAGTAAAATCGTGCTCGATTTTGATTTTAGAACGAAAGTACCTAATAATGAAATGTATAGAGAACAATATAGTTCGGTGGGGAACGCCGAAATAAGGTTTTTCGTGTTATTCGAAATATACAGCTCGTTATAAAATATCCAATAAACACCCCCCTTTTTTTTTCCTTTAGTTTTTTTAAATAACTTACACGTTTTTTAATAATTCATAATATTCGAAAAACACCTGTGACACAAGACATTCCCTCCAAAATTGTGTTCCCTACAATTTGCATAATATGTACTTTTAATCTAAAATCGAAATTAAGCTTTCATTTTACTTATTCTGCGTATAAGCGTTGTTTTTGCGTGTCATCCGGTAGTTGGACTGACTGTAGATGCGGGTATAACGGCCTCTTAAGGCGACTGTTGACGACGGAACCTGCAGCGGCGCGGAATTTTCTACGGTATAGGACGAAGCGAATAGCGACCGTGAATAAATCTACGGTATGACGTTTATATATGGGTTATCGTTCAAAAGTCGGTTAAAACAAAATGCTGATTTATTGATCAATAAATCGAATTTTTCCTCCTCGCGTAACTCGACCGAAATATACACCTACTCGTACGTTTCAATATATTACTTATTAAATACTCGTAGTTGTTTTATTTTTAAGTTTATGCGGGATGGAATAATAAAACTACTAACTTCGAGAGAATGTTAACAGAGTTGGTATAATAATTATAATAATTAAAAAAAAAAAAAAAAAAAAAAAAAAAAATCGCTTGCTCTATTTATTCAGATAACTATATTTATTACATGAATGGTATTAATATTTATGAAATTATCGAACAAAAAAAAAAAAAAAACTAAAACCGTCTAAAAATTCACTAACGAATAATACATGCAAATGTGTTCGTATATTCGCGTAAAACAGACGAATATTTTAAAGTGTCGTTTCATACAATTTGTAGACGACATGTTTGAAGATATTATAATACCCATGGTTCCGCGATACTATTATCTATGTACAACTATATTCAACTCGTATTATACTCGCGTATTTTGCATTTTTTTTTATTTTTCATAAAAATATTAACGTTTCAAAACACGTCTCGTAATTATTGTTTTCTACATTGCGGTTGCGCAATAAAAAAAAGGCATTTTCGTTTACGTGATCGGTTTTTTATAACGCGGAAAATCGTCGGTCGTAATCCCACAGTTGACCCGTAAAAAGCCGGTTGCATAACAGCCAACCGCGTGCGATCTATCGACAAAAAGCGATCTAATATAAGTACCTAACACCGATTAAAAACCGGCGATCCGAGATAAGACGTATGTTACTTTTGATACGATGAATAGTGTGACCTTGTTATGTACAATATACGTACAATGAAATAAAGCTTATCTGTTGAAAAGATTCCGTGTATACTCCTCATATACATGCACGCTTGTATGTGTTGCACGTTTTCAAAATGAATAATAATTATTATACAATAGGATATTTACGTAAAAACGATAGTGTATAAGAACATCGTTTACGTCGTGATCGAATTACTCTTAGAAAGGCAGTCTCTGGAGTAATGGTAATGTGGTGGTCATTCATAATGTCGAGCCCATAAAAAAAAAAAAAAAAGAAGAAGAAACATCCGATGACTTTTTAATAATTTATTTAAAGACAATTTTTAACGTCGGAGGTGAGACATTTCTCGATGCGAATTTTTGCAGGTGGTTGATCACATGCTGTTTTCGGCGGTGAATCCCACTTCGTGCGCCGCCCACACAGTACCCCCTAAAATTCGTTTGTGGGGAAATATAAAAAACAAATCAATTGATAATATTTTTAAACATTTTTTTACTATCGGTTTGATGTTTGAATATTTGATTTTTTAATAAACCAATGTATTTACGGTCAATAAATCGACGATATTTTAAGAAATTTTAGCTTTTCGTACATAGACTCCATAATTTAGAGTGATTCGGCTGAATTTTGGGGACCGCATACTCCACCCGAGCCCCTTCATTTGCAACAATGTTTTTGTCAATTGTTTTTTTTTTTTCGTGCCGAACTATATATATATATATAGATGGTACGCTATTTTAAAAAGAAAAACCGACGACCCCTGGGCGTTTAAAACGAAAAACGGTCGACCCTGTACCTCATCGTTTATTGTGTCCGCGCGGGTCGTGACGAAATCCACAAAAGCTTTCGTCGTGTGCGCCCTCACCATACGGAGCTGCGGATAATGAACGAAACGGACATGACAATATTATTATAACGATAACGGCCCATTCGTCCGGTGAACATTTTCGCTCGTATCTCGTACATAAAATCTTTATAATATTATTATTACGTACATATATAGAGGTGTACTACAGACACACTCACGTACACGCCGCGTTTATTCGTATGTATATATACATCGCTTTTTTTTTTTTCGCCGGCAATGGTTTTTCTGGTCACGATTGATCATTGTCCGCTTCACAGTTCCAATGCCCGGGCTCGTAGACTAACCTGCCTATGCGCACATATATCTCTAGACATTAGTCATGCGGCATTGCATCTGGGAAAAAATTCGTGTACTTAACGACCTCGGTGGCGGCGGCGGCGCCAGAGAATATATAATGCCTCCCGGATAAGACAATAATGCGTACCTACTTATAAAGTGTATTGTTACTATACGATAACGTTCGTATTTGCGTTTCGGGAACAAATCGAAGAAAAATCGAAAAGCCGCCGTGCCCGAATGTTCGCGAGAAAAACGTCCGCGAGCAGCGGAGCTCCGTCACTCTGCTGTCGAATTCCACCCTCAGTTTACTTGTCGCCGTCACAATATTTCGAATTTTTATTATTGACAAACGATCTATCTAAGATCGTTTTGGTGACCGAAATCGTATTTACATTTCAGTCTGTAGGGGTATTTAAAATTCGATATTTCTTGTGAAAACAAGAAATTTAAGCATACCAATTGGTTCGGAACGAGGTTGAAATTTAAAATCCCTAAACGACACATCCTCGATATTAACACCATGCATGTATGAAATTTCATCACCGTGACGTCATTCTTGAGGTCTGTGGGGATGTAAAAAGCTAAAACAAAACACCCTCTTCCCTCGACCGCGTGGTAAAATTATTCATATTGAAATCAGACCAAAATGTTACCGCTTTATTCCGCTTAAATATACAACGGTAGTGGTCCAGTTTGAGTTGCTCAGAAGGCCATTTGGTCAAGAAGAAGCCACTAGATGGACCGAAAAGTAACGGGACAGAGATTTGTCTCCGTTATAATAACAGACACAACACACACAGCGTATAATCGTGTCTGTTTTCGGAGACAAAATCCGCCAATAACCCCGAGTAGTAGCCGTCATGATAATTACGCTGTATTCGCATTAGAAATGTCGACGCTCGTGCCATTACGCGCCGCCGCCTCTACGATGGAAGTCCGTTTCGAAACTCGCGCGCCCAAAACGCCGTCATCGTCAACGATTGACACGTCGCCGTTTTGCCCGGCTCGCGCGAAAATGAGGTCCCCGGCCCGTACCCGCAGCCTTGCGACACAGCCTTGGCCTCTTGACAATATTATCAGGTATTATTGTTCTTTTGTGCGGTCTGGCGCATAATATAATAATATTCCGGACCGCGGCATTAATAGTAACAATAATAATAATAAGTAATGAGCATTATAAGTATATAATATTATAGGAAGTTTTTCGCTAATTCACTTAATGGGCGGCCGAATTAGGAAAACATCAATCACCGGTAATGATAATATAATGAAATTGAAACGTCAGCCGGGCGCGTGTGTCCGCGTACAATAATAAATTAATATATTAATAATAATAATAAGAATAATAATAATAAGAATAATAATAATGATAATATTGCAAACGGTCGCGGGTCGCCCGCGTTTCGCAATAAACTCGGGTCCAATTAAAAAAAAAAAATCGCGAAGGACTCGCGGGCGCAAATTCGACCAAACTGTATTTACCTTTTTTTTTTTTTCTACTTATCTATACAATAACTCGCCTTTCCCGCGAAGGCCACGCGCTCAAGTCCAGGTGCCTGGGCCGCAGGTACCTACCTATAATTACGATTTGAGTTTCGTTCGATCGAATTATTTTATAAAAAATGTCCGCCTCGATGTGGCACAAAACCATTTTCTGGTCGCATGCTTGTGCCGCTGCAGCGCGCCACGTAGCGATTAAATATACACCTCTGTATAAATTTTAGGCAGGTATACGTTTGTTGCAGGCGAAAAATGCGCGCGTTCGGAATTTCTATATAATAATAATAATAATAAACGCCCCGGAGACTCTCGATTATTATTATTGAAAGCCGAAAACGAGAAATTTGTACGCGGCGTCGTCTTCGGCGACCGTATAATATTATTATAATGGGTGTAGTGCAGGTATATACCGAACAGTGAATGCAATTTTTGACGGAACAAAAAAAACAAACGGACAAAAAAAAAAAAAACCAACGAAACAGCCGGAAATCGAGTAGAATTTGTATGTATGAAAATAAAGAAGAAACACACCGACAGGCATCGGCGGCGGTAAATAACATTGATAATTATTCGTAATTTAATAGAAAGCGCCGGTGTCGTCTCTGAATAATAATAATAATAATCCGTGAGATTTGATGAGAATCGACACTGATGCCGAGTTTGGCGTTTTTTATAATATCATTTTCTAAATAAAAAAAAAAAATTCCAGTCGAAATGTATTCTGTTATGGCGTTATTTATTATGTATACAATATGCTGCGTGTCGATCAGTTCGCAGGACAGCGTCACACTCGAGCGTTTGCCACGGACACGATAATAAATATTATTCCGTATTATTTTTTTTATGTTATAGTTTACAACCACTCGACTTTTCCCGTGCAAAACCGTGTATTCATTGGAGATTTTTACCCGTTCGAGGTCGTCGTAGCAAAATAATAGTTAATTCGTATTACGTGTGCGAGCTTTAAAACTGACGACGTCGCATACGATAGTTTTACCTACGATATACGAAAGACTGTGAATTATTTAAAACGCGAATAAAGAAAAAATAACATTGTAAATATTCCCCGCTAATTGCTCATTAAATGCCCTCGTACACTGCGAAAAAACATTCAATTATAACGTGAAAATCATAATCATTTCATACTTTAAATTTACTAACTTCATTATACATTCTTTGAATTAAAAAAAATGAGGAACATGATTATAAAAAGCGATAAGATGTATAAATTCTTGAACTCATCTCGTCAAAGGGGTGATTCGCTTTTCCGCCAAAATCGACCTAACCATTTAACGTCAGTACAATAAATTGAATTTCCATTTTCAATAAATTTCAGTTTTTATATTTTGGTAATCCTTTTGAAAAAATATGACAAAAAAAGTCATTTATAACGAAAATCAAAATAAAACAGCCGTGAAATACATTCATAAAACAAAATACAAATTATTTCATGCGTTAGCATTTTGAGCAGAATATTATTATTAGTATTATATTATTATATAAGTCATCTATTCTCTCGCGGCTATGTTAATTCGAAAATTATACGAACAATTTTCAGACTTTCGTATTTATTTAGAAAACCATAAAGAAAATCTAAATATGGCCTCCAAAATGCGCCGACTGCATCAAACATATTACATGAACGTTCATATAAAAGGTTTAATTGAAGTGAGATTTTCGATACAAAAGTTGTTTACAGAAACAGAAAAAATAAACCTGGTGCACGGTGTATCTGCATAATTTGACAATTTTCTATGCGAATCGCACAAGAAACCCGAGAATTATATTATCCAATTCTGCTGAAACACCCTGTATATCGCGGTAACGTTCCGCCGCCGGCCGTTTCCGAACGCCTTTTGATTTATTTTTATATGCTAATGAGAATTATTATAATATTATACATGCGTATTATACGAGTATTATAGCGCTCGTATATACGGAGAGAAAGTCGGTTTTAAAAACATAATATTCACCGGACGAATCCGCCACATGTGTACCGTCGGTTAAACGGTTTTAATGAGAAGCGAAAAAAAAAAAAACAAAAAAAAAATCAAAAATACTACCGGGTGTATGGGTCGAAGTTACGCGAGGGAAACGTAACGAAATAATCGGAAGAAGGGTGTGATTTAAAATTTGCCGATTCCAAATAACAAATTTACATTCTTTGAAAAAATGTTTTTACCCATTATTTTTTTTTCTTTTCTAAGTATTACGTCACTTTGTACGATAATAATATCACGTAATAAAATGCAAAAAAAAAAACAAAAACAAAAACTAAAAAAATATTATTGTTGCCGAATAATCATTAAACATTATCGTTAAACTGTCGATTCGGTTGTTTAAATATTCAAATTTAGAAGATGCTCTGCTCCAAAAGGCAATCGTACTTCATCTCCCGAATCGCAAACGCATATACCGTCACGTCATTGGCGGGATAAATAAGTTTGTAAGGTATGTGATACAGGGTAATTTAGAAGGTGGGACGTTGGGTAAGTATAACTGAGGTATAAAGTAATCTAATTCTCTAAATCCAAAGCAACGGTAAATTATTGTATTTAAAAGCCGATTCTGAGCGCAGCTCGTGATTATCAACATGGTATATAAAACCGACGCACTGTCGTATTTTGTTGTCGGTTGTTTTCAAATACTTTGGAAAAACTGTCGGAAATTCACAGTCATAAATGTTTCAAACGAAATACTATAGCGCAGAAATCCACGTGTTTTAACAGTGCTGCGTGAACAACCGGAACATTTTTATATAAACCGAGAGAGGTTTTCAGAGAAAAATAAAACGCATCATAATTCGAATTTCCGTATATAGATAAATAATCGTACGAGAAGAATGACCTTATATATATTTTTTTAACAATTCGTGATTTTCATTCTCGTCGATCGTGTACGCGATTTTGACCGTCACCCCCCCCTCCCCCGGTCTGTTATCCAGCGACGCGTAAACGGTAATCTCCTGGCAACACGATCATATTATTGTCCGACCAGTGTAATGGCGAGTATTTATACTTATAGTAAAGTACGCCTTCGAGACTAAATCATTATACTCCTGACTCGATGACCTGGAAAACGTTCGACGCGTTAAAATATCGGTAGTATAAAATATGATGATAAATCTTCGTCAATCTCCCGACGATACCTTTTATATTTTTATAGCCGTGTGTATATAATAATAATAAAAATAATATTATATTATATTTATGTATATATATTTTTTTTTTTATACACGTCCGTTGTTCTTCGCATTTAAGGGGGACAATGTGCCCGTTTTCGAGTAGCACAATATGTATTACAGGAAACCGAAAACATTCCGGCGTATAGATATACAAAAAATAACAAACAAAACAAACCACTCGAAAATGCCAAATTCAAACAAGCGCAGATGTGTCGGTAACGGTTTATCAAAAATTAACTCATTAAAACATACCCCCTGGTTAAACCATCTATCTACGATTTCAAAAAAAAAAAAAATAAAAAATAAAGGAGCTGATAATGGTGATGGGAGCGGCCACTGTTGTAGGTAAGAAGTTTGGAAGGTAGTATACATAAGATTACTTCATTTATATCTGTAAGCAACGATAAACCATTGCTTGACGAAAGACGATTCCGAGCACAGTTCGGGAATTCATAATTTAAAGTGCCGTAATTTTTTCCGCGATTTTCATTGAAATTTGATTTCAAAACGTTAATTAAAAAAAAAAAAGGTCGTCCGATGATTTTGGAAATTTTACCACTTCTAGATAAGTCCCTAGTATATTAAATTATTATCAATTTTCAAGTCTCTAAGTGTATTTATAACCAAATTACAGCAAAACAACTCCCAAAAATTAAAATTCTTTTAAAATTGAAAGTTCAAAAATGAGCTTAACAATTTTGGCAATAATATCGTAAGAAAGTAAATTAAAAAGGCAACAAATAAGGTATCCTGTGATTTTTCGATTAAATCATTTTTTCTATTAGAAAACGTCATCCGTGTTTTTATAAAATAATGAAATCGTGAAATTGTACGTTTTCTTAGGTGTTTTCCCACTTAAGTGCTTTTATTTAAAAAATGACGCCGTAAATCACAAAACGACCTCTCTAAAATATTATATAGGCAACTCGAGCTTATAGAAAAGTTACTATACGTAAAAATCTTAGCAAGTTTATTTGGAAAAAACGTGTCCATAGACTAAAAGAAAAAGTAAAAAAGAAAAAAAGAGAAACATCTCAATAAAACCGATAGTTCCCTCACAGCGCTCGGAATCTAAAATATCAAAAACAAAATCACTATTGCTATACGTTTTACCGTTTTCCCTAAGTCTTTTCTCAACTGCAAACAAGAATCGATAGATACCGACTAGATGCGATTTTATTTCGTAAAAGTAGCCACGTTCGAATTCCGTAGCAAGATTTCCTGCACCTAGAAAAGTTATTAACAGACAGAAAAAAAAAACACATCATTGTAAAGTTACAACGCATTCTTCGTTGCGTTCAGAATCTAAAACCGACGACGCGCTTCGTCAGAAACACGTATTACAGCAATGTAATATTTCCGGATAATCACCGTGCCCCGTCGAAATTTCGGATACCGTTGTTACCAACCACGATAATAACCATAGAACACACGTTGGCCGACCGCGTACCCGATTTCTTTAATTACTATCTCGCCTCCGCGGAACCGGTTTCGTTTTCTCGCCGCGACCGCATAAAAATAATATTATAACCGTATAGCCCGGCAAAAACTCGTGGGATGTTTTTTTATGTTTTTTTTTTTTTTTTTTTTTAATAAAATGTGATTTTTAGGTCGGTATATACTTCGAGCAACACATTTAAAACACTTGAAAAATTAACACTACGCTCTGTATTATTGCATAACAATATTACTTAAGTATTTCGTTTTTTTTTTTTAAAAAAATTAGGTATCGGGAATCGCAATATTTAAAATATTATTATTATATTTTAAAAATTCGTATCTGTTGTGGTGGAATTTCGTATTTTTTATAAATCGGCACCTAGTGCAGCGTACATGTTGTGACACCGTGTTTTTTTTATTTGTTACAGACGCCGTTTGTTGATGGCTATAGACGCGCATAATTTGGCTGGACCAAGTCGTCGGTACACAATGAAGGTACGTAAACCGATAATAAATTATGTCACTAATGTTCAAGTCTCACCGTAGTGGTTGTAGACTATTGATTTTGTTCACATGGAAATCCACAGAGTGGACGGTATTATATTAACATTAATAACGCTATTTTTCTTTTTTTCCGTGGATTTTAAAATTCCTAATTATACTTACTGGGATCTTCTTATCGTAATTTTACTCGCTCATACTCGCGCCGGTCGCCTGTGTTCGGTATCCTTACTTTAGTGATCATGGGTTTATCATTCGAAATGTTCGTTCGTGCCTAATCGTCGGAAAGAGTGCGCTAGTTCGCAGGCACAATACACCACGATATAATGTATTATAATATTATGTACGACCCGAATATCACAAAATTAGCCTCATTATTTTGGTACAATACACTGCCACCAGAGATCACTACTGATCCTTCGAATTTAGACCACAATATCAGTTTTCCGTCAGATTTTCTTATACGTGCCACAAAGATAAAATACATAATAATTCCAATGATAATGATAATGATAATATTATGCGGATTTCTATTATAATATGTTAATTTCCGTATACACTCCGCGTGTGATGGCGAATTCATTGTGTTTTCTTGTGTACCACTTGATACGAATGACCGGTTTTCGGCCGAAACGAAAATGACGTTATATTATTATTATTATACGATGGTGGCCCGCTATTTTATGTAGACGTTAAAATTTAATAATACGGACGATCGCTCCGAACTATAATATATTCGAATGCCATGTTGGTTTGTTGCAGACGCCAGAAGGCTTATTATTTCGTTTCGATCGAATAATATATATTATAATATTGTTTCCTTTTGTAACTCGATCGAATCAATTGACTTATTATTATAATATTCACGAGGAATATTTTCTCGTAAATTGATTTGTAATTTTATTTTTTTTTTTTTTTTGTTTTTTTATGGAAGGGGACAAGTTAAAAAGTTGATACTGCTCACGAGTAGATGTCAACCCTGTTGTAGATGAGTAGTTGGGAGTATAATATACACTGAATAGTTTATTTTATATACTACAGTATGCAACGATAAATGATTGAAAACGAAAAAACAATTCTCAGTGAAATATTAGCGTTGTTGTTATTATCGACATGGACATAATTTGTGGGGTGGACTCTAGGTAATGTCAATATCAGCAGTTTTTCTGAAGAGTTAAAATTATCTCCGCTCAGAACCGTTTTTTAACTGTAATACGATTAATCAATGCTGTCAGTTCTTATATAAACTAATAAATAGCCTAAACATTATGCACCTTTCCATCTTCCCGCCTACACTACAGCGGCCTACCCATAGTACAAAGTATGTCCCGGCTTTTTACAATTATTGGATTAGCAATATATTATTTTCGCGTAAACAGTACAATCGAGTTCATAATTTTATTGTATTCTTATGCGTGCACCACAGTTTGTGTATAACAATTAAATCGCTATGGATTCGTTTAAAACACTATTGTATAGTATTATAATCATAATAATATATTGTAATACGTGGTTTAATAATGCAATTTAAATTATACGTGAAAGGTCATGTAGAAGAACAATTGTTTCATAAAATATATGCGTTAAAAAAAAAAAAAGACCGCACATTGTATAAGTATTAGTGATTAATATTACGATTTTTTTTTTTTTTTTTAAATTATTATTATTTAAACGCCACCGCAGTGTCTTTTTACCCGCAGAAAATAATTAATCAAATAATAATTATTTTGATAAAAATTCTGACGCAATTATAAAAGTGTTGACATTTTTATAAAGGATTTATGTTTTATGAAAACCCATTTTTTGGTTTTTTTCCAAAAAAGCTGTGATTATTGAATCGAGTTCCAAATAATTGACCAAATGTTTTCGAACAGATTTATTCAGATTTTTAAAATTCAAATTTGTAAATTTGTTTGTTTTTTTATACATGTAGCTTTGGTGGTTATCATGGGTTTGATTCTAGATAAATTAATCAGATAGGTTAATGTTTATCTTTTATCTTATCTAGATAAATGAGAAATAATTTATCTGAGCCATTATCTAAGATAAATAATTGAATCATCTAGATAAATCTTTTTTAATTATTAAGATTCATGTATTTATAAGAAATAATAGATAAAATATTTCATGTGTATATTATTATGATTTAATAAATAAATTATTAAGTCACACCAAACACGCAGACATTATGTGAAATCTGTGTTGTACCAAATCTGGTACATTTTTACTACTTTTATCATTTTATTTTATGATAGGTAATAAACAAAATTATCTTGTTTTATCTAGATAAATATTACTTATTATTACCTATCTTTACATAGATAATTAAATTGGTTTATATTTTTAATCTTTATCTCGATAATTATTTTAAAAATTATATCTTATCTTTAACAATATATTTTAAAATTTATCGTTACACAACATTGGTCATCTGTTCCCGTAAAACTTGTTCTTTTTACTCTCGGTGTCTTTTTACTCGAATTTTTATTATGTTTAACAGGCTTTGCTCCATATTTTTATATTATTAGCTGTATTTTAACTCGGGGCTCTATTCAAACATTACGATTATAAAAAAATACACCGGATTCCATTCAACGCATTACCTAAATCTGTAGTCTGTGGGACTTAATTCGACATTAGGCAAAGTGTTTAGACACACGCGCCCATTTTACAAGACAATTTATTTATTTTATATTGTCAAGTACGTTCAAAAACCAATTGTGTTTGTTGTTTTTTTTTTTCAATAAAGCGCCGCATTCGAATCGATTCGAGAAAAAAAATATCCCATAATATATTATAACCATTGAATTACTAGAGCCGCGCCGCCGCCGCCGCTGCCCTGTAAAAAACATTTGAAAAAACCATGTCACAAGAAAGAAAGAATGAAAAAAAAAAAAAAGTGTTTTTTAACGAACATTACCGTCGCACTATTATAGGTACTCGACCGTCGTGATTTATGACTTTGCGCCGCCGCCGCAGCGATTTCGCGCCCGAACGAATTAAATAATAATATTATTATTATCGAAGGCTAACAGAAGTACACAACAATAATAATTATTACGGTGCACGTCGAAAATGTATATTGTAAAGTTTTTTTTTCTTTCAATGAAACTGTACGGGCCGCTGTTGATTATTGTGTATATATATATTTGTGTGTGTGTGTGTGTGTGTGTGTGTGTGTGTGTGTGTTCGAGTCGCGGACATGCACACAGGGGCCGAATGAATAACGAGAAAATTTCGTGAGGACAATGTCAGTTATATACATGGCAGCGAACTGCAGCGGCTTCTTGTTAAAAAATAATAATAATAAATAATAAATATACCACTAGAAATTAGGTCACTCGTTGCGGTTGCGTCTGTGCGCCCAGAGGAGTACATAATATATATATATATATGTATTATCGAACCAATCACAGCCAGACCCGATAGGTTTTTTCCTCTTCCAACATTCGAGTCTAAAATATTTACATAAAAATACTCGTTTTAAGAGAGAAATTATAACGAAATGTTTGGATCATTGCTTTCCAAGGGGTTTTGTTTTTCCGTTGGCAGGCGTGTCGTATAGGCAATTTCAGTACGGTAAAGTGTGTGCACGGGCCCTCCGGAGTCCCTATGTATGTGTACCTGCATAAATACGGCGGTACTAATCGAAAACAAACTATGTAAGTAATAATAATTATATTACGATTTAGTGATAGAAGGAAACATTTGAAGACTTTGCAAGACTTGGAAAATGCGCAGTTAATAGCAAACTATTTTTACAGATATATGTTATACTATTATTGTTCACTGTTAAAAAATTACAAAACAAAAATTTCTCGTCTAAGTTTAAAATTTCATGAAATTTCTATTTATAAATTATGTTATGACAGTGGCACGAAATATTTTGTTTTGATAAAAATACCATTATATTTTATAACTGGTAATAGTGGCTACGGCAAACATCTATTGAAGACACTGAACGTTCATGCTCGTGACTTTCAAAAAATTGTTAACAACTAATTGAAAATATCTACAGTATTAAAAATAGTCTTAACAAATAGTTCAATCAGTATTATTTGTTGACATAATATACACGTGTAGGTATTTGTTTATTACGGCACAAGGCCAATTTAAATAAAGAATATAATATTTAAAATTTAAAGTGAATCCTTTACTACAATGCAAGTCAGTATTATGATTTTATAAAACACAATAGAAAACCGAACCAGAAGACTTAAAGAAACATATTGAGAGATTTAGAAATAAAAAGGATGGACATACTTCGCACGTGGGTGCAGTCACTGTTGTAGGTGGGAAATTGGGAAGATAGGATACAGACAGGAATTCAATATATATCTGTAAGCAACCATTAACCATTGCTAACGAAAAAACGATTCTGAGTGGAGTTCAGTTGATAGTGTTATTTTGTCAATAATGCAATATATGGTATATATCATATTATAGTGAAATGATTACTACAATGTGCGTTTTCGTGACAACAATGATTGTTTAAAAAATATTAAAAAATAAATAATAACAAAAAATAAATAAAAACGGTTGCCAATGACAACCTTATTTTTAATCTTTTAATCTCTTTTAACCTAAAGATCGAGGTTTTCCTCATTATCTCAAATATTAATGAGAATTTCAAAAAAATGACTTCATTAATGTACAACCCAGAGAGCATTTCCTTTCAGAAAAGATACTATAATTGATAATCGGAGTAAGCTTTCTGGTAGAAAAAGTGTTCACATAAAAAAAAATAAACATCATTGTAAAATCAATATATTTTTCAATTTTTCAATTTTTAATTGAAATATTTTAAGCGGTGTGAAATTTCACTTTTAAAATGTTTCGAACGTTTTGATTTCGAGGAAAATATTTCATATTTATAACCTTAATTTTGTAACAACTTGTTTATTTATTCACCAGTTTTTTGGAATTTTTGTCAAACTGAAGATGAAATTGAAATTTAATTTTCTCCTCGGTATTAGTTATCTTTTCGATTATATCATCACACATAACATATCAAATAGGTGTGTCGATATTTAGATATTTATATCATGTCTTTGGTCATCGCTATTGCACATGACCGGCAGGGGAAAAAATGACGAATTAAAAAATTATCAGCATACTATACCTAACGTCGTCGTTGGCCATAATAATATAATCGATTAAATAATAACCGTCGGCCAATGAATCATATTGTGGAACAACCGGCGGCGATATCGATGATTAATGTACGTTTCAAAATAAAAATAGTATGTTGTGTTAGCGTGGTTATTACGTTCATATACGACTACTGTCTTCATCCGCAGTGAAAAAACGAACCATCGTCACTGCAGGCCAAGAAAAAAAAAAAATTGGAAACAATTCGTTCGATACTACGACACACATAGGCACACACGCGTACGCTAACCTCAATCTATATAATAAACGACGATTGCCGACACTGTTTATCTAACGCGTGGACTGCGATACGACCAAAATGTATTTGTGCGCACACAAAAGTAGAGGTGTACTCAGACTTCGTTGGTCGTATATAATACATTCATAACAAACATTCATCCGGTACGTGTTTTTCGGGGTAAATTGAGTACACGTTTATTTTCAACGTAATACGAATCAACAAGTTTTATTAGAAAACGTTTGCACTTTTATCATCTGTTCACCTCGGTGGATAATGTTTCATTTTACTTAGCTTGGCTAAACAACTGGTAACGTAAAAATAAAAGTGATAACTGTTACTAAGTATATTAAATAACAATATAAAAATAATACGCTGTTATATTAGGGGGGGAAAAAAAAAAAAACACCACATGATACCAGTTGAACCAATAAACTCGCTCAGAATTTAAAATGTATTTGTCTTGTCTACAGCTATTACCCGCCCACCTAAATTTCGGCACGGTCGTGGCGCCTCGAAAATACATCGTGTTGACGCGCCGTTGGGTCCCCCGCCAGATAGACGCTTAACAAGACTAACAGCAGCAGTAGCTCATATTATTATTATAATCGTAACCGGCACAATATTATATTATATTTCCGAGCGTACAATGGAACGCAATTTATTACAATATATTTATGTTTTCTCTCGTTTATTTACTTTTTGTCTGCCGCCCTCAAAAAAAAAACTCGAGTTCGTTTTTCTATTTTAGATTTAATCGGTTGCAGGTAGGTAGTTTGGTGTAAACGTAACGTTCGTTGTTTGCGTTCGTACCGGTGCCAATTCGCCCGTAAATAAATGCACACAATGCGTGCGCACACGACGGGTGTGTAAAATGTTATTCTAAAGTGGACGTATATAATATAATGACGCGATTTTTACCGCGAGGCCGGCGGCGGTGGCGGGGAGACGACGACGACGGCCCAATAATATTATTTGTAGGACGAATATCACAATTGAAAACTATACGTATATATAATATAAATTATCATGATTCTCGCCCACCGGTTGTGTGAAAATTACAACGGGATCCACCGTCGGCGAGTGGACGCCCGAATGTACGTTGCGACGTAATAACAGTAACTGTCGCGCGGAAACGATTATCACTATTTAAGTACATGCAATATGAATAGCCCGAATATTGCCCATGCGTGCATAATACTTTTGAAACTTACTCGACGAGGCCTGAATGGCGTGACCGGGGAAAGAGCCTATAGCCGTGCCGTTTTGACGGTGGCCGTAGACCGTGCGTACCGTGTAGTGTGTTTGTGCTATGCTATATTTTACAATATTCAAGTGTCCCGTTACCGTTTCGATTTCCGAGTAAACGTTTTCCAAACCGAACCCTGAGAAAGCGTGTTTGATGAGGAAGCGTCCCTGTCAGATACTAGACTCAATGGTCTGGCCGTGGGCTGTGTAAATAAAAAAAAATAATATACCGATGAAAACGATATGTAATTAAAATTCCTTTTTACAAATGTTTAGGGGTAACGCCTCTTTTTTATTTTTTTTTTTTTGTTTTTTATATCTCTTCTTTATTTACGTCCATGTCTCAAGTAAAACTGCATTTAGGCTATTAAAATCACAAACCTGGGTACGCCGCTGCGAGGACTTGATTTAAGAGACTAGCCCTATTTTAATAGTAGGATTTTTCGAACGCGGGATATTTTTTGAAGGACGAGATATGTCGACAAGGAATCTTAAAATAGCGTAATACTTTAAAGAAATTAGGTATCCTAAATCTTCTGCCATTAAAAAAAATCGTGTAATCACCTAAATTAAAAAAAAAAAAAAAATAACCAAGAGTATGTAAAATTACAAATGATAATAAAATACTAATTTATAATAAAAATATTTTCAAGTTAAGGACGGTCTCGTCGTAATTAAGTCCCTCGAATTATCCGTAGGTAGATGCCTTCCATGGCCGCGGTACGTTATCTTTGTTTGCAATATTTTCGAAAATAATTGAACGAATTCCAACCGGTCGACATTATTCTATTGACCGGACATAATATAATGTTCGCTATATATTTTAATATTTTTAGCGTCTTCGCCGGTTTTTGATTTATATTTGTTAGTGGATTGAGTAATACCATCATCAAAGCATCTATAAACCACTCGAAAACGTATTAAAAAACGATGTTCTGCAATTCTTCGCACGGACGACATAAACTACCCACCTCCCAGTCAAAATAAACCTGTAAACTTTTGAAAAATAAAAGGTTTACCTTCCAACCCCACACGATCTGCCATGCAATATCGTGGCGATTATTTCAATAAACTGTTAATAAAAACGTGATTTTCTTCAATGACCATCGTCAGTGGTTTCGGTTCAGTATTTCCAGACAGAATCGAAAAATATCACGATGCGCGCTTGTTTTTTGAATCTAATCGACGTCCCCGAATCGGAGCTTAGTACTACGAAAAAATTGTAACAAATAACTATGGAACAGTTATCATAATATTTACACTGTCAAAACACGAACGTTACGAACATTTCGTCGTGATCGCAATTTTCAAAATGATTAATGTTGATAAATGAGTATTTCCATATTTTTACTGTATAATGTATATGCATTCATTATAGCCGTACTAAATAATTGTATACAAAACTCACGACTATTTAATTGGTTTGAAGAAAGATAAGTTTTCCTTGAATTTACTTCAATTCAAATTCTGAGTGAAGCGATTAATGTTTTGGTTTTGCAATGATGTTTATTTATTATTATTTTTTTTTTTTACATTTTTTCGTTTATCTGTGAACAACTTTTATACCAGAAATCTTGCTCCGATATTCAATTGTAACACTTATATTGAATGGAAATTGGACATCTGGAAAAGAAGTTGTACTTAGTGGTGAAAAAAAAAAAGTGAGTAAGATCACATTTTGATGAAAATCAAAAATATTACGGCCTTTATTTAAATACCTCAAGGGTACAGTACTGTTCAACTTATAACAACGGATATTGCATTAAGAATATTGGTTTCAAATCATGTATAAATGAAATTAGCTCAGAATTTTCGTTAGCAATGGTTTAGATTTTAAATAAAATTACTTGATGTATCTTACCTTCTTATCTTCCCACAACAATGGCGCACCATCAGTGGTACAATTTTTTTTTTTTTTTTTGTACCTACGAACTATATATTATGGCAACTTTCGGTCTAATCTCGCCCACCGATTAAAAAAAAAAAAAAAAACAAAGCAATATTCAATTCCGAATCGTGGATAATTTATTTGTCGTTCGGTGGCCAGCCCTCAAAATCGTACGACGACCTGTTATTTATATTGCAATAATAATGTATAGTCGAATTTTTTATCTATTTTTTTTTTTCGTTTGTGCATATTATACAGTCGGATATATAGAGCAAAATTTGGCCGGGGGCTATGGAGATATTGGAGAAAAAACAGGTTTGCGCACGCCGCTTTCGGTTGAAATAACATTATATTAAATGTGTGTTGGCAGTGTGTTTGAAAAATATCACGCGTGCGTTGGCAACTTCGTTGCTATAGGCATGGGCTTTTTTTTTTTTTTTATATACATGTATATATTAATTTTTATTTTTTTTTTATGTTAGGTTCGTGCGCGTGCGTGAACGATGAAAGAGAAAATAAAAACGACATTATATTACTCATTCATCATTTATTATTATTACTATTATTATATCGCTCTATAGTCGTTCTCCTAATTACTGGCGGTATAGTTTTTTTTTACTCGTATATACCACTGCACAGACGTATGCGTTGAAATAAATTATTATACTATTATTATGGAAGGGGAAAAAATATCTCGTTGTCAGACACAGAATCCGACGTTGCGCGGTGGGGCCCCGGCAATAGACGGTGAAATTATTATTATATTGCGTCTAGTCCGGATCACAATTGTATAAAACGACCGCTCGCACGTTTTATAAACTATCTGTACAGAGCTGGTGCACGTCATCATTATCATATTATTCTAGTTTTTTTACTGTTGTAATTTTTTTTCCCACCGCAATTTTTTATGTTTTTTTTTTTTTTCACGTCTCGCCGACGGATATTTGATGAGATTCCGCTGACGTTCGCGCGGCAAATTGCAGACGTCGACGGATGAGATCGCGTGCGCGATACCGTATAATACCGTGACGATAAGTCGGGTCTCTAGCGAGCGGAGTAGTTAGGGGATGGGCGGATAGGAGGGGATAATCGGCAGGTACCGGGAATATAATATTTGTCGTTAAAATGTTAACCTGTTTTCGTTTTTAATTGTGATTTTCATCAAAAATATTGCTCTGAATTTCAAGCGTAGCAACTTTTCAGATTTTATAGGTATTAGTAAAAAAATATTACGACCTTTCGTTTCTTACGAACAAATTTTCTACAAGCAATTTCGCTCCGATTTACAATCCCAATAAATGGGAAAAACATGGTAATAATCAGTAAAATAGATATAATATTAAACAAATATTATTAAAAAAAATACATATTACATATGTAATTATTTTACCATAATTTGATATATATATATATTGTAGAAAAAGCAACATTATTAACCGAAATTTGCTTAGAATCGTTTTTCATTAGCAATGGTTGATCATCGCGTATAGATAGAATATATTACATTTCCCCTCTACCTTCCCAATTTCTCACCTACAATAGTGGCCCACCCACGTGCGAAGTATGTCCGTCTTTTTTTTCTTCTTAAAATTCTGCGACTTTTTAGCGACTATTTATTTTTGATATTTTCGTGTAGTTTTATTTTTTCAGTTAATAATTGGGAGAAATAGTTTCAGTCGGATTTTTTTTGTGATCCGGTCTGACGAAAATGATCACAGCGTGGAAATAATGTCGAGAATTTCTCCAAAATTTCCAGTCCAATTGTTTCGGATCTGAGGTCGGTTGATTATTTCAGGTATTATGACGAAACGTCGGTGACGACGTGCGTTAAAACAAAGATTGAGAGGGGGGGAAAAAAATGGATTTTCTACTATTACTGTTGGGTTAGCGGTGCGATTGAAAAAAAAAAAAATCGACGCGATATAATATGGGTAATTTCGCGCGCGCGGATTCCATAGATAATATTATACATTATGTTCGGTTGAATTTTAATTTTTGAAAAAAAAAAAAACCGACACCATAGTTCCCCCCGCCAAAACACTCCGATAAAACAAACTCTGCGGCATCACGATCAGAGAAAAAAAAGCTCCGGAATGTGATCCTCTCTCTCTCTCCTTTGCTCGTTGTTGTAGTGTATACACACACGTATATATTATAGTCTTATATTGTTATTACAGTGTTTCTCGTTGTCGTCGTCGTAATTTTCTAGAAAGCTATACATAATATTGTTCGTGATCTTTTCGGACGTCGATTATAATATTAGTTATTATTATTACGCGGCTGTACGCGAAAACCGTTATAATATAGTAAGAATCTTTTTTTCTTTTTTTTTCACGAAAAATCAATGATATCGTCAGTGGCGTAGCCTGCAATTGGTCAATGAATTTAAATAAATCTGATGTAAAAATATTGCGTGTAATGCGAACACAGTGAACCAAGTGCCTTGCCGGCTATACCGGACTTGTATCACTGGTCGTACTCGGTAATTGAATAATAAACTTTTGATTAGCCTAATAATAATTATTTTTAAACGTAAATTGTTCCTAACTATTTATTTTACTATGGTACACGCGCAACAATAGGTAAAAATATAAAATAAAATATAACGCAACCCGGTTAAATAATATTATAATAACAAAATCTATGATATCTATTTATAAATATTGATTTTGTGTTGATATCTGACAATTTCTATTTAAAACAAAGCTAATAAGATGCAGGAGTTAAATCCCTAAATCCTCTGGCTATACTACTAAATATCGCGATTACGTTCGGGATGGGTCGGCGAGTCTTTTTTTTAAAACTACTTTTCTACCAGAAATCCTGGTCATAAACTTCAAGAGCGGTTATCCGGTATAGCGAATTTTATCTATATTCGATCCATTAGAGATGAAGTCATTTTTTGATTTCGATTTTATATCAGTATGCTTAATGAAAATATAATATTGATTCGGGAGGAGGGTAGAAATTTAGAAGAAAAAAAACGGGAATATTTAAGATCTGACTTTTTTTTTTTTTTGGAAATAAGTTAGAAATAACCGTAATGAAAACTTATATTTTTATGCCATTTCTTTTCAAATCAATCTGTCGATTTTTGAGCTTTTTATAGCCATTTGAATTTTTGTTAGTTTTGTAGTACTAGGTTTTATGCGAACGATATTATTTCGGTTTCTCAAAAATGCTCGAAACTGTGATATAAGATTTGTCACGGCTCATGAGTTGTTTTCGCGAAACAATGAAAATATTCACAAATTTTCTTATTTTTCGGTGATTTTGATGACAAAAACTGATCGTCGCGCAAAATAAAACGTTTGTAAAATTATAAAAGTTATAATAGGCATGCGAACATTTTATGAATAACCATATTATTTCTGTCGCGGCCACGCCTTTTGCGTCATGAAAGGAGAATATTATTATTATTTTTTGTTTTTTTACTTCTAACGGGCCGATATATACAAACACACCAAACTCGTTTTTTTATATAGGTATACGCAAAACACGACAATTGTTTTGTCGTCGATTGTGTGTTTTTTTTTAATCTTTTTATCCGTGGTTTAATTTTTCAAACGGTCACTGTCCGAATCGTTTCCCACGAGACGTGCGACGATTGTGCGTGTGTGCGATTCATGATATTCTCTTATCCGGAGCCGGCGATTCGAGTAAAACTTGTCTCTGCAGACACACCGCAATCGCGTATACAGTCAAAATTGCATAACGATGAGTGATTATCGTATTTTTTTAACCGCATCGAGTCGTAATCGGAAAGTCCCGATTAAATGCTAAATGCCAAATTACCGTTACCTGACGTAATCGCGTATTTTAGGGGATTTCCTCCGGGTAGGAATTGTGGCTAAAAAAAAATAATGCAATAAAGTACAATATAATAACAATATATAATGTATAGTGTAATAACTCGAAGAGCATTTCTTTTTTTTTCATTTTCGCTCGCAGTTCATTAACTCCCGGGCCGTTTTTCGTTTTGATAAACGCCTATTTATTATTGTAATTTCTTGTCGTCTCATTTCACGCCCCAACGGTGTCAAATTGATTTTTTGTTAGTAGAATTTTGTACCGAAAATCGCGTTTCCGATTCGAGTCAAACCGAATACGATTCGTTTATACAGGGTGAATCTGCAGGATTTTACGTTTGTAGTTGACACGTAGAACAGTGTCAAATCCTGTGAGAGATTAATATACATTGGGTGTAACATTAAGTCTGGCGCGCAAACGATTCGTCACACGGGCCCCGTCGATTTTTATGTGCTTTACTATCTCCGCGAGTTTTGTGCGATCGAAACAATATAATACGTATTGTTATAACAATAATTTACGGCTGTCGCGTGATAAAAATATGCACTTTTAATCGCGCGCCGTGTAAAGAATAATGTAATAAAACAACGTCGGGAGCTAGTAAAATAAAATAGCGAAAATTCGTATTGCTTTTGCGTATTCGCCTCTAATGTATGTACCGTTACTTTAGGCTGGAAGTTGCAGGAAAAGAGGACATAATAGATTAATTTAATTCATATGCATGTATGCAACGATAAACTATTGCTTACGAAAAACTATTCCGAACAGAGTATTAAGTTTTCTCTTGTTGCCAAGGAGACCCAACACAAATTGTGTACAAGATTGCTAGTTTTTCCCATTGATTAAAAAACGTACAAGTAGAATCAAAAACCAACATTCTTAATACACTCACTTGATAAAAAAAAACAAATTACAATAAAGTTCCCATAAAGCTTTCAATTGTGATGTATAGGTGTCTGGTAGAAAATTAAAAATCATATCACATTAAATTCAATGCATTCCTCGCTTTCCTCAGACTCTAAAAACCCTTTAAAACATTTAACGCCTATTTATTCGATCGCTCCGGAGATCTCTTATATTTAAAAATACCTTATGTTAAACGGCCTTAACATTTAAATTATTAATAATATAGTATAATAACGATTTTATCAGCACGTGTGAGGGAAATACGCGGCTTTATTCAAATCAATCTCAATAACGGCCAGCGTGATGGAGTTTGGCGCCGCCGAAGCGAAACGGAAGAATCGAAACTTAACGTAACCCATAACTCGCAATTCGCGAAAGGTTCGCAGACGTTTTTTATTAAAAGTCCGTTGACGTAATGCATTTCGGCGTGCGACGAACCCTTACCTCCCCGCTCGCCCCTGTCCGCCACATAAGTTCGTGACACACATCGCGTACAGCCGTCTCGACTTCGTGCACCAAAACTTTCTCGACGGTCCTCGACTACGACCGCAGTTTCCATCGCGTTCGACGGCATTGAAATTCCGTGTTGCCGACGCATACTTATATGCCTGCAGTAACAGCAGTCGCGAGTGTTACATAAAACAAGTATATAGTATATATGTAAAAAAACCATCGACGGTGAGCATCTCTAACGGATTTTCGTCACACCGCAGCGCCGCCACGGTAACCCGCAAGAAACTAGAAATCCGAAAACTAGAAACGAAAATAAAACCTCGAAATTGTCTAATAACCAAAGACTATACGATATAACTAAAAAAAAAGAGCCACAAATAAATATTCTGTTGATAAACATTTCTACTCTCTGCAACTAGTGGTTCCATATTAACGTTCAATACATACTAATATTATGAAACTTAGAAAACCCTTTATTTTAATACCTAATATAATAATAATATTATAATTTATAGACTACAGAGTTTAATATACACTCGTGGTAATCCTGTACATTTTTGATTTCAAAAATTATATACTATTGCTCTATGCAACTATTACTATAATATATTATTTTCACCGTTGATATGAAAATTTCATACAACACGCCATTCGAACAGACCTTTATAAGAAATGAAATGCAATTCCTAAAAATGTTTTACCCGTTGTTTTATTAGCCTTTGATGGATGACGATAAATAATACGTTTTTTTCGATAATCACGCGCTATAAAAACAGCCCAATAACGAAACCGAAGAAATTATATTGGTAGTTGATTTCGTTCGCTTTTGAAATCGATAACAATTCGAATTCGGCGAGAACGTACGCGGGACGCATCCCTTATTGCCGGCACTGCGGAGGGCGGAAAAACTACAAAAACCACCGTATTCGTATACCGTCGCAATATGATCGTTCCGTCCGGTTTTCAGATCCGAGTATTCATAACCGCTAGACGACCGCCCGCACATACCTATCCGCGTACGTGTACACGATCGCGCGTTATATATTTAAAAAAAAAAAAAAAAACAACCGACACCCGTAAGTAGGTTACCGAGGCCCCAGGCGATTCGTGTACCGGCGGTTCGCCGTTCGTGTATATATAATAATAATAATAATAATAATAAAAAAAAATAAAATAAATAAATAAAACTTTATGCCGAGTGCCGGGCTCGTTATATTTTATACCGGACGACGATTTCGACACGAACCGCGAGTACCATACCCGCATATAAACGTATCCGCCGCTGTAGTGACGTTGCAGTATTAATAATATCGCGATGGGAAATTTTCCGCGGATACATCGAAGATACGGTAACATTGGATGTGCGTATAGAAAACAACCTCGTCAAAATCGCACGTCCCGCCTGGGGGGCGACGCGCGCGATTGCGTGCGCTACGCCGCGGCGCGTTGCAGAGCCGAGCGCGACGCGGGACAATATTGTCAGGGGGGTCTGAAAACTTTCGTGAACCGGCATCGCGGGCCTGCGTAAGGACGTTATTGTTAATAACGAATCGATAATATTTAATAATATTAACATCGTGATATGCCGCCAGACGGCCCACAATAGCGTGCGTAATCTTAAAGACGCCACGGAAACGCGATCCGGGGCTGTAGACCGCCACGGAAACTCGACGGCCATTCAATCATTAGACGACTCCGAGAAAATCAGACGTCTTAAGCGTTTGAAACCGTAGTACGGCGCAGTTTAAGAATTTAGATTGAAGGTCGCCGCAAGAGCCGCTTGACTGAAAGTGCGACTTCATCAACGTGTCCGTCTAGTGTGTAAGATGTACACTGTTCAGCATATTTATTTGTAAAGACCTTTATGAGCCGTTTAAATAATAAAGCCCCGGGTCATTTAAAAAGATATTTTTATCTATCTTGAGATGGATTATCAATGATCATTATTATTATAAATTATTGTTTATCTCGATATGAAATACATGCAGGTGCGGAATGGAATAATATTTTAGGGGCGAGGGAGTTGTGATTTGCCTTGTTTTATTTTTGACAGACCGAGAGTGTTTAACCTAAACAATAGTGAACAAATAATTTCTGAAAGTGATAAAATTTCAAAATCGTCTTTGTCATTATTTATTTATCGTATTAGAAATATCTTATTTTTTCTGGTTCTTTTGTTGGTTTTATGCGGATACAATTTGTTTGGTTTCTCTTGTTACTTTTTTTCATAAATTTTATAGTTCTTTACGATTTTTCAACGTCGTTTGCGTTTATCGCATTACAAGGCGTATGTGGTCTGTGGGATATCCACGAGGGTCTTGTATAGTAAGCCAATAATAGTGTGCAATAATACAAAATATGAGTATACGAGTAAGATAAATTTTATTCAAAAAAAAAAAAAAACAAAAAAATGAACTTTTAACAGTTTCTGAAAATGTGTAACTATTGATTTGTTTAGTCACTCGGATTTATTTGCCTATCGGTGCATCTAACTCTAGATCTGGTTCTCTGTAACGATGGTCGAAATGCGTTTCGGGCGTGCCCCCGGGTTGCGGTCTATAATATTATAACTTAGCTTAACGCGACACTGATCGGCACACCCTGTACACATCGCCACACGACTGTACGACGTGTTATATTATTGTATTATATGCGCTCGTAAGTGTTGTTTGCGAACCGGTAGCTGTAACAGAAAAAAAAAAAAAAATGTTATTATTATTATTATTATACTCTACGATGATGTTGTGCAATCGCGCAAATAAGCGACGGACTGACTGCGGCTGCGGTGTCTCCCGTATAATATAATATTATTATTATATTCCTCCGCCGTCGTCGTTCGCCTTAATACTATTACTGTTATTATTATTATTATTATTATCGTATGTATGTTTTTTTTTCTACAAACGGCAATAACCTTAAAAAAAAAAAGGAAAAAAATCCCGTGTTCGAATTGACGACCGAAAATTTCACCGCAGTAACACATCAGTGTAGTATGGAAAAAAGAAATTCTGTAACGCCCACACTTACTTTCCGAGAAAATACACCGTAAATTTCGGACCGGGAAAATATTATACCGTCGCGAATAGCGTAAAAAAAAAAAAATTATGAATATAACATTTCCCATCTCTCGATTCTGTTTCTGGGCATTTTTCATGTATCACGAAATATCGCCCGAACTTCAGTCATAATATTATAATACAATATACCTATGGATAAAATGTGTCTAAAAAAAAAAAAAAAAAACACTATGGTTTTTTCTTTAATTTAGAACGCTCGACTTTAACAGCAATGAAATTTACCTAAAAAATTTATATTTTTTACGAGAAACAAATTATAAGTGTGATCATACAATTACAATCTGGTCGTTTCCGAAGTAGAAAAAATATTACTATTCGGATCAGATGTTTATTAAAATAGGTGTTTCCTTAAAAAAAAAAAAATGTTTAAAAAAAGTGTATATTTCAGTAGGTTGTGTTACTCTTATCACCTTCTGACTTAAATCCTAATTCATCAGACCGAAATATATTTAGTGATACTAAAATAAACGATCACATCGTATTATAATATACTGCAGACATTTATAAAATACAAAAATAATGCATTAAATGAACCTAGTGGTATTTTTACAACTATTGTCGATAAACAAAGTACCATATAAAAAAAGTAATACTTTTATCAGCTGATGGCGATCTTTAAAACTCTATAATATATATTGATCTTAAATTTTTCACGAAGCGCTTAAACATTATGTAGAACAAATCGACAAGACGCCCGCCGGCAATTATTTGGAAATAAATTTTAAACACCACTCATACTCTTCATTTAAAATAAAAACAAAAAAAAAGTCAAATTCATGTGAAAATTTCGATCGAATAATTTTATTGATGACAACCGCGAAAATATGCGATCTTGCTCATACTAAAGTAACTTCTTGACGATTTACACAAATATAATTTATTATAATAAGAAAAAAAAAAAAAAAAAAAAATGGGATTTTAGCGGTCTGAAAATGGACATTGCATGTACACGAACGACCGAAAAAGGAAAAGTCTTGTTTTTCGCCCGTTTGTGGCCGACGGTTCGATACTTTTTTATATTTAATAGTCATTTCACTCTCGATTTGTGTATTTGGACATGATAAAACAATTAATAATCGTAATAATAATTAGCTTTTTACGTCTTTTAAGTCGCTGTAAAAACAAAAAAAAACCACTCTTATAGACTGCGTACGTTCGCGATACGCCGTGCGCAGTCAAAACTAAACGAAACGGAAAAAAAACAAAAGACGCACACGGTAGTAATCGTTAGAAAACGCGAGAAAAGCGAAACAGTTTTACGGAACGCCGGCGTCATGACATCCGAACTCAAAATATGAGTAAGGTACGGGCAGTTAAATCCCATATTGGAATTCACATGCTATACAATTAAATATTTTTCATTGCCGCTGCCCACTCAGCAGCACGGAACGGCAAAAAGTGGAAATTGTGAATTTCTATAAAAAAAAAAATAATAATAATAATAGTAATAGTAATAAGATTAACATTAAGATAATATTAATTACCGTGGCAGACTTCGCCGGGCAAACACATTGTTATTATAAACGGCAATTTATCGCGATACTACCCACTTATACTTATATATTATACTGTCCGATATTTTTCCCGGATTATCGAGAAAACTACAAGTAAAATAAAAAAAAATGACTATTTTGTTTTTAAATTCAGTTCTAAAGCATAAAAAAAGAAAAAGAAAAGGTGATTGTATTGATGGTCCTGTCACTGTTTTAGAAAAGAAATTAAAGGGGAGAATTATAGAGTAATAATTTAATTTATATCTGTACATAATGGTAAACCATTGCCAACAAAAAACGATTCCGAGTAGAGTGTTGTGTTGTTGGTCATATTATTTTCTTTATCGCCCGAGATATTTAGAAAACTGATCTGGTAACCCAGAAATCAACAAAAATTATACAATGAACTCCTATTTTCTTCAAATTTATTTAGAAAACCACAAAGAAAATCAAAACATCACCTCTACAACGATCCAATAAGATCTACAATCCTACAAAAAGGTTTTCGATTAGAGCATGACTTCTGGTTGAAAAGTTGTTTATAGATACAAAAAACGTATTATAGTAAAACCAATACATTTCTCATAAAATAAAAAACAAATATTTTTTAATAGACGATGTACGTATACGTAATCGAATCCCGACATCGGTCTAAAAATGCCGTATGTTGAACGAACATTAGATTATATGCAGAGCTGCAGGACGTTGTTAGATTCTCCATCACTGCAGCCGCTGTTAGACAAATATAATAATAGACACCGCGACATTGTGACGTTATCGTATTTTGCAGATCAGCAGCCTCGGCTGTACGCCGTCGACATAGCCTCGCGGTATAGGTCGACGTGCTTCGATAAAAAAAAAAAAAAAAAAAATTTGAAAAAAAAAAATCGCTTAACTCGCTAATCTCGTGGGGCCCATAACGGTTTCGACGGTTTCGTCGTGCGTTTTAGTTTATACCTAATATGACATCACTCGGTTTTGTCGTAGCTTAATGCGTGCATATTCGTTTCTGTATTATTTTAACGGTCGTCTAGACGTAAGTGAAATTAGCCCCGCCAAGTTGTCGGATTGCTATCGTAAGTTTCACCTACAAACCCTGTCGCGTTAATAGCTACTCGGAACGCGAAAAAATCAAAATGCGCGTTTGAATTTTGCACTCCGAATATATACGTGTATGCGTAAAACCATTGAATTTTTCAGCTTTCGTCGATTTACAGTTTTACTTGCGACAGATAAAACGAATAACCGCAGTTGATATTATTGATGTATTAGGTAATTCGGTGGTCGGGTATAAGCACTAAGCCAGCGGGGCAGTGACTAACCAGTGGGTAACCACGAAATCTTTGAGTACGAGCCGAAAATAATATACAACAATCCGCGGCTTAGTTCAACGTATGTCATTTGGCCACATTTTGCGCAAATCTCTAAAGTCTAAATGATAGAAAATTCGACGCTCTAAAATATTAATGAAACGCTTCATAATTTTAAGACCTAAATTTTAGTCTATCTTTTTCTTCTTCTTCTTCTTCTTCTTCCGGCCTCCACTATACTCTAAGAGTTTTCGCCGTTTAATCCCAACTAACTCAATTCGTTTTTCCCTATCACGCACAATGCACTGTATCCTTCCGGTTCCATACGCCTAGGTCTCTCGGATCTTACTCCACCGCATTAATTCACCTCTTCCGAAAGCGGCCCGTGACCTCTTGATACGTCAAATACTATAACCTATTTACCGCTGCAACCTCACTATACGTCGTACTGAATGACCCTGGAGTTTTATGTTTTGAATTTTGACTACGTCACTGACTGTTGCCATTTTAATTTCCACCTGTGATTCTCTGATCTATAATAGTTTAATAATCCTGTAATACGGTGTAAATAATCGTAGAAGTTAAGGAACGTACGGCGCAATATTAATCATTAGTGCTAACACTATAATAGCATTAATAATAAAAACAGCCAACAGAAAACTATAGCGAATTAAAATTAAAATACAATTGTTGTGAACTAGCCATAGATATTATAGAACGTATTGTGTCAACCCGATCCTCCTAAATCCTGATACTCGGCCGTATCTACACTGAATAATTTCGATAAAATCTTTACAACAAAAACAATGGCAGTTTCGAAACCCGAAAGAATCCCACGAAAACTCTTAGACATGCAGACATTAATGAAGTGTTTTTTTTTTTTTTTTTCAGATTGAATTACCGCGTAGTACCCCGTTTTCGTACAAGTGTTCACCACATCACGTCGTCGTCGGTTCGGACGCTAGCGCCTGTGTGTTGAAAATGTGATTTTTGAAGTCGAAAGTCCGTATACACAAGAATACCTGTACGCAAATATTATTTTCGACCAGACCCCCGCGATTCCGCGCGACATCACCATGGACGTCGCGTCCAGCGATTACTTAAAGACCGCGCTGTACTCGGGAGACGGCGGCCCGGACTCGGGTAACCGGGATAGTCTTCGGCTCATGGAGCTCGGACTCCACCTGGAAACCCTGCACGACGGGTCGCACCGGATCAACACGTCCGTAGATCACTTGTTGAACGACCCGACTCTGTCAGGTGGGCGATATATACGGCGTATAGGTACGCCATTTCATTGTAACTATTATAAAATATATATCGTAAATACATTTCGATTTTCGTTCGAACACTCCGGCGTAAAACACGCCATGGTTACTGGGCGTTTTGGTTTTAACCGGCGATTTTAACGGGATGTCTGAAATGGATATATTTTTTACCCTACTATATAGACGGCCTTTGCGCTATAACATTATATAATATTTTAGACGAAATAATTGAAAAATCCTATTTTCACACACAGAGAGAAACAACAACGAGTTCACGTTCGCCAACAACAACAACAACCACAGCAGCAACAACAATAATAACAACAACAGTTTCGAAACGATCATCGGCGGGGACCACGGGTTCGACTTGGACTGCACGCCCAGCTCGTTTCCCGATAAATCGGACATAGCGGACCAATGGCGGACGTTGAACACGGACGGCGCCATCTACACGGTGGAGGTAGTGAACAACTCGGACGGCGGTGCCGGCGAACCACTGTGGTGCATGCCCGCGCTCACCGAACATCACCAAGACTCAAACGCCGTGAGCAACTTCGACGAGACGCTGTTGTCGATGAACGGCGCCGAGTCCTCGGACCAGATCGGGTCTAGCAGGTACATCAAACAGGAACCGTCCGAATACATCAAACAGGAGTCCGTCGAGTACATCAAACAGGAGTCGGTCGAATACATCAAACAGGAGTCGGTCGATTACATCAAACAGGAGTCGGTCGAGTACACGGGAGACGAGTTGCTCCGGAACGCGTTGCTGGGAAAAACCAATCACAACCATCACCAGAGGTACGGTTGACCGTTGATAATTTATTGTCTTTGCGTTCCCGCGCGCGCTACCGCGATTGCAGATAACCGACGACACGGCGTTTCGAACGTGTTGTTACTGTTTTCACGAGCCGCCGGGAAATTACCGCGCCGGGTCCCGTCTCTTACCCCGTACAAATAATCGCGAACGCGACGTTTTACAGGTATGGCGACAAGGACATCAAGCCGTCGGTGTCCACAGCTTCGGACAGCCAAAACTCGTCGCCGGGGCCGCAGTCAATGCAGGACGTCACTTACCCGTCGACGTCCGCCGTGGACATGCAAGACGTGCTGGCCACGGCCACCAGCAGCATCGGCGGCAACACGATCGTCATGATCGACGACGACATGCCGTCCATGTCGATGCTGGTGGCCGGCGACGGGGCCTCCGCGCAGAACGTCGATGATCTCCTCTTGCCAGACTTTGACTTCCAATACATCGACGCCCTGGATGGCGACATGTCTCAGTCGTTCCAACAGTATTGCCCCACTAGTCAGGGGTTCGTGTCCTTCATCGCCGCCGAGGTAAATTCCCCGACGTTTTAACAGGCCGCCGCCCGTTACAATAATCGTTAAGTGCGGCAACAGAGAAATAAAATAACCGAACGATTGGCGTTAATCGATTCGAACATAACAACTCCGGTCGTGCGCTCGCACGTCTAAGACGACAACAGCGTATCGTCTCCGTTATTAGCCTTTCCTCTTTACTTTTTCCCGTTCGCGCGTTTCCATCGCGCCGACCGTTTTTCCGTTTTTCCGATTCTGAACGCAGCTAGGAACTGGATTGGCTTTACCGTGCGCTTTTTTTCATTCGGCCTGTAGCGAACAACTCTCCGACCGCGGTCCTTGCACCGGTCGTCGACTGTAGGACAGTGGATTTTTCGTCCGGTCGGTACGTTTGGTTTTAGGTCGGTTTTCGATTTCCCTCGTAGTTTTCTTACAACAATGCAGTAACGGTTTCAATTTTCTATTATTCTGTTTCTTTCCGCAATTCGGTTTAACGATAATTGGGAAACCCTACAGTTTTCACCGAGCGCTTGGCACGTTCTCGACACGTACGATTTTTCAAACTATTTTCCGGTAATGTTAAATGATCGAGTAACAATTCGGCTTTGTGTACGCGAGAAATCCTCCGTACCGGTTCGGTATACGTATTATAGCGTCCCGAACGACCGTCGCGTTGGCAACGCGAAAAAACCAACGACAACACGAACGTATTGCGTTATAATGTTTACCGATTTTTTTTTTTTAATTCTTTTTCGCAACGGGCCCTTTAACCCCTACTGATCGATCGGGCTCGCGTCTCGACCATCGACTCCGCCGATCCCCCGTTCGGAATAAAAAAAATAACAATTTATCAACATTACGCCATCGCGTGTGATAGGTGCGGTGTATTAAAGCGACGCATATCATTATGACTGACACAATATTGTTTTAAACCAGTTGGCATTAAAAACGCGTGTAGTTTTTACGAAATCGTAATCGGTCCTGTACGAGGTGGTTTTACAACATGTAGTGAGCAATATTTTTACGAACGCAGCAGCAGCGCATTGTGTTGATTATTGATACGCGCGCGTGCGGTTTTACGTTAGGTACCGCGCGAGATCTGAATCGCGTGTCGCGTCGTACCCCTCGGAATGTCCGCGAGTCACGGCGCGGAACGTTATCGCGACGATTTCATCTCGAACGGGACGGAATATCGTTGCGGCGCGAAAACGACGAACCGATTGGAACGCCATTGGTGGACGCCGCGCCCACACCCGGACGGCGTAGCGGATTTTCGTTCTGTGGGAAGCGACGGCTTCGCGCCGCCGTCGGTTTCCACGTCACAGCGCATCGCCCCCGCGTAACGTCGTCGTCCGACTTCGTAGCGGGAACATTACACGCGCCGTAGAACTTAACGGACGACGAGACGGTGAAAACCGGCGCGCGGTCGCGCGGTCCCGTCTTTGGGTTCGATGATTCGGCGCGCGATATGAACGTCCTCGCGAAACACGGTGTCACGCGTACAAAGAGTTCCGAACGTAAACTTCACAATTGATTCTGGGCGCGCCGAGGAACGCGTATCGGTTTCTCTGCTTGAAGTGCGATTTTTCTCCCCGTCCGTTGACAAGTTTTCCACCGGAAACTTTGCGCTCCGATAGCGAATTTCATGTGCATACTAGGGAGGAGGCGTTTTCATTTTGGTTTTCGGTTTTCCCTACGGCGAGAAAAACCCGGGAATATTTACGCATTAAGGCTTCTGTTATTCTGTTAATCGCATAGACCCGAAACTTTCACCGAACACTCTCGTGTTACCACTTTCTAGACGTGGTAATTTATTTCGACTGAAGTTCGTTAAAAAAAACCCGAACAATCGCAATTCATTTATTTCGTAATTACAAATTATACATACGGTTTTCAATTTAAACGTATCGGATTACGTATTGTTCAACCGGACTCCGCTCTGGGTCGTATTTCGTTTACGGCGGTTTAGAAAATTTGATTGCCCTATTCGTCCCTATTGCCTTCTTGGCTTTTTTTTTTTTAAATTAACATAATATTATGCTCTACCCGTTTTACAGGCCCGGGACGAAAATAATAATATGCTCGAATTGTATAGCGGTATAATTGTTGCACGGTTTGGCCACAGAAAACTGTTACAAATTTCGTTTATTTTTCGGTTATTTTGTTTTTTTTTGCGACGAAATTTGTGCTATCCGAATCACTCGATTCGTGTTCCTCGTAGACTGCCGCCTCGACTGTTTAACGTTAAGACGTTTTACCGCACTGAATTCGAAAACGATATTTATATTTAATATACGAGAATAAAATACACGGGACCCGGATCCTGTAATGCACCAACGTCTCTGATATTGTCGGCGGCGGCACCGACGAAAAGTAATATTACAGTGATATGTTTGATCGCGGGGTAAAAATAGCTCCGAAGTCGATTTCGTATTGTTCGAAAATCGACTCGAGCCAATCCCCCGTCTACCCCGGGACCGAAGATATCCTATAGTATACCGACCGTCATAATGTCATAAAAACGCTTGTCTAATCCGCGGGTTCGCAACACGTTTTTTTTGTTTTTTCTCCCCCGTCTCGGCGGAACAGGTGGCGAACATCTCGCAGATCCCGACCACGGTAGTGCTGGACCACCGGGAACCGGAACAGGTGTCCACGTCGTCGTCGTCGTCGCCCATCAGGCCCGCCAAGAAGTACAACCGCCGGTCTCACCACGCCAACGGCAAGACGAAACAATCGGGCGGCGCCGTCGTCGGAGGAGGCGGCGGAGCGAGCGGCGGCGGTGCGGCCTCGGCCTCGGGCGACGATCAGTCCGGCGGCAACCCTCCGGCCGCCAAGAAGGAACGGTCGCTGCACCACTGTCACATATGCAGCAAAGGCTTCAAAGACAAGTACTCGGTGAACGTGCACATACGCACGCACACCGGCGAAAAGCCGTTCATGTGCAACGTATGCGGCAAGAGCTTCAGGCAAAAAGCCCACCTGGCCAAACACCAACACACGCACACCACGCCCGCCAAACCGCCCGCCCAATCGCTTTCGTCCGTCACGCAGTCCATCAAGGGCGGCGGCGGCGGCGGGGCCAGCGGCCGGAGGTCCACTTCCAGATAGCCCGGACACCGCCGACACCACCGCCGATACCGTCACCGTCGAGAACGTCATCATCACCATCGTCGCCAATAGCAGATGCCGACACCATTGCCGCCGCCGTCACGCGATTGAATTTAAAACGCGACGATCGAATGCATAAAAGTTAACCTCATCAAAGAAATTGTAATGTTACGAGTATAATTATTATAATAAAAATCGAATCAAAATATTCAAAAATATCGTTTTTTTCTCTATGTATACGTGTAATATTTTTCATTTATATTTGTTTTAATTATTACGTTTACGCGTACACATAAATAACAATAATAATAATATATGTATATTTTTATATTTTTTTTACGTCGTTTAAGCATCACGTTTCTTAATGAAATACAGAAACGAAAATGTATTACGTTTTATTATTAGTGTATTATGTACTTGTAGTTTTAAAAAATATATCGTTTATTTTTCCGTCCCGAGGCCTGTGATAGAAACGAACAATGTGTGCACTTACGTTGCAAAACGATTGGCACGCGTTTTATAACAAAATGTTAATACGATATTAAATAATATTATATTTTAATTTTATATTATTTGTATATTCGTAGATCGATCGATTTTATTTCATATATTATATTATATTATATTATATTATTTTGTTGATGTGAAAATGTTTATTTTTTTTTTTTATTTTGTATTTTTTATAGTTTTTTTTTTTTTTACGTGTGTTATTGGTGTTCCTATAACGATTACCTTGACACCGGACTCTATAATATTATAATGTATTTAAGTAATTTTTATGATATAATGTATTATGTACGGGCAAAAAAAAAAAAAAAACTAGGTAATTTATTCGAGTTACATAATATAAAATAATAAGGGTTTTTTTTTTTTTAGGAAAAAAGAAATTTAGACATCTAAACAATATAATATTTAATTAATAATATTATAATTATAATTTACGAATTAAACAAATTAGAAACAAGTAAGTAAACATAACGTAATTTAATATAATACACTTGACGTATAGATAGCCCAAAATCTTCGTCATTAATTTTGTACTATTTATAATATTTTTATCATTATCATTATAATTATTATTATTTTATTTTTATCATTATCATTATAATTACAATATTTTATTATTATTATTATTTTCATTATTTATCCCGTATTAGTTTTTTTTTTTTTTTTATTTACATATAAGCAATATTATATATTAAAGTATTATTATATTGTACTGACGACGATGAATTCGTTTTCATTCATAATTTCCATTGCGTATATTTGGAGTATTCAGAGATACTTGTAATACAATTCATCAGAATAATGTTATAAAATATTATGTTATCTTTTTCTTGTGCCATACACATTTTAAATGATCATGACATTTTTTTTTTTCTTTACATGACAAATCGTAACTACACGTTTCAGTCGCTAAAAAACATATATATATATATGTTGTGCGTGCGTGTGTGTGCGTGTGTGTGTGTGTGTGTGTGTGTGTGTGTGTGTTGTATCCCACAGAAAACAAAAAATGTGTATATTTTTATTTTTAATTTTTTTTTTTTTATACATATATATATATTATATTTTTTTAATGAATTTATTATCATTTTAGATTCGTAAACGTATCTCAATTATTAATGATATATTATAATATACGTTCTTATTTACTTACTACTTACTTACTTGCTTAATTATTATTATTATAATTTTATTATTATTATTATATATTCCTGCAATAATTTTGACTGTGATTTTTGAAACAAGAAAAAAAAATTTATCTTTATATTTACAATTTTCCATTACTTATATTTATTATATAATCGCGAAATAACGACACATTTCGTTGTTTTATTATTATTCTACAAAATATATTTATATATTATGTACTTAATAATATATATTATACATTACATGTATTTTTTTTTTTTTTTTTTTTGGTCCCTCTCCAATCTTTTTACATGTACATAATATAACGATATATATTTAGATATTATCATTATAATAATAATAATAATTATTATTATTATTATATAAAATGTAATTTATTATTAGTATAGTATTTAACAATCTCAACGTTTTTTTTTTTAAATTGGAAATGTTATTATATTTTTTTACGCCTACTCAGTATTTATTTTTTTTTATCAGTTTTTTAACCAAAATTATTTATTCCTATATAATATAATAATATGACAAATTTGTATACGTTTTTTTTTGTAATATTAAAAAAATAATAATATAATCGATCGACACACGTGCCGTGCGTACCCGGGACACGCATTTATAATTTTACCCGTTTCAATGAATTTTTTTTCGTGTTAGCTTTGTTTTTTTTTTTTTTTTTTATATTGATATATATATTTAAAAAGAAAAAAAACAAATTATAATATAATGTATAAAAAATAATATGCTACTCGCGTTGTTCTTCTTTCATAATTTCCAATATGTAGTTAATTTTTCGATAAAACAGCATGCAATATTTTCAAATTTAATATTGGTGTTTAGGGCAACAAATTGATAAATATCATTTGAAATTTAAAACAAAAAAATACCTCGACAACAATTTTTACCTCACAGTTGACCGTTTACACTCTTTGTTTAGACTTTAGAATAATAAGTGTCCTAATTAATAATATGTTTGAGTAAATTTTGTATTGTTATCAATACAAGAAATATAAATTTTTAGAAATACATCCACTTTAAATCCACTAATACGCTGGATGGAATAGACTGTTTATTGGGATATAGATATAAATTGTTTAAAAGTTAAATCAAAATCACACAAAATGTTAAGAAAAAAAAGTATTCTAAATGTAAAAAAGGAAAATTTTGAATATTTTAAATAGAATTCTGAAATGAATACAAATTGTATTATTATTACAGTTTTAATGACATAAGTATGGTATAAACATACAATGTAATAACATTTCATGGCAAACTTTTTTTTAATTTTTTTTTTTTTTTTTCTAACTGTTAGAGAGTTTTCACCCTTGCAAATTTCACATAAACGACCAGTTACCACGTACGGATAAAACTACAATAACAACGAATAGTAATCGTAAACTCTAAAAGTGGCACGTCACCGCGTCGTCCGCAAACACGTCGTTATAAAAACAGTACACAGAAAACTTGGATGTCGAATCTGACTTGTGGAGCTCTCTCTCCAATATCGGGCCAAAACATAACAAAAAAGAATTGTCCAAAGTAAAACGTTGTCAGCCTTCAAATTAGTATTAGATGGCAATTTCATTACTATTTTTACAAAACTACAAAATATTATTCACATTACCATTATTGCATAATTTCATTATGATTATTAATTTATAATTATTATCGTTAATAAAAAAAGAATATTCATTACGAATATTACGCTTAATAGAGTTAACATTAATAATGTATAATTATTGTAATAATTACTCCTGCGTACACGTATATTCACGAATTTCAGTAGGGATAAACAACTGTACCGAATTCCTAACGTATAATAATAGTAGATGGTAATAATCAGTTTACAAGGGCCAATCATAAGGTAATTTTCCGGGGCGAGGGGAAAAAAATGAAACCTTGTTCCAAAACCAATTTATAGACTATAGGTACTACACAGGTTGGTTATCCTCAATAAGGAACGACGGAATGAGCGCCGACTTACAATAAACTTTAAAATAAAAAAACTTGAACTACTGTACATGGATGTTACTTGTATACATATGACGTCATCATAATCGTGGTATTGTATCTCCAGCCATATTTAGACAATAAGTCGTTTTGACGAATATTTTACCGGGTCAAAACTCGTATAGCTAATGAGTTTTGATTGCTATAATAATACTCAAATAATTTGTATACACAAAAGCGAAATATTATTTTTACGTTCATCTCCGTTGTAGTAATTGAAGTACGGGGGCAACGAGAGCGATCGCCCCCGTGATGTCGGTGCCTATGAATGACTGTGAAAGAATTTGCAAATAATAAAACTTAACAGAAATTTGTGACATTATTGATAACGTCACATGAACCACGGTTATAGATATACCTAATTCTATTATCGTGATATGAACACATAAATATTATCAATGTATACAGTTGTTATCAATTTTACACACAATTTATCAATGTAAAATTATTATTAAATAATTTTGTTTTTTGTATCGGTTATAAATTACCGGAAATCGGAATAGATGTTATTTCGTAGTACATATATTTAATTATTTTCCAAGGGGAGCATAGCTCCCTTTGCCCCCCAACGGGCGTCCTTTTCAGTTTATTGATTCGACATTGGCAGTACGTAAAGGAAACTCATCCCCTATTTATATTCGCACTTGTAGTATCCAAGTATTCTGCAGTAGCGTATCCATAAATTTTCAATGGGAGGGGATGTAAAAATAAGAATCGTTCAATTATCTTCTCTACCTAACTCAATTATGGGAATTTGTAATTCAAAAGCCGGATCCTAAAAAGAAATGCCAATTTTTAATCAATACATCACGGTTTTCCTCGTGAAGGTCTTCCTAACTTGACTGGAATATATGCATTTCGATATTAAATTAATCATATTTTTTTTCGTAATTTTCAGGCGATAGGGAGAGGGATATATTCCCTAACATCCCCTCTTGTGTATGCCACTTTAGGTACAACATGACGATCGTTTAATGTTCGTGCAGAATACGTGAATACCATTAAAACGCGTGAATACGAGTTTTTCATTCACGTGTACACGGGACTCCGTGTCTACGTACTTATTGATTCACGTTTTAAATCAAGACCTCTAACGCCCTGTAAATAATACCTACGTTATTGAATCGGCTTTACCGGTCGTTTTCGCGATCCGGCAATAACCAGAGCTCGTCGTTTTGTTCACGGCGATATAATTCGGTCACCAGACGGAATAATCTCGCCCGTGTAAATACAGATTTTTCAAAAGTTTTTGCACGTGCTATTTCGTTATAGACGACTTAACCGTATTAATCCCAGAACCGCGTCGGCGATGTGCATCGCATTTTACGAATGTTTAGTATTTGTTTTATAATGATGTTTATTTATTTTCTTGTTTTTCTCCGTGGACAACTTTTCTGCGAGCAATTTTGCTCAGATTCACAATGACAGTATATTTTCTGAAAGGTACTTTAAGGGAATCGTTTATTGATTTTCCCAAGGAATTTTCTAAATAATTTGGAACGACCGGGAAAAAAGCATTGGAAAACCGTGAGAACGGGAAAATTAATGCAATATTAAACAAATATTATTTAAGAAAATGTTTAATGCATAATGTAATTATTTTAGCCGTAATATGACTTATTTATTATATACTGTTGACAAAGCAACACTATCAACCGAACTCCGCTCAGAATCGTTATTCGGTCAGCAATGGTTTATAGTTGCTAACAGACATACATTTAAATTCCCCTCTTACTACCTTCCCGACTATTCTCGCCCAATCCTAATATTTTCGATTTACAGCGCGATTGGTTCTCGACGCGAGACACCGATTGTCTCCGAAAATCTTACATTGCCGTTATTTTTTCGTTGTTTTTTTCGGGAGGTCGGGTGGGGGGGGAGGAGGAATGGGCGAGACCGCGACTCACATTGAAAGTGATCCCGCAGACGGACGAGACGTTTCAATTGAAACGGACCGTCGAAATCCGTAATTATCCGTCAGCGCGCGCGTCAAACCCGAACGCCTGCGCGGCGCGCACTTACGAATAGTCCGTGGAAAAAATAGCCACCGACCGTCATCGGTGACGCGTTCAAGAGTCCCGTACATTATTGTTACATTACTGTTGTCGTGTATAATAAATGCACGTATATAGCGTATTACGCGCGCCGTCGCCGTATACCCGGTGAAATTAACGTTGAGAAAAAAAAAAAAAAAAAAAAAAAAAGGGAAAAGGAAAAGAGTAAGTGCCGTGCGCGCGATGACAATGCGATAATATTTTTAACATTTGTATGATAATATTATTATTGTGTTGGTGTGTTTGAGACGCGCGGACGACCGCGACGTCCCACGGCGGACCGGAGAATTTTTATTGGCTTTAATTGGACCGAATTGGTTTCAATTGACGAAACGCGCTGACGACCCCGCAGCGTCGTCGCACCGCCGTCACGACGATACGTACGAACAGAAAAAAAAAAATAATAATAATAATAATAATAAAATAAAATAACCGACGATACCGTGCGGGTATTATTTTTTTTTTTTTTTATGATTATTATTTCGAGAGCTCTTGAACGTGAACAACTAGCAGAGAGAAAAAGCGCTTGTGTGTGTGTGTGTGTGTGTTTTTTTTTTTTTAATTCGTCTCCGGCGAATAGAATCGTCGAACGGACGTGTCAAAGAGATGAAATATATGTTGCAACCGTAATAATATAATATATCGTCCGTGGGTTTTCTGGCACTCGTATACACTCGCATATAATTCGAATAAATTTCAATAAACGCGCTGACAAATCGTATTTTTAAATTGTCATCGTGTTTCGAGCACAAAATAATACACGTTGGGTACAATACTTTTCCCGTGCGATGCCTACACGGCCGCGCGCAATTTTATTTTCTATTAAGAGGACGTCCAATACAGTCCAACCGGCGGCGTAGCCAGGATTTTTTTTTTTTTTTTGGGGGGTTGTTTTCATTTTGTGTTTGGATGTAACTTATTGTGACTTTGTTTTGCGCGCGTCGTATAACGTACATAACATATTAATACTCAATCTGTGCGTAACACAGCACATCTTTTATAAATCTGATACACATAAGTTTAAAGATTATAATTTTCGGCGTAAATATGGTCAAAAAGGGGGGGGGAGGTTTCAATACGAAAACACTCCATGTCCTCGCTACGCCACTGTGCTCAACTAACGGAGCGACACGGGTGAAATTCATAAGCGCAGGATTCGGAGAGCTACAGCCTCCTCAAAATGTACTCTAGCAGTTAACCCGTATAGTTTTACCCGTTAATAACTTACTGAGAAATCAAAATTTAAAAAAAAAATCGTTCGGTACATTACATCAGTCTTTACATAGGTTTTTTTTTTTTTTTTGTAAACCTGCACCGCTCCACCATCGTTTATTAAGTATCTACTTTTCTTCACCGTGATCGTCGCTGCAAAATTATTTGTGATAATATTTATTTTAATTTCTCAAATTAATATCGAAAGATTACTGGGCCTCACTGAGAAAAACTCGTGTGAAGGCCCGGAGGTATTTTCAATAAAGACAAAAAATATATTTAATTTTTAATTAATTAATTAATTGTTTTAGTTAATATGTTACATACAATATTTAATTATAGACATAAGATATTCATATCGGAGCAAGCAGGAATTTTTTTTTTTTTTTGAAAATGGGTAACGCCATATTAGTTACATCACTGGGCATCAAGTTAAATATCTGAGTTCCCAGAAAATAGAAAACTTTTCGACAACTGGTTTTTGCTGTGGACCGCACAAATACATAAACGTAGACTATTTATTACTATATAGATGTAGGTAATTGCAGTAACGGTGTTGTACTAATGTGTTTGATCGGCCCGTATACGAACAAAATATTATGTTCAAATCGTATCATTAAAACAAAAAACACCAACTCATAACGAAGAATGCGAACGGGGGAGGGGCATAGAGTAACAAAACGCATGCAGTTGCCCAGCAATGCTAAGCCAGAAAAAAAAAATATTCGACTGAAATATTTACCGAAATGTTTTTAAATTATAGATATTATTGCAAAAAAAAAAATAAAAATCAACTGTCATGTCAATATTAATATTGTGTACGCGTAAGTCTTGTCCGTTTGCAACGTATTGTATAATTATTTACGATTTCAAAGCATGTGAAAAAAAAATTGGACATATGTTTTACACGGTACCATGAGCGGTAGGCCGCTGTTGTAGGTGGAAGTATTAAAATTATTTTCATTTTATACACTAAATTTAACGACGAACAATTTCAATCGATAACCGATTCTGAACGAAGCTCTGCAGTAAATTGGGGTACAGTATTTATTCGTGTTATATTTTATGTAAATATAATAATGTTTAAGTATTATTTATTTTACCTGATGATGGTTCCTACTCGAACCTAGTATAACTATCAAATTTATTTATTTATTATGCTCTTGACTATAATTCCATACATTTCCTTTACGCTATTTTCGACGACCATAAAATTACTATTTCATTTAGTTATGATATTAGAGTAGGGTTTTTCTCTTATATGTAGCCGAGATAACACTACTAAAATCAACAAAAGTAAAAGCCAATATTTACATCATCACTAATTGTTGTAGTATTTCTAACAATACCGAACTACTGTCGGGAATCTGTAAAATTTATTAAAACAAATAAATATCACCGGTTGAAAATTCCGCACCTTTTACGGTACCGCGTGAAAAAATCAAAGCATTTTTTTTCTAACCGAAAAGTGTAAAAATAAAAAAAAAACTCAATTTCAGTAAAACCGTTCATTTCTTTGCTAGACACGCATTCAAATTTTATGTTATTATTATGAAAATATATAGACGAATTTCCTGAATGTCGTGTCGTTTGAAATTAATATTTTTTCGGGCCGCGATTTTAACGAAAATAATAAAACCGGTAATTTTGTATGGCCCAAAAACCTAAAAAAAAATAACATACAATAAAAAGTCTAACGAGTCCAGAATATTATTGATAAACCATAAAACAATCGATATGGTGTATGCGATTTTTTTTTTTTTCAATTATTCGTTATACATTTAACATATATGTAAAACATCGATATAACTATCGATGTTTTTACAAACAGGTTAAAAGGAAAATATCGGATTGTACTCGTAAAATAGACGCCGAATAACGGGAAAAAAATCGTGCTCACTGTTTAAATAATAGTAAACAAAACACAAATCGCTTAGTGAGTAAATGCGAGTAAAAAAAAAAATGTGTCAACACGTTGTCTCGAAATAAACGAGCTACTCAATACCTACAAGATAATAAACGTTAAAAAGGGTATGATTGATAAATTATTATAAATAAATCGCATGGCTATAAATAATAAATATTCGTTATTCACAGGGCCACAGGGGTTTCTAAGAAAACATACGAGTTTAAATTAAAACAAAAATAGCAAAAACAACAAAGCAAATATCAAAAAGTAAGAACGATTCTTATTTGTCGTTTTTTTATCCATTTTTTATACTTTTAATTTCTGAGCAAACGTTTGAGGTATCAAACATCGGTTTGATAGATATTTTTTTTTGCATTTGTTTGTAAACAACCAGGAATTCTTTCAGAAATTTTAATTTAATCAAAATCTTTATAGAAACTTTCTTGTAGAATTTTTAATCTAGTGGTGTATTGAGGAGATTATTTTTCTAGTAGTTTTCATAAAATATGGAAAAAATTGTTAAATTGTTTATATAACTTTTGTTGATTTCTGGGTTAACAAGGGAAACAATACGACTAGTTAAAAATGCTTTATTCAGAATCGTTTTTCGTTAGCCATAATAGTGTTTATCGTTGCGTACAGATATAAATTAGATTACCTATAAAGTATACCCACCTGCCAACTTGTTTTCTTATGGCAGACTCATCAACAGCATCAAACATTTTAACATTTTAAGTACGTTTGCCTTTTTTTTTTTTTACTTTCATTTTTACTACGCGAACTCTTCATACAATTGGTATAAGTGTGGAATTTATGTAGGTACTTATTTGAAATTTAACACTTTTTATATTTTATAATAACTGTCATAAAATATTTCCTGTTTGAAATATCATTATTTCAAGTAGTTGTACTCGAAAAGAAAAATACACAAATGATAATAATTTTAATCCTAATGTAACTATAATAATTATTACAAAACTATAATTCACAGTTAGTATACGAAATCGTTTCGTCGGTACAGGTGGCAAATCGAATACCTATGTGTTTCACGAATATCTGTTTTTGAAAAATATGGATGGTGTTTAGAACCTCCCTCAACAATTAAAACCTATGACTAAAATTATCAAAATCATATATTATTGCTGTAAAACGTGTACACTAATTGAAAAAATTGTAATATGTAGTATTATTATTGTTGTACATTTTTTTGTTTTTAGAATAGGCTATTTGAATAGATTTTGTTTAGGAAATTACATGGCAGATATATGAATAGGAAACGCGAGTAATGGAAAGCGAACCAAAAACAAATAAATATTGTGATGCGGGATACCGACTCGTGCGAATATATAAAAAATGCAGTAAATGTATAATTTTTTTCAAAGTTAGACATTAATTAGTTGTTTAGTCGAAAATTCACTTTTCTTTGTAACTTTAAACTTGGTTTGAATTTCGAATTATTTTCAAACTTAATGCGTTGTTTTGGATGAGTAAGATTACGCTGATCTAATGTATAGAAAACAGAATTTAACTTGTAATTAATTACAGTTATAGTTTTATTTGCTTTAATTGAATTCACAAGAATTCTAAGAAGAATTCTGGCTAAAGATTATTAAAATGTTAGACGTGTAGACTATAGTTTTTATATTTATTCAGCTTTGCAATTTTTATACGAAATATTATTGTAATAATACTTTACTTGAGAGTTTTGTCTTTTAATAGTCTGAAAAATCGTTTTTCCGTATATTCAAATGTACGTTTCCGGTCGAGTTAATTGCGGTTTACTATACAATAAAAACATTGCATTACACGACCGCGCGTTTTTAATTCTTAAAAATAAAAACCACGCATTTTTTTCTTTCGATACTTCAACCGTATTACAGTAGGTGCTATATAATAAGTTGAGTAAATTGTTGTATAATAGAGATATACAATATATTACACGAGTGCGATGTTTTGCGTCATCGGATAAAATGTAGAAGTATAATATATTTACGTGCGTAGGTAATGTCGAGAACCTAACGTGTGTACCATGATTTTTTAAATCTTTTATTTGTTATTACATCCGATTAGTTTAATATAGTGATTAACGGGTATACTCAATATGTGCTGTTCGATAATGTAATAATCACTACACACACACATACACCGCACAAAAAAAAATGTCTAAAGTGGTCATAAAAAAAAAAAAGAGAGCTGATTCTGCTAATGAGTGCGCCACTGTTTTGGGTGGGGAATTGGGAAAATAGGATACATATAGTTTAAAGTTTAAGATTTAATTTCTTTCTGTTATCAACAATTACTAACGGAAAACGATTCTGAGCGAAATGTGTTTGTACATAATTTCAAATGTCGTAATGTATTTACGATTTTCGTCAAAATTTGATATTAAATTTATTAAAAAATTAAAAATTACTACATAACACTACTTTTTTTTTTTTGGTAACTATAAATACAACAGATAAAATTATATTCACAATTTTCATAGTACCTATACCAAAAAAGAACTACGTAAAAACCTAGAAAATGTAAAATATATATAAATAAAATAAAAATATTTTCAGAATGTTTCGAACTTTTTATCGCTTCTAGAAAAAGCCAATACATTTACCAATTAAATTAATTTACCATTTACCATTCACCAATAAATTTTCAGTTAATATTTCAAGTCTGCGAATATTTTAAACTAAATTACAAAATTAAAACAAAAAATCAAAATTAAAATTGAAGATACCATTATATTTTCGTAAATTGTTCCTTTCTTTCAACTTTTTTTTTTCGATTTTGCTCAGTTACTAAAAAAAAAATACAGGAAATTAAAAAAAAACGACTTTCTTACTTGCCGACTAAATTAAAACTGCAACAAAAATATATTTGCTGTCGTTTTTTTATTGAAGAAATATTTATGGTAGAAAACATG